TGGTTCAATATAGTTTTCTGACATAAAGCAAAAAAAAAAGTTACTTGTTAGAGTGGCTCTTGGTCTAATTGTTTTTTCTGACGAAAAAATGTTTACCATCGAACGGTTTGTAAACAAACAAAACGACCGGGTATATTTAGCAAAAAGATCGAATGAAAATTTGCATCTTCGTTTGGCCACCAAAAAGCAAGCACCAGCTGTGATGGTTTGGGCCGCAATAACGGCCGATGGTCGATCTCCGCTGGTATTTTTGGATGCTGGCGTCAATGTAAGTGCTCAAAAGTACTGTGAAACTGTCTTAGAACCAGTATTGAAGCCATAGCTACACAAACATTTCAAAGAAATGGCACACACTAGGGGGTAACCGCGCTTTTAAATATATAGAAATATGAACAAATTCAGGAGATTTCAATGAATTCAAGAGCTATCGAGAGATATGAACGCAAATTTACATTTTTGGGAGATATTGTCAGATATTCTGATCTAAAAATAATTCTGGATGTGGGCTTTGGTGGATCTTTAGGATCACCAGAACCGCTCCCAGTTCTGGAAGTGGGTTTTGGTGGATCCTCAGGATGGACCAGACTATGGTTTGACAATGCCCTGGCCCTTCCTCAGAGTCCACTTCCAGAACTGAGAGCGTTCTGATGATCCTGAGGATCCACCAAAACCAATTTCCAGAATTGAATACTTTGAGATATTGTGAGTTATAATTGAATACTTTGAGATATTTGAGTTTTAATCAGATTTTAAGAATAAAGTTAAATGTTGGTGGATAAAAAAGCGTGGTTACCCCCTAGAGCACACACTTTTCAACAAGATTCTGCACCGTCTCATAAAGCACGCGTAACCCAAGAATGGCTCAAAAATAACGTTTCGAACTTCATTTGGAATGAACAATGGCCGCCATATTCTCCGGATGCAAATCCATTGGACTACTCAATTTGGGGTATATTGCAGACCAAGGTCGGTGTAAAAAAATACCAAAGTGTGGATGCCTTAAAGTCAGCCATACGTCGGGAATGGAAGCAAATTCCAGAGTCTCACATTCGGGCAGCATGTAACTCGTTCATTGGCCAGCTCACTGCCATAATTCTGGCCAAAGGTCAACAAATCGAAATGTTGAACTGAGTATGAAAATTTATGTCTTTTTCCAACGTTTTTTAATTTGAATGAAAAATATATACCAGAGCATATACTAAGCATAGATATATATCCTGGATATTTTGTCAGTATCCGATATTCATTGGAGCCAGACTTTGAAATAGAGTAAAAACAATAGAAGTTATTGTTATAGTGATTTTAGTAATGTAAATGGTTTTATACTTAGACCTATAACAATCACTTCTATTGTTTTCACTCCATTATAATGTCTGGCTTCGATAAATATCGGATACTCACAAAATATCCCGGATATATATCTATGCTCAGTATATGCTCTGATATATACGGATAAATTCAAAAGTTACAGACTTCTCTTCTTGAGAGAACACTTCAATTGAGCCACCCTGTATAATGTCTATAATTCAATCGTTTCAACTAATTTCACAAATAAACACTCATAATCATAGATTTCCTCGCAATCTCAGATCAACTAGATTTTGTACAAAATAAAAAAAATGCTGCATATGAAACTTTGAAAAGTTTCCTCTTTTGTCATAAATTGAATCAAATAAAGTCATAAATCATGGGGCGGAAATGAATGAGACGAAATTTTCTCTCTCATGGACGCAGCCATATTGAAAATTTTGTATGCGCTTATATGTGGCGCCACTGGTATATTTGATGGAAAAAGAAGAACATGTTTGAGTCTCACTCGTTTATATGTAAATTATATAGGCATTTCCAGGCCATGCGTTTATATGTATTTGATACTTTGAATTTGAAATTTACGTTGTCTTTTTAGGTGAGAGTTGCATATTCTTGTTGATTTGTCGAAGTAATAGCAAAAAATAGCATATAGAAATCATCTATAATAAAATTTGGAATCCATAAATATTATGATTGGATTAAAAAAAAACTTATAGAATATTGTGTTTACTACAAAATTTTGTTTTTTCTTTGACATTTACAATTTTATATCATTCAGTTTTTCTTCCATTTTATGCACAGACAAAATTAGTCATGTTTATTTTGGAAGATTTTTACAAATTCAGTGCCAATGAATTTAATATTCGTTAAATGTGATCAAGCCAAAATGGTCGAATGATTCTTCTATTATTAATAGAAGAAAGTGATTGCATGCGATGAAACCTGTTAGAAATTCCAAATGTTATAAAATGCTAACTTCAATCATAGTAAACACATGAGTGAGAATTTATAAGAGATTCTTGAAATCTTCAATTGATTGCAGATAAGGAATATTTACACCTCTTTGGATTCGAGCTAATTTATTTAAAATGCAAAGGTAGCCAAAATTGAACCTATTTGAGGTAGTTAATTAGCTTTAACAACTGCGAATACAATGGGAAATATTGCTAAAATTACATTATACCATTTATGACTGTGTAAACTTTGTAAATAAGATTAGGAACAAAAGAATTTATCGAGTTGAAAAATAAACCGGCGACATTTTAAACAATGAATCAATGTATGAATTCCAGTAAATCATAGCCAAAAATGCAAACACAAGAATAAAAAAATTAATTGATTACTTTATGCGTTTAAATCTATATTGAACTTCAATAATTGAAGATTAAGTAAAAATTCAAAATGTATTTGTTGCTATTAATCTGACATTTATATACTGGATGTATTTTATGCTCAGTGAATAATATTTAAGATCAGTAATGTGCGAAGGGGGGGGTTATTCGAATTTGCTAGGGTTTTTCACGAAAAAAGTGAAGACCTTTTTTTTCAGCTCATCAATGTAGGAAATTGAGGAGAATTCTTTCAATTTGCTAGGGTTTTTGGTTCCGAGAGATTTTTTTCCGATTTGGTAGGGTTTTTCGCGGAGAAAATTCTTTCGATTTGCTAGGGATTTTCGCCTTAAAAAGTGACTTCCAAAAAAAAAAAAAAATATTGTCTGAAATTTGTCTGAAATTTTTTGTTTTTGAAAAATCAACACCCCCCCCCCCCCCCCCTGTAAAATGTAGCTCGCACATTGCTGATTTAAGATAAAAATTATATTCAGAGCACAGAATCAGCGTCAGTTTACCTTAAAAAAAATTCTTATTTTCAAGTCAATGATTGAATTAATGACTATAATTAAAAATAGATTCAGAATAAAAATAACACATTAATAGCAGCGAATACCGAATACGTCTTGTAATTTTATACTTGATAGTGACATAAATTGTTTGTAGCGGTTTTTTTCTAGCAAATAGAAGCGCTTTCGCTTTAAGTTTATTTAAACATCAAAAATCGAGCACGAATATTTTGCTTTTGAGCTTTAACTTACCATTAATAAAAAATATTCTATACATATGAATATGAAATTAGATGAGACTTTTGATTACACACATAAAATGATTAAAAGCATTTTTTACATAAATCAATTTTATCTTTGGATTGGGCTTTGGCCCAATTAATAGTCAATTTAAATATGATTTAATGGTGATTTTCTATCGAATATGGTTCCTTGCAGAAATTGCAATATTCCATACGAACACAATGGAATTTAATTATGATAAAATTGATATTCGAACTGGTTCAAACTGCAGAGCAAATTAAAGATTTCGCCGTATAGTACGCTTTCATAATTTAGCTCGATATTTTCTATGACATACCATTTGAACTAAACTGAGAAGTTTAACGTGTGTATGTAAGAGGAGAGAAACAAGAATTAAAAAGGTGCTTGTATGTCAGGTGTTAGTGCACATCGTTTTAGTAGCGAATCTATTAAAAATAAATTCGACGATTTATTCATTCAGTTACACCAATGATGACATCGTCGGTCTCGGTGGGCTCCCGTTTCGTGGGTAGTAAAAAGATGCTGAACTAGAAAGCGGAGGTGGCGGTGCTACAAAACCATTCGTACTTCCTTCATGATACAATACTGGAACACGAACTAATCGTTGAGCCGCATGCGCCATATTTGCCATATTGGCTGCCTCTAGCTCAGCAGCTATTTGGCGTTTCCATTTGTTCCGTCGGTTTTGAAACCATATTTTTACTTGTGTTTCGGTCAACCGCAATGATGCTGCCAAGCCAGCACGCTCTGATGAACTCAGATACCTGCACATAAATTTATCATAGAATAAATGTATTAAACAGCAAACAGAAAAACGCGAAAGATAAAGCATTTTTCATTCAACTACATAAAATATGCTGTGCTATGAATATTTTTATATTTAAATTGGATATTGGTAAGTAGTATAGTTTAATAAAAATAATATTAATAACACACATTTTAAACATCAATAATAACGGGAGGTCGTAAAATTGTCATGTAAAATATTTTACAGATAAACAGAGAAAGTGACTTCATTGCTATTGTAAAATTTCACATCGCATGTTATTATTTAATTTTTTTTTTTTTTTTAATTTCCTTTAACTCCTAGTGGAGCATAGGGCCTTGAGATAAGAATTCTTTATCTTTCTGGTTTCTGTTGATCAATTAATTCAGATAAATCGGTGATCAGCCGATTGTATCGTACATTTCTTATGATTTTGCCATATTCTATATGGCGTTGGATTTCTATTTTACGTATCTGTGCTGAAATCCATACCTTTGTTGTACACAGACACGGTTGACACAGTATTTTACGACTACATACGATGTTCTAAACGGTCACCCATTTATCTCCTGACCAAAGCTTGTGCAGCTTAACTCAGTTGATCGAATAGTGCCGCAGTAGTCGTAGTAGCCACTGTGCCCACAATTATTTAAATAGAAAATTGAAAATGTTCCCCAATAAACTCCTATAAAATTTCTATGTAACTATTATTTTTTAGTTCTGTTTATTCATCGCGGAAATAATATTTTATTAAGATTCTAATACAAGAAGTTTTGCTTGTGGATAGTCATTAACGCCAATGTAACTGCTGTTTAATTAATTTTTTCTGTTGTTTATAATAGTGCTATTATGTTATTACTGTCTAATTTATTTTGAAGTTCACTATAGCTTCATTTATGACATTAACGGTTCTTGACAGTGAACACCATGCAGAGCTGGGCACGAACATCGTATAAGTTTTTTTTCTTTTTTGTTGTCGATCGGTCATTTGTAGAAATTAGTGGCGGATTAAAACTTTTGTGGGCCCTGCAACGGCAATTTTAAGGGGCCCTTTACACATTTTTTTTCTATTTTATTAAACACATTTTTTAAATTTAAGTTAAAATTCTATGTCTTTAAATGAATATCTTTAAACGCACTCACTGTAGTCACTATTATTGTGTGTTATTAAAAGGTGCCTTGAGTGAGCGAGCGATGCGAGATTTTTTTTCATGTTATATGAAATTTTGTGATTTTTTTAAAAAAAATGTGGGGGCCCCTTTATCCGTGAGCCCTGCAACAATTGTTGTTTTGTTTTGTATGATAATCCGCCATTGGTAGAAATTGAAATGTTCATTGTGTTCGTTCGTATGTGCGATCGAACACCGAACACGTCCGGATGTTCGGAGCAAAAATTGTAAAGTCAAGTTTATTGAATAATTTCTTATTGTATATAAAAAGAAAATAATTAAATAAATATAATAAGTTTTCTTTCTCAATTTAATGTTCAAAATATTAAAGAAGTTCGTGAAAAAGTGAGTCTGCTGTCAAATGTCAATGTTTTATCGAACCCTTCTATGGAATTACTTAGTACCAAAAAGTGGCGCCACTGTACATTTCATAGAAGGGTTCGATAATATATTGACGTTTGACAGTAGACTCACTTCATATGAAGGAAAATCACCAACTCCTTTTAATTATTACGAAATGCAGACATTAGGTTTGAGCTATGGATATAGCTGCTGCTATTTCATAGCATCTATTCCATATCTATATGGGAGGCCTGTATGAAAAACACGGAAGACCGCTGAAATGGAAAATGCAAAATATGTACGGACGTACGACAGTGCAATTTCAGCGGTATTCCGTGTTTTTCATACAAGCTTCCCATATAGATGGTGAAAAATCGCGAAAAATGGAAAAAAAAATTTCTTCGATTTACAAATACTTTTAAATTTTCTGTATCATCTGGTGAAATCAGAATGAAAAAACTCGCATTCCTTATCATATAAATCACGATGGGCATTCGGTCACTATTAAACAGGTGTTAAATGGGAAGTTTATATGAAACTCTCGGAGACTCGGTATAGAGCATTCAAAAAGTGAAAAAAATCCAGATCGTAATTTGGTTGATAAGGAATGCGATTTTTTTCTATCTGATTTCACCAGGTGATACAGAAAATTGAGCAGTTTTTGTAAATCGAAGAAAAAAATTTAATCAGGATTGGCATTCGCATATTATTTAATGGGTGTTATTTGCCTGCTAAATGGCAACCTTATATGAAACTCTTGGAGACTCGGTATCAGAGGTGCGCACTGGGGGGGGATTCAGGGTTTTACCCCCCACCTAGCTTGGTCACGTCCGGATTTCCGGGTCTAACTTTACCCCCCTCAAAATTTCATCACGTCCGGATTTCCCTCCCCCAATGATTCAAGTACATTTTCTAAATACACATTTTTCTGTATATTCATTACAAAATTGCTTTGTTTTTTTCATTTTCTGGCTAGTTTTGTAAAAAAATATCATTTTTTGAGATAATCGAAAGTACGTCATATTATTGAAACTCATTCATTATCATTTTCGTTCTCAGTCAAATCGAAAGTCAATCTTAATACAAGCGGTTTCAGGTTTTCGGAAGAAAATCCGGATTGACCCCCCCCCCCAAGAATTGTTTATTTTCTTGACCCCCCTTCCAAAAATCCGAAATTTGACAGCTATCCCCCCCCAAAAAAAAAATGCGTGCGCACCTCTGCTCGGTATAGAGCTCAAAAAGTGAAAAAAAAAATCTGATTTTTTTTCCAATTCTTATGCACAACTAAATGGCATATATAATCTGTTGCGACTGAATGCAAACATTTGCTATTTCTGTCACCCAAATCGTTGTTCAATGCTATCTCGCTTACCCTTACATTTAATTTCTCAATGCATGGCATTGTGTTTTCAAACAACATTCTATTGAAACACAACGGAATAAAAACCGCTGATACAAGCCATTTGATTGTATTTACGCTTGAGAATAATAATGAAACTTAATTTTTGTTCAAACTGAAGTGTCCCTTCGAAATATTTCCAATAAAAGTATCCCAAGTTTATATGGCAAACTATATACAAACTTGGGACACTTTTATTGGAAATATTCCGAAGGGACACTTCAGTTTGAACAAAAATTAAGTTTCATTATTATTCTCAACCATTCGTATATGAAATTTGAGAATAAGAAGTTTTTTTTTCACTTTTTGTGTGTTCCATACCGAACCTCCAAGAGTGCGAAATATTTATACCGTTAAACTGCGTCGCATATCAAAGCGAAACAAAATTCTGTTACTTAAACATGGCAGAACAGTAGCTAGTTATCAGCACAAAACTAAACTTACATATTTTGTAAGTTTAATAACATATGTCCATAAAGTTTTGGCAGTAAATTCAGGCGTTTATTGCGCCACATAAACAAAATCAAAAATATGAACCAATGTACACGGCACGTTTATCAGTACCTCGGGACTACTATCAAACTCAATTCGATGAAATACATTCATTCGCGGAGACGTACAAATTGGATTTACGAAAAAGTGTCTCAAAAGGTTGTGGCGGCTAAGTTCAAAACAAATTTCGCATGTGTCTAAAGATGAACCCATCTGCCTACGAACCATATATTGTGTTTCATGGACTTAGTATGAAGACAAAGATTCTAGAGAAAGCAAAAAGTACGGTCGTATTCCCTATTTAAATGCTCCAACCCTCCAAAATTGTCATCAAGTACCGAAAACCGGGTTGGTCAAGCAAAAATTCGTTTTTGGTGATTTTTATGGTTACAGCACATCAAAATTTGAACCAAAACAATAGATTTAGACCCGGTCATTAGGAATCAGCAAAATAAGTAATGAAAAAATTCAATAGGGTGTCAAAAATTGGGTATTTACTTCACCTCATATCATTTTGCACTGAAAAATTCATCATTTTGGACAGTGAAACATTCATCGCTATGTCGAACCACGAATCAAATGCAAGTGGTTTCTTTTGCATTCATTATGTTAGGGCACTACTATATAAGGCTAGAGACGTCGACAAACCGAACTTTGATAAAGGCGTGTTTGTATGGTAGGATCTTCTTTGGAAGGTGTTTTAGAGCCAATATTCGAGAATTTGGTGCTGAAACGTAAGTTAAAACCTCCATTACATGCTCTATTATCAACCAATTGTTGTTGAAATCGATAGAATTCATTGAGAACTATCTGATTTAACACGAAATTTTGGTTTGCAAGCAGAAAAAACCACAATAATGGCTCACTTCTTAAAATATGACATTTCCGTGAAAAAAGACCATCTGTTTAACTTCACAAAAAGACACCAAATTAATTATTTCTCGTCTGTTTTTGGATGTAAAATATAGGCGAAGGTCCAAAATACTTGAAACAAGCAACAATTAGCGGGAAGGTTCGGGAGAAAGTTGAAAGAAATCGACATATTGGTCCGCCAAAGCATGATTTTGAAGGTTCGACGCATACTGAGAAAAATCGAAGACAATGGCCCGTTCAGTGTAAGGTGAATGTGCTATTCGTAGCCCATTAATGAAGGTTTATACCAATAAAAAAGAATTTAATATTGTATGTTTGTTGTTCAAATGGCGAACATCTGAATTTACTGTCAAGACTTTATGGACATATGTTAAAAAGTCAATGTTCTTTATTCCTTTGTTAACGAAATATTGTCTCGCTTTGATATGCATCCTTTTTGAGTCGCGTTTCGATATGCGAGTAAACAATAAGTTGTTTTTATTCTAGAGCGTTCATTTATTTCATCATTTAAAATGTGAGGTATGCCAGGTAGGGCGAAGACCTTTGTTTAGCTCATCAATGTAGAAAATTGAGGAGAATTCTTTCAATTTGCTAGGGATTTTCGCCTCAAAAAGTGACTTCCAAAAAAAGACGAAAATTTGTCTGATTTGCCAGAGAATTTTTTGGTTTCGAAACATTTCAATTTCCACGAACGACCGACCGATTACAAATACATATTTTTTTAATTTTCGAACGAATGGCCGACTGTTTGAGCTCAGCTCTGGTTTTTATTCAGTTTGCTTTACATTTTTTATTGAATGTAAAATTTAGAAATTATTTTCACATTATTATTTTTTTAAATCTTTAAATATAATTCTTTTAAATATCTTCAAAGTATTTAATTTGCACTAAAGTGATGAAAATAACATATTTAAAAAAAACAACGAAAGCTTCCGGGTAAATTTGTCCTCGAGTAATAAAAATAGTGAGCAAAATGTTTTTGGATTTAAAGGGGAAAAAATAATAGTTCCAAGTAAGAAGAGTCAGAGAAATGATAATTTTAAGCCAAAATGGTAAATATCAGTGTTCGCAACGGAGACGATTTTTCGATTCCGACGCCGATATTTTCCATTCGCTGTAAACTGTCAATTTGAATGGACATTTTTGTCCTTATGTTAGCGACTTCAGCAGCTCGATGTGCACATAATTTCAGAATAGACATTTTTTATTTTATAAATTGGTTTTATGTTTCATTTTTTTAATCGCTACTTTTATCCGTGTTAAATGAATAAATTCTTGAAATAACTACACTGAAACAAAAAAAATCTTGATTCAGCTGCTGGAGTCGGACTATACATTTCAATCACATTCAAGAGAAGAATTGCAAAAATCAACATTCGGTAACTTTTATTAAACTAAAGAAAATTATATTATTATTATTATGCATGTAAAGTTTTTTAAAATTATTTTAGCAACAAAAATTAATAAGAATCCATAAACTATTGTCGTTGTTTGTCATAAACATAGATGCGTACTGAAATAGTTTGGTACGTTCATTTGACATATTATAGGTGGCGCGTGGAACCGCAAAACTACGTATTTCACTACTATGATTAAATCCGATACCGACCGTTCGCCGACCATATTTTTTCGATGCTCGAAAAATTGAATACAAAATGAGATAGAAATGAGAAAAAACTGACAATTGATAAAAAATCCATTCAATTTTTCAAAAAATCGAGAACTCGGAAAAAACTCGGATGGCGAAATCATTCCGACGCCGACCGTTCTCCGTCGGAGCTCGGTCGGAGTTGCGAACACTGGTAAATATAATATAAATAATGTATCGGAAAGCACAAGCAAGGTTATGGATAGTAAGTAATATTGGATTAAGTGTGAACTCGTAAAATGCGTCTTTGGAATCGAATATCTTGACCTTTGTGACCAAAAGGTGTGCATATATGCAAACCAACTACATTTTTGAATGTTCGTTACTAATATTTCCTAAAGTGAAACTTACCGCTTCAGATCGAACGTTGACTCCAATTGAAAGACTTGTGCCCGAGAAAATACGGTTCTGGTTTTCTTTTTACGTTTATTCTGCGTTGACCCGTTCGGATGAGGTGAATTGCTGTCAGAAGGTCTTTCCACATTATCAGACATATCATCGTCAATTATTTCATTTTCATCATCATCCGACTCATCATTTGTTGTATTCAGATATGACGAATGATGAACCGGAGATGGTTTTACTATCGATGAAGGTGGACTAGCCGACGGTGATGCGTTATCTGTTGTATTTGTTGATGAACTATCTGTAATTGCAGGAGAAAATATTTGCAAAATATTACTCATTGAGATCAACCCTAAAACTTCGTAGAATATACACCATCTAACATGTTAAATCGAATGATTTTCTTCAAACATTTTCTTATCATGACTAAAATTAAACATATTTCATCGTTTTCATTTAAATTATATCTATTGAAAATATCGAGAGGAGAGTATGTTTTTATTCAGACATTACTCAGCCATAAGCGCTGAATAACATACTCTCTTCTCGATATATTCAATAGATATGTTCGAATGCTTCCGGCCGGCATTCCCCCAAAAAATCTTCAATTTTCGGGCATACGTTCGTTCGGGAAAAAGTATTTTCGAGAAATCTTCCGATATTCATTATGTTCAATATAAATATATTTCATGTTCATGTCGTGTAAATGTGGCTCACGAACATATAATTTAAACAAACTGAAATAGGAATATGAGCGAAAAAAGTAAAAAGTGAAAGAAAAAAGCAGATCGAAGTAACAACAACAATGAAGCCATACGGTAGCGATATATAGTCTTTTCTGATCCCCTTTTCTATGATATTTCATTGATTTTCAGCCTATACTTTTTCATTGTTTAACACAATTCATACAAAATGCATCAATATTTTAAATTAAATGCGAAGCCATATGATAATCTTCTTTACGTAAATTGCTGATTACGTGACATGAAAACCTTAGGGGTTAGATCTATACTAATAGAAAAGAACAGCATTTGGCTAATTGTAACGTCTTTATTGAAACAGGATCTTCATCATAATAGACAAATAAACCTATATTGTGACAATAGCTTGTGCCTAATACAAACGTACCGATTGCTAATTGTGCTTACGTGTGTTAAACATATCAATTTGTTCATTTTAAGGTAAGTTCAAATATTTGTGCATACATATTTTTAAAAAGAGACAATTGAAGCCATGTGAAAACAATAGCTGTTTGCATTTAGAAAGCGTTTCGCACTATTCTTTGATTTATTATAAGCTGAGATTTTGACTACAACACCGATTAAATGCTCCAAATGTGCAGACAAAAAATCATTTCGGTTTTCCTTTCACACGAAATTATATTGTACTGTTATCACTGGTTAAAGATTTGATTGTCTGAGAATTATGATAACTACAACAAAACATTTTTTGAATAATTTTTCTTGCATTTTTAGATTTTTTTTGAATTGGCGAATTAAAAATTAATCTATCGAATACTTCAAAATATGGGGAGAGCTCCAAAATTAAAGAAACTGTCTATTTGATTATATGTATATCAAATTTATTTTACTTGGTATTGAAATAACCGGACAGACTATTATATGGTGACATATTCACCACAGCAATGAAATCCCTACTACCGTGCTAGATGGTGTCAACACGAGTGGACGGATTTTTAAATTTATTTGAACGACGCCATGTTACTATACTTGTCCATTACAACGTATAGTCGTTTTCAATAAGATCTGTTACAGCGAACTGTCAAAATTTTGAACAAACAACATACCCTCAACAAAATTCAAACCAAATTGACACGTTTAACTAAGGAGCCTTGTGTACTTTTGAATGGAAATGCGTTCCGAAATTCATTGTATTAGTTTGACAACACAGATCTTTTTGGAAACGGCTATACATGTAACAGAAGAAACACACATTTTTTTTATCTTGCTCACGTATGATGTGGTTATACTATTGAATCAAGAGTTTTGATATTCAGAACAAATGTGATTTCTAAATGATTTTCTTGATTATCAATTCTTTTAGAAAATGATGTGATTTAGAATGGTGATTCTTTGAGTTGAAATGTTAATCTAAAAACTGAAGTGTATATGAATGTCCAAGAATGAAAGTGAGTCTTCTCCTGAGAACATAGAAATGTGTAACAAATCTTAAAGATTTCATTGAATTGTAGTACGAACGCAAATTTTATTGAAATGAAACACGGTGTGTTACACTTCAATAAATTTTGTTTTGGTATTACATTTTGAAAAATTGCTTGCCGTGTGTTTCAATTTAAAATGCTTTTTTATGATGTTACGAACGAAAAAAATTGATGTTGATGTTACGAATAGAAAAAATTGGTTTTGATGTTACGAGTTGAAACAAAAAAACTAATTTTTACGCTTTATACGAGATCGATCAGAAAAGTCGTGAAAAAATCTTCAACATGAATTGGAATGTAAATCAAATGCCAACATATAAGGTTATTCCAATGAGCCCTAATATCGTCGATTTTTCTTTATCGATTCCACCAATACGACATCTTCTAAAAAACTCGCCGATTTCTGTTACTAGGGGTGTTTTAATACAGCTCGTATAAACGTACAAAGGAACACACTGACTCCGATTCTGTGTATGCGTATGTATTACAAATTCTGCACTCAGTCGTCAATCGTAGCTGCTTGTGCAAAATTTACAATACATACGCATACACAGGATCGGAGTCTGTGTGTTCTTTTGTATTAGTTCGTCTGTAATACAGCCATAGCCGTATAGTTCGCTCGAGCTGTGTCAAAGCAACAGTAGTAACAAAAATCGGTATCTTTTTTAACAGATGTCGTATTCGTAGAATCGATAAAATTAATTTGTATGAGGAGTATACGATACTAGTTCCCATCGGGTTATTCAATAGGTATCACATAGCAAGTTTAAACTCTCGGAGTCTCGGTATAGAGCACTCAAACAGTGAAAAAAGTCCAGATCGTGATTTAGATGATATGGAATGCGATTTTTTTCATTCTGATTTCACCAGGTGATACAGAAAATGAAGTAGTATTTGAGAAGTGTAGAAAAAAAATTATTAATTATTTTAATTTTTCGCGATTTTTTACCATCTTGCTTGAAGCTTGTTTGAATAACACGGAAGACCGCTGAAATAACAAATGCAAAATATGTACAGACGTGTGACAGTGTCATTTCAGCGGTCTTCCGTGTTTTTCATACAAGCTTCCCATGTAGATGGTGAAAAAATCGCGAAAAATGGAAAAAAACAATTAAATTTTTTTTCTTCGATTTACAAATACTACTCAATTTTCTGTATCACCTGGTGAAATCAGAATGAAAAAAATCGCATTCCATATCATATAAATCACGATCTGGACTTTTTTCACTGTTTGAGTGCTCTATACCGAGTCTCCGAGAGTTTCATATAAACTTGCTATGTGATACCTATTGAATAACCTTATATGTTGGCACTTGATTTACATTCCAATTCATGTTGAAGATTTTTTCACGACTTTTCTGACCGATCTCATAAAAAGCGTAAAAATTAGTTTTTTTTTTTTAACATCGTAACATCATAAAAAAGCATTTTAAATTGAAACACATGGCAAGTAATTCTTCAAAATGTAATACCAAAACAAAATTTATTGAAGTGTAACACGCCGTGTTTCATTTCAATAAAATTTGCGTTGGTACTACAATTCAATGAAATCTTTAAGATTTGTTACACATTTCTATGTTCTCAGGAGAAGACTCACTTTCATTCTCGGACATTCATATATACTATGTATTACATCTTTTAACGAAACTATTATTTAAAAGTATATAACTTTAATTTACTGACCATGAGTTGGGCTGTGAAATGGCATTCTATGATGAGTCCAAGGCCAACCCGGTGGACAGAGTGCTGCATATCTTCCCGCAAGTGCACCCCAACGAGATATGAAACCCAATCTGAAAAATGAATTAAATTCAATTCATAGGCTTCATTTTTCAAATTATACATGGTTGAAGAGTGTATTTTTTTAAATGTGCAGCACACTTAAGATATTTTTTATAATTAGTAATGCATACGTCCTCACTACACAGAAGGAAAACACACTTACCAATTACTTCAATACATTCACCAAATTCATGGGCTAGCGTCATCTATGGTTTCGAAAAGTTGGTAAATGTAATGAAGCAATTGGTAAAACTTATTCAACAAATAGTCACTTTTGAAAAATATGCCTCAGAGATGTCAAAAATGGTAAATTTAATTCGTTGTTGGTTGATTTTATATTAAATCTACCAAACTTGAATTAGAAATACCCACAGCATGCTATCACACAGCCCACACAAAACAGTGGCGACAGTATTGTTTTTGATAGGTTTGAAACCAGACTGAATGGGCAATTGGGCATGTACAGAATACATATATTTGAATTCTTCTGTAGTTTCTACTATTTGTTCAGCAGATGTCGCTATTATTTTGTGTAATTTTGGGTCTTCACATTTTTTTGTTTTTGTATGAAATTTGACAATTGATAGCACGCAGTGGAAATACCACATTTTTTCTTCCTGTGTAGCAAATATTTTTAGCATGTCAATTATTTCCAAATTATATAAGAATACATAAGAGGTCACAGAAACAAATATCCGAGTACGGTTACTCGCACTTGCAGTGTTAGCAGAGAGTCTACCCTTCAAAATGAGTTACGCACTCTATTTTACACTATTTTTGGTGATAATTTAAAGTGATAGAAGAAATACATTTGTAGTCATAGCCGCATACGTTCAACGTACATATGACTGCACAAGTACACATGTATATATTATTTCACTACGATGCGTTCACTTGGATGAAATTAACACAAAAAATAGAGTAAAATAGATTACGTAACTCATTTTGAAGGGTAGACTCTCTGCTAATACCGCAAGTGCGAGTAACCGTACTAGGATATTTGTTTCTGTGTAAAAATGTCATTTGTAAAAAAATATTTTCGTAGCTCCTACTCATAGGCGCTATTTGTATACAACGCATACGGACAATCGCATGTAGAACAATAGACCTATTGATTTTACTATAATCATTTTTGCATATTTTTTATATAAAGAAATCACTCCTATGTAGCCACAATACATTCCAGTTTTTTTTATATAGAATAAAATGTTCGTTTGAAATAAATGTCTTGGAAGAAAAAAATGCTAAAAAAAATTGTAAGTAGGGATCCACCATTCCAATCAATTGTACATGATTGAATGTAATTTAAAAGTTAGTAAATGGGTCTTGATTTGTCTCTTTTCGCTATTTAAATCATCAATCACTGATGTCAATGGTTTTCCATCACATGCTGAATACTTGTTACTTCTTTCAATTACTGTATAAATCTATAATTTTTGGCTTAATCTTCACTTAAAGATGTGATTTTCATAGATTTATTGTATAATCTCTTTTAGCCAGAGAAAAAAATCCCACTTTTGTGTGAAAAATGACAATATTATAAATCCATTTTAATGACGTAAATAAGCTTGATACCAGTGTACAAGATTTATGGTATTTGTATATTAACAAAACCAATGTTTCATTTTTTATGCTGTCACTCCTCCTTTGATCATGATGTTGAAATTGTTGAATACACTCTGTTTTCATTAATGCATTATGTGATGACCTGTATTTACCGCAAATAGGCATTAAATTAAACATATTTTTTGTACAAATTTCCCCCATTTTCTAAATTAAAATTATGGTAAGTAGTATCCTCGAGTATAATGAATGCAAACGCTTATGAAATAAAGTTAAACCATTAACGAATACACATCAATTAACAATGATTCATTTTTTTCGCTTGTTCAAGTTCCACAAAGGCATTTTGGCCATCCTCTTCATTTTACTGATGTTACATACATGTTTTATGTGTAACCAACGCGTTTCCATTGCGTATTTTTCATTTAATATCAATTGTTTTTTCGTGTTTTTGGTACTTGCGGTAAATTGTCCACAACACCAAGCCATTTATATAATGATCTATTTTTCAATATTTAATGTCTGCGTGAATTTCGAGCGGAAAATGTGTACACCCCAAAAACCACAAAACCGGGTAAATATTTACGTGTGCGATTACTTGCTTTCATTCTAATTTGTACAGGTGGCTAGTAATCGTTGTTATAATACGTAATCTACACAATAAATTGAGCCTTAAGCTAAAGGAGACATTTCTGAATTGAGAGTAGATTATTTAGCATGGATTCACCATTCTAACCAATAGAAATTGTTATTTATTTATTGAAGATATTTGTTAAGAAGAAAAGAGTTTTATAAAGGCGATCGAAAAACTTCATTACATTGGTAATATTTCTTTGTGATTTTTTATTGGAAAAGGAGTAGTGTAAGTCATCATACATAAAATAAAATGGCATTTTAAAGGATTCTGTGAAAAAAAAATTTAAGTTTGTATTAATAATTAGGTTGAAACTGAGTAAAAAAAAATAAATGATAATGAATAAAAAAAAACAAAGCATTTTGTCGTAATTTTCAATGACATAGAATTTATGTAAGCTTGTTGGGAATTTCAGAGGCTTATTATAAATATAATGTAACATTAGCCTATGGCGTCGACAACTACAATTAAACAATAGAAATGAGAAATATAACAGAGTAAAATATAAAATCTAAACTCGCTTTTGTTTGACTTTAAAGCTAACAAGATTTTTCTTGAGGCAAGTGAAAACATTTCCGTTATGTTTTTTTTCGTCTTCCTTATACACGATAACTTTTTTTCTTATACTATATATGCGTCTATATAATATGATTGATTCACAATCAGAGAATACTGCCCAATAAAGTTATATGCAATAAATAATTCCATCAGAATAATTTATGAAATAAATTGGTACATTTAAATTGACATCTAATTGAACGCTCTAGAATAAAAACAACGTACTGAATGGTTGTTATATCAAAGCGGAACACGGCGTTTTTTTTAACATAGATTTGTTGTTGTAATACATTCTGTACGTTGTTGTTATTCTAGAGCGTTTAATTGTGAATTGAACGTGTGAGCGTAGAGTGTTAGTGCAAATGTAGACATTTATCTGATTCATAATTTTGATGGACTTTTCATTACGGATCCATATTTAACGGTTTTCTCTGATCTTTATAATAACTAAGAAAAGCGAAATATTACGCAAATTGATAAAATAGTATATATCGTGGCTACAACAATGAAACAGGTCACTTTTTTATGTTTTTGTTTTATATCCAGAGCATATCACAGCTGATCAAATACGATGTGCCTCCACAAAACTTTTCACAACCAGTTTTTTTTTATTGCTGTAATACACTCACATTTTAACTTTTATATTTTTTTTAAGAATATCTTTTTTTGTAATCGGTGTATTATTGTATTGCACCCGTATATTTTTAAAAACTCTTTATTCCAAGTATCCACAATGCTATTTTCGTTTATCCTGACTTTGTGAATTCTGAATTCAGAATTATGTTAATATAATTGATTACTTGTATTCATATTGTTTTTTAAACAACATACCTTGAGAGCATCGCAGCATCGTGAACCGTGGCACCATTTGCATCGATAAATGGTAAATTTGTGGTTGATGTAATGGATTCTTTTTTTGGATCAGTTCGACTCAAAATATTTGATATGGTAAAACTTGTGTATCCTGAATTTCCCGACGATTTACTATTATCCGCGGGCATTTCAGCTGGACTTAAGCGTGATGAATCGGAGACAGTATTTATCATAACATGATTTGTGATTGTTGTTGGTGCTGCTGATGTAGCCGATTGATATTTTATCCTTGTTGTATTATATTCTGCTTGTGGTGAATGTTCTGGACTAGAAACGACATTTATGTCAACATCTGGATCTTGTGATGACATTCTCTACAGTAGTTTAGTCACAATTTATCACTTGAACGATTATTTAAATTTCGTTTCGTTATTTTGGAATTTATTTATTACTATTCTGGTAATTATTTTAATTTCGGTAATAATTCATTCACAGAAAACTTATATTTTTGGGCTATGATTGAAACACTTTTTACAAACAATAAATACTTGATTTATTAAATATTCTAAAGGGAAAAAGTTAGAAAATTGTAAAAAAATGAACAAAATCACTTGGGAATGCTGTAAACAAATCACTTTTATTCGGTATCCCGTTTCTATGATTATATCACGCAGTACACATTTTTCTTCACTAACCATACGGTTTATGTATGTCGATTCGATGATGCTTGATGCACAATAGCGACCAAAATAAATTTATTCATTCATATACCGTAAACAGTCAATTCAAAAATGAAAAATCAACGACACCACAGTATCAAAAAGCGATCAGTTAATCTGTGCTTAATGTTGTTTTGTTCTGTTGTTTTCAATTGCGAAAAATTAAATGTATTGTACAAATGGTTGAGTTCTGTTGATGGTTGGCTCTTTTTCTCTCTCGTCTCGGTGTTTTTTTTCTTCTACTGTTGTATTCACTCTCATTCTGTCAGCCTCTTGGTGTCTTTTCCACTTTTCCCTTATTTGATAGCAATGTAGTAAGTTTTATCGATGGTTAACGTCTACCCTGTTTTGGTTGTATGTAGCGTTTTGATTGTTTCGTTCCGTTTATACGCACTCGAAAAGGTAATGGGCGGGATTTCGTTGTCATGACGTCCCCACCATAAGGCCAATCCAATTGCTTCAAGGGCGGGCACATCCAATAAAAATTGAAAGTAAAATGAGATCTAAGTCAAAACTGTAAATATAGTGTATACTTATCAGAGTTGTAAGGATATTCAAATTATTTCGATCTTACTAAAAGACAAACCAAAATAACTTCGCTGAAAATACAATTTTCTGCATAACAGCTTGGCTCAACATAGGACTCGGATACATTGCTATGCATAAGATATGTTTGTATCGTGCAATGTAGATAGACAGCGAGAAAGATATATATATATTAGGGTGGGTCAATTTTTTTGCATCAAGTCCACATTGCGATTCTTGTTCTATGGGTCATAACAAGCATTTTTGCCCAAGGAACCATTTGTCTAAAATGAATTTAGAGCCAGCGGATTTTTCTCCATAGATATTTTCCAAAATATTTAAAAATCGACTTAGATATTGCATTAAAAAGACAAAGAGAAATTTTTTGGGTCAGCTGCCCTCAAAAATTCGGCTTCAGCATGCCGAAAAACCTTTAGAAAATGTTTTTTTTTCAGATGCCCTCCGAGACAATTTTTACATTTTTATATATATATATATAGAGAGAGAGAGAGAGAGAGAGAGAGAGAGAGAGAGAGAGAGAGAGAAAGAAAGAAAGAGAGGCAGATTGCTAAACGGTGACATTATTCAATCATCAGAGTGACAGTGGAGGTAGAGATTCACAAGAACATTGCTCTTTCTACGAATCCAAATGTATTGAATCAATTTAACAGAGACAAAAAATTCATACAAACCTTTAGTAAAATCATTTCATTTGATCGTATGTGGGATCGGCAGAATCCATAAATGAATCCATTTAATTAATACGATTTGTTATCGCATCATATAATACATCATATGTGTTTTTTGAAGAAATTTTCTCCAAGGAGTTGCTATGTTTATAAATAGGCGGAGCTTTGTTCTTCACACAAGATATATTATCACCGCAATTTCCACAATTCCGCTACATTGACTGCTTATATTCAAGTAAATTAACTTATTTTGGTCGCAATTTGTTGTGTTTAATCGAAAATAATTATCATCGGCTAATTTAATTTTGAACGATAATGAAATAAATTACTTTTAAATTATAAAAAATATCACCCACATCCCGCCAAACAAATGGTATTGTATGAACTTTTAAGCTGACTGGCGAGTTTTAAGCGGATGTACCAGAGTTGATATTTTGTAAAATAATATGTGTTTTACTTTAAAAAAAAGACATAAAAGAAAATTCAATGAAACGATATGAGATTTGTAAATTGTAACATTTATGAACAATTTATTCAGACAATTCTACGTTCTAAAAACTTCAATCAATATATATATTTCAAAAGGCACAAAAACACCATCTGTTGAGTGCTTTTTTATAAGTCTAAGAGAATGGAAAGCTTGTGTACTTTAAATTCCACAATCGCTATTGCATTACACTTCCAGCTGTCATCTCCATTATCATTCGAAAAATATTATTAGTACACTGTAAAATAGAAGGGATTAAATATTAATCATTTGGGATTTTTCATCAAAATAATCCAAAAGGATTAAATTTTAGCACTGTAGGATTAAATTTAAATACTTACTAATTGTAGCGAATTGTAGGACCACGTTGAAATCCCGCACAAAACCCAGGGCTTACGGCCGAGAGCTCCGCGCTTGATCCAGATGAGAACGCAATGTTCGTTGTGTTGTTTGTTGATTCTGAAAATGACAATGATTATATCAATTTCTAAATATGAACGTAAATTAAAAGTATGTGTAGCTTCAATTGATTAGATAAATTCAAAGCAGAATTATTGAAATGATTACATACTTGATTGGATGCTGCTCGTCTTGATTGTCGAGCTCGTGCTGGTGGTGCTGGCGGTGGATCAGAGTTTCGAATTTTTCAATGCCAATTCATTCAATTATAATTACCATTAGTTAATGTAAATTGAAATTTTCAATTTATTTTTTTCAATTCATTGAATTGAATTTTCAATTACCATTTACATTCAAATTGATAAATGAATTGAAATTTATTTCAATTGCGTGAAGTTGCAGAGATTGATGCCTTATGCGGCATTTGTGCATAGCTAATGTCAAAAGTGAGGTTAATATTTGAATGCGCACATTCAACAATAACGGTTGCTCGTTGCTGTGTCAATAAGTTTAAAAGAAATCGCAGCAATGAAAACAGTTTCAAATTTTAATTTTTTTAATTTGTATATTAATATTAAATTTTAAATATATATACATTTTAATTTACATTCAAAATGTTATTATAAATGAATTGACGGTAAAAAATTGAAAACAATCGAGAGTAGTATTATGGGAGCCAACTAGAATCTCTGCAACTTCACGCAATTGAAATGAATTTCAATTCATTTCTCAATTTGAATGTAAATGGTAATTGAAAATTCAATTTAATGAATTGAAAAAAATAAATTGAAAATTTCAATTTACATTAACTAATGGTAATTGATTTTCAAATAAATGAATTGAAAAAACTAATCATTATTTCAAACTCTGCGGTGGATCTCCTCCTCCTGCATTTTCTTCTTCTTCTTCAACATGCCGTTGAAATGCTGGATGTAGCTCTATATTCATAACAGCACACCATCCTGTTTGTTTGTAAGGAATAAAAAAAAACGAATTCATTGTCTATTGTTCATATTAAACTGAGAGCATATCAATTTAACAAACACAAACCTTTGTAGAGAATGTTACGACCTGCATTTGCATCACGATTCCAGGTGATAGTACGCCCAATTCGAGTTTTCTCTTCATATTTACGAAATTTTGATGCCATACGTGGACCATCAGTACGGGGACGATGTTTTCGTTGCTGCGTCAATTTGCGATTGCTTTTTCGTGATTCAATCGGACCTTGGGCTTTTCCAAGCACATTTTCTCCACACAATGGTTCGCATCCATGGCATGTGAGATAGCGATATTTCTCCTTTACTTTGCCTCTTTTTGTCGGTTTTTCAAGTTCACGGAAGCACAACGAACATAATTTGGTCGTCCGAAATTCGTCCACCTCGACCACTGTACATTTACGGCGACGTTTCAACTTCTCGAACAAATCTCGCACCTTCGATCGAATATATCCTCGGGCTGGTGAATCTGCCGCAATGAAACGATCACCGACAAATATGAACGTTTGCTTACCATCGATGAGCTTGGTTGCATATGCATCAAGTGCTCTATTCGTGTCAATGTACTGGAGAAATGCTTGCAAAGCGTATTCATACTGTGTGTATGCTGTGAACTTTTCTTCAAAATGACGCAAAATATGATCAGCATATGATTTATGGTCTTCGGCTGCTCATCAAATGACTAACAATGTAGACGCATCTTTTCATCGATTTCAATTGTCAGCTTTTTGCGCCATTTGTTCCGTCGCGATGAATTTATCATATCTTGGTATTAGCCCGATGTCAATCGAATGATTGTTTCAGTGCGATTATTTCGATCGTTGAAATTGTTAATGCGCACACCACCAATGACCAAACGTAGTCCAGGATCGAGACCATACACTTGTTGGCTTTTCAGAAGCATCTCTTGTGTCTCTTTCATACGCTCTTCATCGTCTTTTTCAATGATGAATTTTGTTCGTTCCATCAAAAATGACATACCGACACCATCTGTTTGAATGGAGCTGTCGAATTTTATTGTTGCATGGCCATCATTTTTGTTTCTCAGTTCTCTTTCGATGCTATCGATGTCGAAATACAGACGCCATAATACATCCCATTCTTTACTTTTGATGTCTTTCTCCTGTTTTGGGCCGCCGTTTTTATTGCGAAATAATCGATGTGGACATTCTATCTGTCTCAACATGCGATAAAACACTCTACGATCAATTCGAATGTAATATCTTTCGAACGATGACGTTGGTACCACGGTGAAATGTCTGTATTCACGAAGCTCGGTTCGTTCACCTCGCTTCAATGTGGCCTTTCGTTCACGTTCATGATTGCGAATGTACCTATTTTTGTATATTTTCCAAAAAATAAATTGATAAAATTACTCGTGTGATATTTGTAGAATTTTCAAAATGGAAAGAAATCGCATAAAAAATACAATCGTTTGATTCACAATAATAAATGAACGAAAACTCACTGTTGCAAATTCAGGAATATTGGTATGTATTTGAACCAATTGCTTTCCATAGCAAAAAAGTACCCTTTCCCATCGTCGAATCGGATTGGCTTTAATGTATTTTCCAGTTCCCACATCAAATTCAGGTCTGGCACACAGTTGGAGTTTCGCTTGAATAAGAAATCCATGGTGTCATCAATTTGTGCTTTGCTCGCGTTTTGATGTGTGAAAAACTTTCGGATGCGTGAGTGAGCGTGCATACAAATATTATTTTTGTAATTTGTATAAAACATTTGTACTGCGTATTCAACTACATTCCCGAATCCTTCAATTACTGGAGCTCGAACACCGTATTTTTGGCAAAAGTACCAAATGCCGTAACACAACCTGTACCCGCTTTCTCTGGCGTCGTTAAATGCATGCTCAATGAACTGAACGCCGTAAAACCAATCTCGAAATAAATTTTTGTCGACGAATTGAGTATAGAATGCTTCGATTTGCTCGTCTGTACTGCGCTTGAAATGATCACTGGTGAAATAATGCAAATTCAGTGCACCCAATATGTAGCACCCTGTCATACGTATACGTCAATCAACTGAGCAAATTTTCCAGTGTTAATGGGCAGATTCACTTTTAAACCTTTTCGAGCACTTCTTTTAATTGTTTGGTGTTCTTTAATTTTTATCTTCTTTCGTGGCTTAAACGCCGATTCGTGATTCCGTTTGCGACCGCTCATTTTTAGCAACTGTTAACGTATTGGAATCTCCACCGATATTTATACCTCGAAATATTGATGAATAATCAAAATATATTTTGATAAATATAAAAGTGCCGGTTTAAAAATATTCAGGCCACTGTTATATTTATCAAAAACTACAATGACTATCATAGACTATGCATGCCATCAAATAAATTTATTAATTATACTCAAAAATCGGTTGATTTAGCAATGTATGATGAATTTATAGGTTCCTGGTATTTTAAAAACAGGCCTCTAAAAATTTATCAAAATATACAATCACCGATTCATGTGATCGAACGGGTTCACAATAAACAAATATCAATGCGTTCATTTCACTCTTGCATAAATACAATTTCATAATTCTGCACTCCGATTTCAAATGCTGACAAAATGTTCGCTAAATTACACTCCCAAAGGTGTGATACGGAATTTATGTTGATATTCGATGCAAAAGAATCTTATTGAAAATCATTCGTCAACTAAGCAAGAATTAATCTTTCGTCAACACGCATTTTACGATAGTGTTTCGGTTGTTCAAGATTCTGATGGATTTTGAAAATTTTGCAAAATGTTTGCCATGTTACCCTTTTGAAAAAAAATCACTGAGCACACAAAAGCGGTTGTGACATGGAATGTTGATATTGATGCGAACCGACCCAAAATTCTATTGAAAACCATTCGCTAATCAATTCTTTACTTTGTTTTCACTAGCTATAAAACATTTTATCAGAAATCTAATAAATTGCACAGAAGCGATGGAAAAAAGGATTCTATTGAGAATTATATTCTAATAAACAAACTAATCGAAATTCCAACAGAAACAAAATTTAGTTTTTTCGACAACGGTGCACGTGATTTACACAATAAACATAAGACCGTGAAAGGTTATGTTTGCAATCGAATGACAATGACAAGCATTTGAAGTTTCATGTAAATGTCAATACAATATGAAACAGTGTTCCAAAGGAAGATTCATTTTGAGATATTTTTTTACAAACAACAAAAAAGTGTTTATTGAACTCAAGTTAAAAAATATAAAATGATCCCATTGGATTACTTTTTAGTCCTTTTGGATTAATCGTAGCTGAAAATCCCAAAATACTAAATATTAATACCACCGATATAATAGTGTAGTTGTTCAAAATACATACTCAAATATTAATACAAGTTGAGTGATTATATAGGAAATTGGAACTAATATTGGTACGATTTTAATTTATCATATAAAAAGAAAAATATTTGGTGGGAGACTACAAAATATATAACTAGTTCGGTACTGGTATGTATTTTGTAAAAAAAAAAAATTGGGGAAAATCCCATTTTTGAAGTTATCGATGACTGACATAAGATGAGTGAAATGTTAACGAAATAAAAGAGTGAATGTGACATTCGTGTACATGAAAAATTGTTGATTTAAAGTTGGTCAGAATTTTACATTTTTATATAAAAATAATTTAATATGAATAGAGCATATATTGTTATAAATGATTTCTTACAATCATTTTCATCCATCTTCGATATTTGTTTTCATTTGCCGACGTTCCGAATTTGACATATGCAAATTTTTATATTTCATTCACATACGGAACAAACACATTTAAATACAACACATACAGACCACGCTACTTTAAGTATTTGGCTGTTTCAGTGCATGAATACGTACATGTATGTGTATCACTTTGAACAGTAGTGTGTACAGTAAATACAACAAGGTTCGTAAAATACGTTGTACACTCAAACGAAAAATAAGCAGTACGTAAGTTTTTTCTACTAACTGTTTGTATGCATTCAATACATTTATTATCACGCTGTTAATAATAAGACATAATATAAGTGTGTATGTATTGTTTTTTATTCGACGATTTCACTTCTTCTTAAGGTACATTCAATACAAACGATCACATAAACGACGGCCATTTTTATGTGAAAGAAAAAAAGTTATTCTCTTTCAATGTAAAAAGACAAAAACAAAAAAATCGGTTGAAAAAAATCGGTTCATAGCTCTTAATAATCTTTAACACCTGAAATAGTGAATAAAAACTTTGAATTTTGTTATTGTAGAGAAATGCGAAATTTTTTGTAAGGTGCATAATATTGCTCATTTTGTAACATTGAAATGAAAACTGTTTATGGTTTCATGTGAACTACTGTAGAAATTCTATCATGATGTGAGTATTGAAAGTTAATAAGTTTCTTTAATTTAATAATTCAAATCATTTGAATGGTGGAATATCGATTATCAAAAAGTCATTTGAAGGCACACGCCAAGGATTTTATAGGTTAATTCAAATGCTACAATTTATCGCATTTACCTAACATATTCAGTTAAATTGAAGTTTATAGGAAAATAAATTGTTTCCGACCTCTTTTTTTTTTCAATTTATATGCATCATGTGCTACGTGCGGAAACATTTCCAGTTAAAGTTTATTATGATGTAAATAATATCTTTTGTAGTTCTTATTGGTTGATATTTTTGTGATGACATGTTTTCAAATGGTGGCATTAGAACAAACTTATTTTAAAAAGGACCAAGATTTTAGTAAACAAACTATATTCATCTGCATTATCTTCATGCGGTTCTAGATTATCGTTTATATGTTATTTTTATTTAATTTACATTCCGAAGTTTTTTATTTAGATTATTTAGTAGATGTGCATTGAAAGAAAATATATTATGTTTACTTTTAATATTAGACAAAAGTTTACTATTAACAAAACAAAAATACTAAACTGCCAAACCTAAAAGGCAATTTTTTTTTTTGAATTTTAGTGAATTTTTTTTACTTTAATTCTTGGAAATAATATTTCGTGTCTCACACAAAACTTCGTGTATTTATTTGGTCAGATATACATTCTTTTTTTAAATAAAGTATGAAAGCCACAACCAAAAAGTGTGTTTGTTAATGAAGAATATTTCAAAGACTCAATCAGTGTTATGAAATTGATATTTCTTTTTCTCGTTCGATTTATGCATTAACGAATTTGAATGAATTGAATGACACCAACTGTAATAGTTTGGTTGTAGACGTCGTTTTTGATGTAGTTTCTAAAGTAAAACATATTTGTCCATACAAGCAAAATTGAATGTCACTTTTAATGTTTATTATCATTTAAGGAAGTATGTTCAAAACAAATGTTCATATAACGAGCTTCAATTTTACTCCTCATCCAAACACATTAAAGTGCATTATAAAACAAATAATAGTGCCAAATCAGCCATAATTAACAAGCAAATAACAAATGACTTCAATATATATATATAGCATTATTATTTAGAAACTATTGTTTGTAAGAAAAAGAATAAATATTTTCACCCACACGCACTCACACGTAGCAAAGTGTCAGTAGAATGACAAGCAGAATACATTTTTAATCGACTAATACATTGTTACGATTAGTCTATATTGATCGAACCAAGCATATTTGTAAGGTTTGTACCGAATACACGAAAAAGTATGAGTTTTTTTGTTACTGTAGCATGCTGTACAATCAGAAAATTTTTGCCACGACAACTTCAACGTCAAAATTACACTATTACATAAACATTTACTTTGCTCGCACACATATCCAAATCGATTTTTCATACCCCTGATGTTACGATATTGTGATTGGGTAGGAATAATTTTGATAATTTAATTTGAAGAAATAAAAAGAAATTTTTGCTTTCATTGTTTAAAATAGAATTCATTAAACTAAATTCGATGGGAATTACTGGTAGATTTTTTTTTCTTATTATATTGTGTGCTAGTTTGTGACATTGTACCGAATATGCGTTTGTGTTCGTGTGTGTAAATTCATTAGTGTGTGCATATATGAAACTTCAAATCAATCCTATGTACACAATCTACATGTCAGTCTACAGTTTATCATTTTGAAAGCTAATAATTGTCATTGTTTGCTCCGAAATTAGATTGGAAATAAGATTCCATTGGAGGAAATCTGTAAACTAACGTGAGAATCAAAAGAACAAATTTTTATTAGTTTCACGAAATTTTGTTGCAAATCACCATTAAAGTGAGTTTTTTTAGTTTAAGTTCTTCATTTTATTTCACTTGAAATGATAAATAATGTGTTGCATTGATCGTATCTATAAAAAAAATTATAGTGATAATAATAAAGTCTAAAATAAATGTTTTTGTGACTTACAAACTATCCATTATTTCGGTTGGTAGAAAGAAGTTTTCTTCCTATGTTTGCAAATGAATTTAATTAGTTGGTTTCAATGCATTACTATGGGTTTGCATATGTTTTTTGTAAATTTCAAAACGATTAGTACAAATCAGAGTAATGCAAATGTTCTATATAAAAACAGAAATTAGGTACGAAAACTACAAGTTCATAAATAATACAATCGACAGACTGTGGAATAAAATTGTCACAGAGAATCAAAGAATAAATGAGATGTATATAAAGTGTTACTTAAAATGGAGAGACAACGAGAATGAGAATATATAGATAGAGAGATGAAGACGCACACGATAACTCCGTTTTCGTTTGTTAGATGAGCAAAGAAATAAAAGCAAAAGAAAATGTGATTATGAATTATACTGTTACATGAACATACAAACCGTAGTAAACATATTTAGACCTCGTAGGACGAGAGTGACACATTTGTCGTAAATGGTTGCAATCATGTTGATTTTTCCTATGCAAAATGTGTGTTTAGCCGATTGACTATGTCACAACGTTGGTAAATGTTGGTGCGCTCTGAACTTTGTTTCACAACACCAATTTCAAAAGTTGATTTTAAACGTTGATTTGAAAGAAATACGTGCTAGTACTAAAAGTATTTGTGGCCCAAATTTGTCACACATTCCATTTATGAGCCATCCGTACAGTGTGGCCTTGTTCATTTTGTTTATTCTATTCTATGGTATGCGTTTCGGGCATCAAGTGAAAGTAGATTTCTTTAACTAATATCATCAATTATGATAATCAATTCTAAAGTAAAAAAAAGTAAATTAATTTGTAACAATTGTGATATTTAATTGAAAATGAAACCGAAGAAAAGTCAAATAAAAATATAAAATAAAGTGAAATGAAATAATATGTCTTCGATGTACTTGTGTATGTGAATTACAGTGCTCAGCAAAGACGTAACGTTTACTACTGTCGTGTCCCAAATATGAGTTGAGAGTATGTTTGTGCGATGAGCGGCATTTAATACTGTATGCAGTCTATGTATTTTGGATAGATATCCATCCGAGATATTTTAGAATATCTGGATATTTAACGCAACTGCACAGGGCCAGAGCTGTGTGCGTCTCACATATAACCTACGTTATGTCGCTACACGAAAAATACAGACAAAGTGTGACTGTGTACGTGCGGCACTTGATAGTATCAAGTTGATACACATATACGTAGCGACCTACCGTAGATTCTATTTGCGATGCAAACAGCTCTGGCACTGTGCAGTTGCGTTGAATATCCAGATATTCTAAAATATCTCGGATGGATATCTATCCGAAATACATAGACTGACTGTATGTGTTACTCTGTTGACTTCGAAGCCCGATCATGGTATAGGATTTCCTATATAAACCTTGTAACTAACAACACCTCTAATGCGTATTCCGAGTACTAATCGAAGTTTGTGACAATATGGCCGTCACAGTTTGGCAAAATCATAATGAATCGATTAAACTGCGTTAAAATGTTAAATTAAAACAGTAGAAATACATATTAATTTTTTACATTTTTGAAAATAAAAAATCTTTTGTTTTTTTAATTTTTTGAGATTTTCTGTACACAATATTCAAAAATATTAAATTAATAAAAATGAATTGGTTGACATAGCCTCACTTTTGTGTCACAATCGTGATAAACCGATCAAATAATTACTTAAACGAAAGTGAGGTTATGTCAACCACTTCATTTTTTATTAATTTAATATTTTTGAATATTGTGCAGTAAATCTCACGAAACTGCCGGAAACTACAAAACAAAACAAAGAATTCTTATTTTTAAAAATGTAAAAAATGAAAATATTTTTATTTCTACTGTTTTAATAATTATTTAATCGGTTTATCACGATTGTGACACAAAAGTGAGTTTATGTCAACTAATTCATTTTTATTGAATTAATATTTTTGAATATTGTGGACAGAAAATTCTACAAAATTAAAAAACAAAAAATTTTCAAAAATGTAAAAAATTAATATGTATTTCTACTGTTTTAATTTAACATTTTAACGCAGTTTAATCGATTCATTATGATTTTGCCAAACTGTGACGGCCATATTGTCACAAACTTCGATTAGTACTCGGAATACGCATTAGAGGTGTTGTTAGTTACGGGCATTATCAGGCTTCGTAGTTAGTCGGTTATTAATAGATGGCGTTTATATAGTGTGCCCTTATTGCGCTTGACTCTCGAGAATGACTTTGTGACTTTTCCAAAACATCAATTCTTGAGGCGAACTGTATGAAATTCTTGCGTATTTTTTATGCAAATAGCTTCCTACATTACCGTCAATGGAAATGTTTCATTATAATTTCATAAAACGACATTCAGAATCAAAAATAAAATTAAAATTGCAAATTGCACATTTTGTTTATCGAATAAATAGTTCAGCTCAGTGTTGAACTTGGAACAGAAGTGAATTGAACCTTGGAGGAAATGAACATAAAAATTGTCACCATATTATTAGGTATGTTAACAAATGACTTGATTTTACCACCAAAATACAATATTTCAAATACTGATTTTGAAATTGATTTTCACTTCAGCGGCATTGATTGTGGTGTCGGTGGATGCTGGTTTGCTCGATGCCATAAAAAATTTGAAAGTTTTTCGACATTTGGTGAGTAAATCTGAATTTGTGCCAAAAAACAAAACTCAACGCCGTATTTTCAGAAACACAAGTCAAATGGAACGAAAGAAAATGAATCGGAGTCAACGTACCATGCGAGAATCAATGCAAAAGACAGTTTGAATGATGAAAATGATTGGATAACTGTACGTTTCACGAAGCAAAACTATCAAACTATTCAAATATATAAAGAATTGGGTCTCTCTTTCCAAAAAAGGTTCAGTCGCCGATCGCGCTCTCGTTGCACAAGTCAAAATTTGTGAAGCGTGATTTCGAACCGTTAAAATTCCATGGTCATTGGGAACGAGAAGGTGAAGCATTCATCGAAGATACTGGATCCTCTGCGAAGATAACATTTCAAGGTCGACATGAACGACCCTTTATAAGCGGCGGCCTCTTGAATTCCGGTGAAGTTTACATTTTTGTAACCGAGTAATGCGCTATATGTTTTATATGAAAACGTCACACGAATCTCCCCCGAAAACGACATCTTTGGTCTTGCAGCAGAAGCTGTTTCTATGCTGAAAATTTCCTTTCAGTTTAAAAAATTTAATATATTATTTATGCAGAATTGTACAAATATTTTAAAACTTTGAAATGAGATTTACAGAAATATGCATTTGAAAATTGTTTTAAAAAATAAACACGGTACAGTCAATTTCAAAAATTTCAATGAATAATATTGTTGACATATTTTCACGATGACAGCTATTTTTGCGGTACAAAATTGACCCGTTTGAATGATTTGTCAATATTGAACAATTGAACATACTCTACACACATGGGGAAACAGAGATGGCGTTGTCGTAGCATGTAGAAAAATATATGTTTAACGCAATATTCGGCTTCATTTTTGAACAAATGCACTTGCATTGGGGCGAAAAAGATGATCATGGTTCAGAGCATGTAATCGATGGCAAAATGTGAGTCAAATCAATCATATTTTCTAGTTTCATATAGACTGATTCGTGTTTTTTGGATGTGAAAGTTTTTCGGGTGAAATTCATTTGGTCCATTTTAATTCGAAGTATGGTGATTTCGATACGGCTGCGAATCACAGAGATGGTCTAGTTGTAGTTGCTTTTTTTATTCAAGCAAAAGGTGACAAGAAAAATAAAATGTTTGCCAAAATCACTGATCAAATTCCGAACGCTCGAGAATTGCACGCGAAATCGTTTTTGGCGGCAGGTTAGTCAAGATCATTGCATGAAAGGTAACGATTTATGTGAGATTTTCTATTTAGACTGTTTGAAATGGATGTCGACGCAGGAGTTAGACAAGCATTATTTTATGTATCATGGATCATTAACAACACCGCCGTACAGTGAGGCGGTCACTTGGATTATCTATCGCAAACCGATTCACGTGTCAAAACAACAGATAGCCGCTTTTCGTAAGCTCCGTGCAGCTGATAATATACATCAAATCACGAAGAATCGTCGCCAACTGCAAACACCACATAAACGACTAACGGTCATTTTCGCAGGAAAACCGTGAAACCTTGACTCGGAAATGACATTTTAAGGATGCGAATTAAAAGTAAAACAAATGGAATACGCATTGAAAAAATATTCCAAAAAAAAAAATCCAAAACAAACAAAACTTCACCAGAAACATCGCATCACAATAACGTCCATTTGAATAAAAACGTGAAATCATTTGTCTGCAACTCGCAAGAACTTAGACGGAATTGACGTCATTCAAAATGTATTTTACTTGTATGTAAACAAGCTCTATTTTACTTGTATGACCTTGGAAACATCATTTCGTGTAAAATACGAAAAAAATTGTGTGTGTTTTACTTCGAACAAAAAGTACCTAGAAAAGTACTCTTTATTGGAATAAGACGAAATTTGTTTTTATTTATTTATTTATTTTCACAATTGAACACGAATTGAATGTCTGTTATAATCATCAAGAATTTCGTTTAACACGATGGAAAGAATTTGAGAATGACGTCAAGCTAATCGTGGAGTTTTCTCCGTTCCAATTAAAAACCTTGCCCAAATAGTACGTTGAATGTTATATCTGCTTATAATGGATTTCAGTTCTTGTAGTTGAATTGCTAATTCTGACTGTTTTTGCTTCATTTCATTCAGTTGTTCGAGTAGCTCATCGTTAATAATTGATGTTACATCATCAGGGTCAGTATTAATTTTCATTTTAGCGAAACTTAATCTGCAGTTAACGATTTGTGGTCCGTTCGCCTGTTGTCTTAAAAGAGCAACATTTTTCACAACATTGTCAAACTTCCTTTTCAATCGATCATATTGTGCGGTCATTGTGGGCCAGGATTTTTTAAACAGTTCAGCGTCTGGCTTTTTGAAAGGCTTGACGTTCCACTCATTGAATGAAGCATCAAATGGCTCACGAAATTCGTTATCATATTCACTGGGTGAATCAAAATTCAGTCCGGTGATTATCGCATCATGTAATTTCCTGAAGGTTTTCATTTGCATAAAGTTAATTTCACTGATTTGTTTTGATATGAAAGTTCGGGCAGGCATTCCTTGTACTTCCATCCTATTGGGAACATTCGATAAATATAGTTCTCTCTGTTCTTCCGACAAAAATGGTATCATGTCTTGGAGGTTAAGATCGGATGTATTCGGCTTTCTTTCGTAAATTTTAAGCATGAAATCTATGTTTGGGACCCATTTGATTTTAGTCGCTTTTATCTTGTCACGAAAACTGTCTGCAACATTCTCGAATGTTACAGGTTCACAGTTAATCTGGATAAATGGAAGATAAACATTGTTTAATTTAAAAAATGAGCAAAAAAACTTTTTTATCAAAAAACACGACATTTTTTTCAATTTTTGTTCATTTCGGTCAGTCATTTTGCGAACTTATCGACCTTAACTATGATTAATGATAGCCGACTTTTGAGGTGATTTTCAATCGGGTGATCGAAGTTAGCAAAAAGGTGAAATTAGGGTTATTTTAACTTAAACTAATACCTGAACGAGTAGCAGAAGCGATGAAAATGTGAGAAATAGAAAGATCTTCATTTTGTCTTGAACAATACAATTGAACTGATACGCCATCAATCAACACAACGTCTTTTATATTTACACAAATTGTACGATGAATCTAACAAACGTGCTCTGAAAGAATACGTTTGTTAGAAAGAATGTTTGAAATTATAAAACTATTTATAATTATTTTTTTATTGGGTTTTTATAATAATTTTTTATTTGGTATTTATTATCTGTTCATCTGTTCTAGTAAATTATAAATTGAGTTTGTTGAAAACAGTAGGCGAATATTTATTTTGGGTTTTCGTTTTGAATTTAAAAACAAATATCCATTTTTTTACTTTTAATTGAACTAAGAACTTTCAGTGAATTCATCAATACGTGTCATTCTTTTTAAGCTGATCTCGGAGTTTTCTCCGTTCCAATAATAAACCTTGCCCAAATAGTACGTTGAATGTTATATCTGCTTATAATGGATTTCAGGTCTTCTAGTTGAACTGATAATTCCGATTGTTTTTGCGTCATTTCATTAAGTTTCGCAAGTAGCCTATCATTAATAATAGATGTTATTACTTCGGTGTCAGTTGCATCGATAATGTCATCGAAGCTTATTTCACAGTCAATGGTTTGAACTGCGTTCGCTCGAAATATTAAATTGGCTATTGTTGACACTACTCTATCAAATCTCTCTTCCAATTTTGCATGTTGAGCTAGCATAACTTTCAAATGTTTTTCAACTCTCTGCAGATCGGCCTTTTTAACTGGTGTCTCATTCCAGCTATTGAATGAAGCATCAAATGGTTCACGAAATTCATTATCATAGTCACTGGGCGAATTAAAATTCAATCCAGTAATTATCTCTTCATTCAATTTCGTGATGTTTATCATTCGTATGGAATTAATTGAGGTGATTTCTCTCGATAAAAATCTTCGAGCATTTTTTCCGTCAATTTGCATCTCTTTTGGAACCTTTGCCAACACTTTTAGTTTCATATCTTTTGTAATGAATGGGGCCACTGATCGATATTCAGTTTTTACATTGGCTGCTTTTTCGGATATATCGGTCATGAAACTTAAAGTCGACTTCAATTTAATTTTTTGGCCTTTGAGTGAGCAATGAAACTCTGTACTACTTGCTCGAATGTAACAGAGTCACAATTTATGACCTTGATAAGAGAATATAAGGGAAATTTGAAGCTTCTGAAATTATTATTGTTACTTATTATTTATATTGAAAGACTTTACATACCTGAACAAAAACCAAAAGCAATGAAAAGGTTAACAGAGAAAACGACTTCATTTTTTTTTTCACTTGAATAATCCACCTGAATGAGAAAATGATTTTGATAAAAACTCGGTAACGCAAAACGTTTTATACGCAATTATTGTCGCATATGTTTTTCGCTATTTTCTACAGTCGTGTAAAAGACAATTTTCACATTTAGCTTTGAAAATTGTTTGGAATTCCCAACTAAATAAATGACGAAATACTAGGCTAGCTCAAAAAAATTGTTTATGGCAATTCCATCCACTGATTACCGAATATTTGTAGAAAAAAAGATGTTTCTTTTATTTTATTCGCTTTTTGCAGTCGGGTCGAGACTATTCAGCACGAATCAATGGACATTTCTTGGATTTTCGAATGTTCGGTGTATAAAAAATGTTCAAATCTTTTTTGAACTAGTCTAATGTTTGAAACTAAGCAGAAAGTCTCTCTATGTGTATTATATCTGACATCCTTTATGACGACTATTAGTACACAGCGCAGAATGACTGATTTGGTGATATTGATAAATATAGACTGTCTGCACAGAGAGAAAAAATGTGGTATTTTAATTCAATTTTGGTAGATTCATCTTTTACCAACTTTTCGAAACCACAGATGACGCTAGCCCATAAATGTAATGAAGCAATTGGTAAAACTTGTTCAACTAATAGTCTCTTTTGAGAAATGACCATCAGAGATGTCAAAAATGGTACTCGTAAACTTAATTCGTTGTTGGTTGATTTTATATTAAATCTACTAAACTTGAATTAAAAATACCACATTTTTTCTTTCTGTGTGATGTCTGTGTAGCTTTAGGGAGTTATACATAGCTGGGCAGACTGAGAAAATCAGGGGGGATTGGGGGGCTAAATTTTTAGCTATGATCCAAAAACCTTAGCAAAATGAGAAAAACTCTATCCAAAATCATGAATTTTGTAAAGGGTTAACGCAAAAATTTGATGTCTCAGGGGGGTAATCCCCCCTCCCCCTGCCTTCCCAGCTATGGAGTTAAACGAGTTCTGTCACGTGAAATCCCTCTTCAAAGCCGTAATGTGGAGGCTTTTTTTCTAAATAAAAGAAACTAGAAACATTATACATTTCCAAGAAATTCTTTATTTTAGCACATTTGATGGATTTAAAACCAATTAATTTGATTAATTTAGTTTGAATTCGAAAATCTAAAAGAAAAATCATTATTGTTATCGTCCGTTTTCAAGCCAATCTCGGGGTTTTCTCCAGTCCGATTATAAATCTTGCCCAAATAGTACGCTGAACGTTATATCTACTTAAAGTGTGTTTCATTTCTTGCATGTGTCTCATTTTCATTGCTTGGTTGTTTTTAATTTCGGTGAATTGCTTGACCACGGTTTTGATAGTTGCTATTTTTCCTGCCGGCAAAATTTCAGTCAATAGGCTATTGAGTTTGGACGAACATTCATTGATTCCCACGTGATTTAATTTGAAGCTCAATTCCGTTATTTCCGTTGCCAACGTGTCAAATCTTTCCTTCAATTTTGTGTCTTGTTTTATCATAACATTCAATTTATCTTTTACATTTTGCGCTTCTGACTTTTTGGCCCGCTTTACATGCCATTCATTGAATGAATGATCGAATGAGCCGCCAAATTCGACATCATATTTGCTTGGCGCCGCAAAATTTAGCCCTTTTATAATATCTTCTTTTAACTGCGTAATCGTTTGCGTCTGATCAAAGTCAATTGAAATGATTTCTTTTCGTAGAAAATCCGTGGCGTTCATTCCATTAACTGTCGTTCGCTTCAGTACCTCTGCCAACACTTCTTCTCTTTCTTCTCTGGTCGTAAAGAGAGGCACGTCACGCATGTTAAAAGCTTTAATAAACCTAGCTTTTTCGGAAATTTTCACGAGAAAATCAAGGCTCGATTTCAATTTGACTCCAGTTGCATTTGCTTTAGTATTGAAACTCTGTACCACTTGTGCAAATGTAACAGGATCGCAATTGATTACCTTTGGAAATTAATATAAAGACTTGGTTTTAAGAACTTCAATAATTAGGTTTTTGTACTGCATATAAATTCATACCTGAACGAAGATTAGAAGAGATGATATTATTTGTATCTGTTTCATTTTTGCAGTTGAGTAAACTTTGATGAATTGAAATTGATAGACGCAATCCGCTTTATATACCCTAGTTTACTTAATATTTTCACAATTTACACGTGTACCAAGCAAAATGTGTTTTTGTTCAAGTTAAAATTCATAATTACAGACTTATTAAATGATGTCAATGTAACCATTTGTGTCTCGGTTGAAAACATTTTGTGCATACTTTCCAAATTATTGTTGTTGTTTTTGCACTTTTTCGTTTCAATGCTTCAGAAATAAATTGAGTTTTTCGATCTAATTCTAATAAATGTCAGATGGCGCTTATCAGCGGCGTTCGCATCAAAAAGTCTCCGAACTCATACATGTGTCATCCGCTTGAAATTAAGCAAGAAAAAAGTTCACTTTTTATTGTATTTTTTGATTTTTTTATTAAAGCCACATCGAAACAAAATATCGGCTGATAATTTCGAACGTACACTGTTACTTAAATTGAATCGGTCACTTTTGACTATTGTGACAAAAGGAGAAGATGAAGAAGAAGTTTAGAAAATACCATACACTGTTCTTTAACAAAATGTCTAAATTTCAAATCAATGAATAAATCAAAATCATTGGTAATGTTATGATGAGTGTTGTTTTAGTGCCAAATCAATGACTTCCTTCTGGATGTGTCCGAACATGTGAAACTCTTCCAGTGAATTGCGTATGCCTAGTAATCCGTTTATCCAATCCATCGATGAAACGGTTCCAAACGTCAGTGAGATTGTCTTCAAAATGGGCTGACTCAATGCGAAGCGATTCAATTCACATTGCCTGTGTTGATCGATAACTCTTTTAGCTGGACATTAGATAGCAATTTCGTTGGGCAATAAGAATTTGGATGTTTAATTTTTCAAGCGAAGAGATTTGAAGGTCACCATTCAAAGAAATGGAGAAAAACATGTTCAAATTTAGCTCTAGTAATTCCTGAAAATGTTGGGCCACAAATCGAAGGAAACATGGATAAAGCCTGTACAGATTGTGCTGTTGACCACCTTATTATTTGCTGCTGGTCAGCTTTTGACCGAGAGTTGAATCGTGCTGAGCTCGTACGGCTCACGCATACACTTTCGCTTTGTATGTGCTGCCGTTGATGCTATTGCCGTTGCTGTTTCATACGAACATACGAAGTGAATATAGATCGGTCGTGCTTCGCACAATTCACATTTATGGCGAAATCCGAGTGTGAGCCGCACTGACATTTACAGCTTGAAATCCCTACTACCGTGCTAGATGGTGTCGACACGAGTGGACGGATTTTTAAATTTATTTGAACGACGCCATGTTACTTTACTTGTCCATTACAACGTACATGTAACAGAAGAAACACACAGTCCATGTCCTCGCTAGTGGACATAAACGATTTGAACCGTCAATGTGAACTAGATCAAGTATAGAACTTTACATAGGATCATATACGATGAATATGGATTACACAATCTGTTTCAAAATACCGTCACCAATGTCGACACCATTTGACATCAAAATTTTGACAGTAAAAATATGTCTTATTGTTGTTGTCGTTTCATTGCTGTGTCGATTACTATGACAGTTTATCACTCCTTCATGAATTAATTTGACGTGGAGACTACGCATGGATTCTATCATTCCGCAAAATTGGCATGATAGTATTGTTTGATATGCGAGTCTAAAAACAGCTTGGTTTTTCTTTGTATAAAAACATAAAAAAGTGCAATATGCTGTTTACGTCGCATAACTCTTTGAAATAAATACCATTTTCGACGTAACTATTGTTAAAGAGAAATGGAAATTTTTCAACATATTTTGCTCATTCGAACCCATATCCTTTTTTCCATTAAGCTAAAACGAAAAAACAAAATTATCAATTTCAATCAAGCTATCCCGATATTGACAAAACACACGAGTAGAATATAATGCACTTTGCACCGCCATTTTGGTATCAAATTACCAAAATGGCGGTGCAAAGTGAATTGTCAAATTCGACAGATGACATGACAGTTGGCAGCTGTCCGTAGTATTCTTTCGCTTTTTTTTATTCTCTCTGCGTTTTTATTATAAATAGCCTAAAAAACAAAAACTAATGAGTATATTCAGCGAATTGTGTTGCTTTTAATATAACAAAGGTTTATATAAAACCGTTGAAAAATCAATTCAATATAATTATAATGATGCTAACTTGGTTTATTTTGCGTTGATATGAGAATTCTGTCATTGCTAAACGCACATCATCATCGACAGAAATCCCGATCTCTCTTGGTGAAAACAACAAATTCCAATTTTCGATGGAATTGATTCACAACAGTACTCGAAATTATATTAGCATGATCAATATATAAGCTGGTATAGCTTAAAAAATTGTGGCACCCTCTGCAACGCACCACACCTAAAATTGATGTATAGCACTCCAACCTAGGGGGTAGACACGTGGAATCAAAACTCACAGAAATCACAAAAATCACAGAAATCGCAGAATTCAATTTTTATGATTTCTTTGATTTCTGTCAAATGTTGTGTATATTGTACCGCACACACACTATGTGTGCGACTTCCACTATAGGCGCACACTACCACAGTGAAATTAGCTTTGTATATAAGTGTATTTTATGTCCAATATTGAAGTTTGGAATCGAGAAATCACCGAAATCGCAAGAATCAAAGATTTCATAGAAATCAAATAATTCACACTGGATTCATAGGTGTCTACCCCCTAGACTCCAACGGGTCATCTTTTTTAAACTGGTTAGAATGAGGCTGTTGTCCATTCATGTGCGCTTTTGCTATTCGTATCACCTTGTAATCAAGGCATTGACGGCAGATCACGAAGCAGTGCCGGAAGTAGCTGACAATGATGTCAAACAAGAACAATCGCCCGATAAAGGCAGTGTCCAGTCAGTTGTAATTTTATGAATAAACTCTCACTCTGAAAATCTGACATCTCTGATCCACGATTGAATGTGTCAGAATAAAAAATCAAATTCGCATTTCACCTCTTGCTCGCTCCTGAAGGATTTTCCATAAGTGTGCTCAGGAGATGAGATATGAAGTTGAGTTTTTATTCTGACACATTCAATTTATCATAATTTGTAGCTGTCACTGAACATAACCACAAAAGTGGTGCGTCTTCATAGTAAATTTAATGATTCATTACATCACATATACTTGAAAATACATCACTTTTGTGGTGATATTCAGTGACAGCTGCAATACCGTGGTTAAATTTAGTCAAAAAACCTATGTCAGATTTTCAGAACAGTGGAGATTTTTTTTTATTTTTGTATTTATATTTAAATTTTATTTTTTAGATTGAACCCGAACGTGGCTCATTACATAAATCTCAATAAAGACTCTTACGGGTGTAAGACGAACTTTTCCGCACGGTGGTAGTCGCGTTTTTTATTAAGAAAGTTCAAAATAATATTTTTTCGATTTTTCAAGCCTGTCAAGCGGCGTAAAGTTCGAGACCAAAAAATATGTTCAAACCTTGGCATCGAAATATTTTTTAATTTAATAGCAGAAGTACCCGAAAAAAGATTTTTCACACTTTCATGATGAACCCATTTGTACGACATTTGAAAGTATTCTATTTTCTAACAAAACACTATAAAATAATATGTCTGACGTTAATTTTGCTATAAAAATTATTTTTGAAACACGTTTCATAACTTTAGTCATAAAAAATTTGGATTTTTGTATGAGAGCCATGTCTGTATGCTACCTTAATGCCAGTAAGCACGAGTCCTATATAACACCCGATGAAAGCATCCACAAGGAAAATATTTAATTCTTTCACTAAAATGTAACATTTTAAATATGATTATTTTGATTAAATAAAACGAAAAATACATTATTTTATTGGTGCGTATATTTCAATTTTTTTAAGAAGTATAGAAAATATCTACAAAATGCTTCAAAAAGTGCAAAAATATATATTTTTTTTATGATAGATCGGAATGGAAATGTCCGATTGGTCGAAATCGCCTGTTTTTGTTTTCTGGCTGAGACTCCCTTCGATGATAAAATTTACAAAGCAGTTGCTGTTGCTGCTGCTGCTCCTGTTTTTATTGCCATTTTAAACAATACGTCCCGTAAAAAATGTTTTTAAAACAAACTTGAATTGAAAAATCACCAAAAATTAATTCACAATTAAATGGCTTGCTGCCATCAAAGCCGCCTTCATCTGAACACTTAAATTCATATCAAAAGTGACGTCCATGAAGGTGAATTTGGGGAAAAATATTTTGTCGTATGCAAGCCTTTCAATAAGACCAACTTGATTGCCTTCTAATGTTAGAATCTATAATTTTAAGTCGGAAGAAACAATGAAAACAATTTTAAATCATATATAAGGTCAGGGTGGCTATCAGAGACTGTTTCTCAAAGCAATATATGTGAGAAGGAGCACTTTCTTTTTCTTACTTGGTAAGAAGTGAAGCGTAACGCACCTCCTCACAGATGTTGCTCTGCGAAAAAGTCTCTGGTGTCTTTATAAGTGAGTCACTGCTGGAGAGTGTGACTTTTACTTTCACTTTTTTGGTTTCATTCTGGTTCGATATTTCCAATAAGATTAACCCGCATTCCTACCACACCAGAAAATCTATCGAACTCCAAAAAAAAAGAAAATTAAAAACCCCTAGTAGTGACACGCTTATATCAACCGCCCATCCATACGTTTCAGTTTACCTTAAACTTTCTACCAGAGCTTTTCGTTTTAATGCGTAGCACTGTTTCGCCCTTGTGGTTTTTCACAATGAATTTGTTCGTTGACATAATGCTCTGTTGTTCCACATGAGCTATAACTGCGCCAAAAGGTATTTTCACTTCCATCGTTAAATGGCCACCACATGACGAGGCACGTGAAAAATGTAACACTTCGTTTCCACGAAGATCCGAAATGGTCATTCCAAGTAATCCACATCCGAATGTGAAGCAACCATCACTTTTATCTTCCTCAACGCCCAAATACACCTGAATTTAAATATCGCAAAGTTATTTTAAAGAAAAAACAGAAATGTCTTTCCCGCACTTGGTGTGTCAAAAAGGTGGGCATTTGAACGAAAAAACTCACATCTTCCTTTGATTCGTTTTGTATGGAAAACTCAACGTTTCGCGAAGAACAATAATGGGCGCTTCGTTTAAGAATCAATCGATTGACATTTGTTAAATACTCCAAGCCCGGCGGAACATGCCTACCACCTGTAAATGAATTAATTTTTTTATTTGACCGTTTTAAAGGCCGCGACAGCAGCAGAGTCGTGATTTGCTACAGTCGCTTGCCGCATACGATGCATGTGTCGTCGGCACGCTATCCATAACACTATATCATATATATTATACAACTTACTAGAAATTCTGCTTTGCTGTGGTTGAAATGTGACAGGACTTGAAGTTTCATAATCAATATTGGACGGATGTGTGGGATTTCTTCGATTGATTAAAATGCCTGAAGGTATTGCACTTGAATTTCTTTCCATATTCTGATTCAAATAGCAAAGCAAATGCACATTGGTTAAATTATTTACTATCGCTTTTTGTGCATACAAATTGTATTACAGTCCACTCTGATAATGAAAACATGACGTCATACTTACATTTTCACCTTATTTTTTGAATGTTCCAAACTATTCGAGCTTTTTCCACGTAAACTCAATTATTCACAATAAAAAGAAGATTAAAATTTACCTTTTGATTATTATTTTTTTTTGTTCTAGAAAAAAATTTGGTTGAAAAAGTCGAAAAACATCGAACTGTTGTCGTGAAGTACAAAATATGACTAGTGAAGTCGGTATGTTTATTTTCACCTGAAAGTTCGCGTTACACATGCACATCGGTGCGGAAGTGACGCGAATATAGGCACGTGGGTCAGCTGCATGGATAACTATGTAAAATATTCCGGAAACGAAACGCGTACATAGGACGATTTACAATACAGATACTTTGGTTTCGTGCAAAAACGTCATTTGCTGTGTTATTCTTTATTCATGAACCATTCTAAGTGTATCTCAAGCGCGACAGTATTCATTAGACAAAAAGTGATGTTGAAACAACTTCTGAGCATACTTCATGTAATTAACGTTAACAATAGACGTGTACAAACCAGAGGTTGTAGGCGGGTGGAAAAATCGACCTAAGGATTAATGGCTTCCGTTCTTGCCCGACCCGACCAGACCCCAACCACAAGTCAGACTGGAACTTTAATACTCTATCGAAACCCATCCCAATTGATTGAAAGAACGACCCGTGCTGGTTGCGTAACACATACAACTATTGGACATAAAATAAATAGATAGAATCTTTTGTAAAGGTATCATAATTCATGAAGACTAATTAACAATTAATAGACTTTCTGTTTTCGAGAACATTGAAGGGTTTTTATTCGAGTTCATACACTTATTTCAACCAGAAAGCTCAATCCACAGTTGAAAATACATTTATTTGTGCAAAACAAGAACGTATAAAGTCGCATGTGTTAGCAATACGGATACATATGGATAACGAATAGTTGACGTGTAAGATGACTGCGAAAGCGAAGCACACAGTGACGTTTTGAGATACGTTCAGCTGGAAAATGACAATGTTGTTTACAATCTGTTGGTGTTCATTCCCTTGTGGAAAATTACTGACTGACTAGTCAGTTAACTAAGACGAATTGGCTGAAGCCAACTGTGATTGAAGTTTTTCAGTCAATCCAAGTAGAGAAAAATATAACTTGATTCAACTTCAATCGCAGTTGACTATAGACAAAAACGTCCCAAATTAGTTATCTGTTTAAGATGAGATACAAAGACGACTAAAGTCGACTGGGTAGACGACTTCAGTTAACAAAATCCAATTTCAGTCGATTTCAGCTAACCAGTCAGACAGTCAATTTTTTTCCACACGGGTTGTTCAAGAGTATTGTGCATATCAAGTAAGCTTTTGACAGCTATTATTCACATTTCTGGATCATCATTCACTAGGACAATTGGTCATTTCTTTGAAAATGTGAAATTAAAATTGGGTTTCAAGTCTATTCTCAGATAAACTTTACACGATTGCTACAACAGCAGCATTGTTTCGTCTTTGTTTTATTTCCTAAAAATATTCTTTTGTTTAATACACCAACTTCGAAATGTATGCGAAGACAAATTTACCAATAAAAGACTTGCTGCAATCAAAGCCGCCTTCATATGAATATTTAAGTTGGTATCAAAGTTGATTTCCATGGCGTATGTAGCATCGCAAAAATCTTCCGAATATTTTACTCTATTAATAAAACCAACTTGATCTCCGTCCATTGTTAGGATCTACAATATTAAATCGAATTCACTGAAAATGTTCCTCTGCGCATTCAACAACAAGCAAATGTGAAATAAATCGATATACTTCTGTTCACCTTAAAAGGTGCTCTTCTGTTACAGCTTTTTTGAACCAGGCGTAATATTGTTTCATCGTTGTGATTTGTGACAATAATTTCGTTCGAACACCATGTTAACTTTTCTTTCACTCGCGCAATCATTTGTCCAGAAGGTGTTTTCACTTCGAAATAGCTAGTCATACATTCGGGAAAACGTGTAAATTGTAACACTTCGTTTCCGCGAAGATCCGAAATTTTCATTTCAAGTGATGAACATCCAAGTGTGCACCAATTATCAGCTTCAATGCCCACATATATCTTAAACGAAATGTTACATATAATAAAAACAATAAATTTGAATCAATTTAGAACATACTCACATCTTCCTTTAATTTGGTTTTTATGAAAAACTCTCGGCCATATGAACAACAGTTACTTTTTCGTTTAACAAACAATCGATCGCGATTTTTTAAGTATTCCAAGCCGGGCGAATCATTCAGGTCATCTGTTTGCGGATTTTATACACATTTGATTAATTATGTCTTTAAAGTGCTTTTGAGGTGACCGACTCCAAAGCTAGCTCCAAAGCCACAATAAAGCAAATAAGCAATAACGACATGTCGTTTGTAACAATTGCTTGACGCATTATTAACAATGCATTCGTCGTATTGATCGGTAGCGTGTATGTACATTGTACGTATGTGTAAATATATAAACAAAACCTACTCGGAAAATCGTTTCGCTGTGGTTGCGATGTGACAGGACCGATTGAAGTTTGATGGCCTTGATTTGAAATCATCGAAACCATATTTATTTTGCTGGAATTTCCTTGAACTGCTTTTGAATTTACCTCCATCTATAATTTAAATTTAATATTGAAGAAAATGCAGTAGTGTGTAGCAAAAATAGGAATAATTTGAAAAACAAAAGCGAAGAGGAACATAAACTTGGTTGTAGAATCTTTTGAATATAAATAAATCAAGCGTTTTTCGCGAAAAAAAAGAAAAGTGGGGTGGTTAGCCACTGGTTGCAAAGAATAATTCGGACGATTGATTGGAATTTTGTGAAAAACATACCACTGTACTTTCAATACTGCTTATTTTTATGCTTAAACCTTGAAAATAAGATCCAGAGATCACATTATAAAAGAAAATTCTATACACACTCAAAAATAAATCACCATGGAGCAAAATTTCATTGAAAAATATAGATTTTCAAATTATTAATTTTTCCAACTTACAGTTTTTGGTTGAATATTTTCCAAAAAAGGTAAATTTCCTACGTAAATTCTTTGAATTGATTTGAGTTTATTACTCCAGTTTCATTCACAAAAATTGTTTATTATTGTTTATTTTTTGAAAAATATTTAATTGAAATAAGGAATATTTCAACAAAACGTTTACTGGACAGTTCAAGATGCGACTATTTGTCGCGTTAAGTCTCACCGAATAGCTCGTACTATAATTGGAAATACGCAAATAAATGTATAAGAGCATATCTATGTATGTTTTTATTCAGACATTACTCAGCCATAAGCGCTGAATGACATACTCTCTTCTCGATACATTCAATAATCTAAATTACCCTTCCAACGATTTATAAAAAAATCATATATTTTTTATTCCAATACCTTTCCAACGGTGTATCAAACGCCGGGAGAGAGAATCAAACCAGCTGGAATGCGTTTATTCCAACCGAAATGTCACTAATACGTAGTTCACGATATTTCCATTTAAGTCGATCCATTAATGTTCACCAGAAAGTTCAAACCACGGTTGAAAATACATTTATTCGTGCAAAACAAGAGCGTATAAAGTCGCATGTGTTAGCGACACGGATACATATGGATAACGAATAGTTGACGTGTAAGATGATTGCGAATGCGAAGCACACAGTGACGCGTATGTTTGAGATACGCTCAGCTGGAAAATAATAATATTGTTTACAATCTGTTAAACGGTCAATGTTCATATAACATGGTAAAGGTTCAAGAATATGTGCGTATATTTAGTCAGCTTTTGACAGTTATTATTTACATTTCTGGATCTTCATTCACTAAGAGTCTTAGTGACTATGACAGTTGATCATTGAATGCTTTGAAAATCTGAAATGGAAATTAGATTTGTCGATGTACATCGTACAAGACTATTTCATTTCAGTGCAATATTTTTTATTTCGTAAAAAGCGTAAACTTTGGCACAATAATATGTCAATATTGGAATTAGATTTGTCCATAAGAGGTCCCCTTCTCAAATAAAGTTTATAAGGTCTATAATTGGAAATACGCATATATATATATATCAAAACAAACTCTCAAATGCCGCTACTGTGCTCTGAAAAAAGTCAGTCAGCAAAAGCGTTATAAAATATATGGACGATGTCACGCTTTTGATGGCGTACTTTTTTATATAACGCGTCACATACAGTTTTTGACACTATTGCTGACGTACTTTTTTCTATAACGCATTTGAAGACATTTATCTAGTAATGCTGATTTATTCTAGGCGGTTCAATTATGTCTTTGTTATTTTATTTTAGTTGACTCCAGTGCCGCAACATCAGTAGAGCAAACGTACGATAGCGATACGTCGTTTGTGGCACTTGCTCGACGCAATATTAACGACGCGACTGCCGGCAGGTTGTGTAGTAATATACAATGTATATTGTATATACTGCACGTATATGTAAATATATAAAGAAAAACATACTCGCAAAGTTGAATCGCTGTGGTTGAGATGTTACAAGCCCAATTGTAGTGTCGTTAATATTATGAATCATGTTGTTGTTTTATTACTAATTTAAAGAAAATGTGAATATAAATCTGTAATTGTATTTAAAAATCTAGTATTATTAATTCTAATTTTGGTCACAATACACGTTCCAATTGTTTCTCTAATAACGTTGTATTTTTTAAAACTTACATTTTTTTCAAAAAAATTTTTTGTCATTGGTTGAATATTTTCCAAAATGGATAAATTTCCGACGTAAATTCTTTGAATTGATTTGAGTTTATTACTCCACTTTTATTCACAATAAAAAATGATTAAAAATCTGAAAATTGTGGCTATTATATTCTTTATTTATTTTTTGAAAAATTATGGAATATTTCAAGCCAAACTTTTACTGCGTAGATCAAGATGCGACTGTTGTCGCGTTTGATCACACCGAGTGGCTCTCTCTATAATTGGAAATATTTTATAAACTGACACAATAATATATTTTGTAATATTGGAATTAATTTTTTTCCATAAAACATCCTTTTCCCAAATAAACTTTATACGACTGCTGCTATTCCTCCTGCTGTTGCGCCTGCCATTGCTGCTCTTTGTTTTGCGTCCTGAAAGGATATTTTTGTTTAATACACCTACTTCAAAATGTATGCGAAAACTTATTTACAATTAAAAGACTTGCTGCGATCAAAGCCGCCTTCATATGAACATCTAAGTTGACATCAAAGTTGATTTCCATGGCGTATCTAGCATTCCAAAAATTTCCGGAATATTTTAATTTTTTAATAGAACCCACATGATCGCCGTCCATTGTTAGGATCTACAATATTAAATCGAATTCACTGAAAATATTCCTCCAGCAAATGTGAAATATATACTGTTCACCTTAAATTTGTAAAAGCTTTCTCTATCAAGTCGTAAAACTGTTTCATCATTGTGGTTTGTCACAGTAGTTGTGCTGGAACACCATGTTGACTCAAATTTTACGCACGCTATTATTTGGCCAGAAGATGTTTTCACTTCGAAAGTACTACCCATACATCCGGGAAAATATGTAAATCGTAACACTTCGTTTCCGTGAAGATCCGAAACTTTCATCCCTTGTGGTGAACATCCAAGTCTGCAACAGTCATCATCGTCAATGCCAATGTATATCTAAAACGAATGGTTTCGTAATAAATACAAGAAATTTGAATCAATTAAGACATACTCACATCTTCCTTTGATCCGTTTTTTATAAAAAACTCTCGAGGTAAACAACAGGGAAATTCATTTTTAACAAACAATCGATCGAGATTTGTTAAGTATTCCAAGCCGGGCGAGACATTCGGGATATCTGTTTGTGGATTATGCACATTTGATTATTTATGTCTTAAAATGTTTTTTGATAATGAATTGACCGAATCAAAAGCCGCAACAACAGTAAAGCAAATATACAATAGTGAGATCTTCTTTGTGGCTCATGCTTGACTCATTATTAACGATGCAACTGACGTATTGGCTGCCAGCCAATGGCTGGTAGCTTTTGTAGTATTATACAATGTATACACTGTAGCTATATGTAATTATATAAAGAAAAACTTACTCGCAATGTTGCATCGCTGTGGTTGAGATGTTACAGGCCCAATTGTAGTGTCGTCTTCATTATGAATCATGGTGTTTTATTGCTAATATATTATTGAATATAAATCTCTGTGTATTTAAAAACCTCTTGACGTTATATTTTTTTAACTTACATTTTATGTATTGGTTGAATATTTTCCAAAAAAAAAAAAATCCGACGTAAATTCTTTGAATTGATTTGAGTTTATTACTCCACTTTCATTCACAATAAAAAATGATCAAAAATCTGAAACTTGTTGTTATTATTTATTTATTTTTTGAAAAATTATGGAATATTTCAAACCAAACTTTTACTACGTAGTTCAAGATGCAAGTCAAGATGCGACTGTTGTCGCGTTTAGTCTCACCGAATAGCTTTCACTATAGTTGGAAAAACGCATATATAAGTCTAAGAGCGTAAGCTACGCGTACTATTAGTGCGTTAGATCTATGCGAAACCGAAACACATAGCGGCATATATGTTTACAATACGAATTAGCTCTAATAACATCGCATACGGTCTTACCTGTAGTTGTTTAAATTTTGCGCTTTAAAAATGAAAACAATCAAGTTTCAAACCACCACTACTCGTGGCGCCGCAAAAACAATCATCAGTATTGGTTACGGTAAATTTCTTCAAGTTTTAGGCGAAATCTCCTTTTGTCCCTAAATTTTATTTGGGCTTCTAAGCTTCGCACACATTGTTTTTGAAGGCTGAATGTAAGTATAGTTATTATTCGCTTTTTCGTCATGGGTTTAATACCAACGTAAATAAAATGTCTTACATCCGTAAGATGAACTTTTCCGCACTGTGATCCACAACATGCATTTATTACGTATCTTTTGCCGTAAATATGAATTCATGAGAAAACTGAATCTGATATAAGTTTTGCGATACAAATAATTTTCGTTGGACTTTTCAATGCCTGTATGATATCGTAATCATGTGAAAATTTGCAGATGTTATTTTTTTCACAAAAAGCTAACATTCTGAAAGTTTGAAGAAATTTCAATACAATTGAGTGGTACCTTCCATACAAAATTTTCGTTTTTGAGCAAAAAATTCAAAATTTTGTTGGGGAGGTATCTCTATTATGCATTGAAATCTCTTCAAACCCTCGGAATGTTATTTTAGAGTGAAGAAAATAACCTGTGCAAAGTTTCAGCTCATTACGATATCATACAGGCATGGCTTCCATAAAAAAATCCAAATTTTTTGAATTTTTTGTATGAAAAGTGTTTTGAAAGTTGATTGTATCGCAAAACTAACGTCATATTCGATTTTCTCGTACCCAAAAACCCCCCAATACACATTTTTGAGTGTTTAAGAATACATTAAAAATCACTTTTGGAAGAAAAATTGAATTTTTCCCATGGATGGACATGGGCATCACACCAGACATGACACTTTACCCTGTCAACCAAAGTCGGTCAAAATCTAATGGTTTCTATTCCTCGGCACCCCCAATCATCCTGTGAAGTCAGATTTTGAATTACTTTTCTTGTTTGAAAGTTATCGTGTTAACAAATTTTTGCGTACAGGGTACAGCGTACAGGGTACAGGGTACAGGGTACGCACATACATTCGGACATCGAAAAAACGCTGGATTCGTGTTCCCTGGCCCCAAAAACACCCAGAAAACACATTTTTATGGGTGTTAATTTTTCGACCGATTCCAATACTTTACCTTACACACTAGGTGTGTGCGGAAAAGTAAAATATAGAGGCATTTATACGCCGTCTCCAAAGCGGTTGAATATTTAAAGTATCACATCTAAAATAATACGGTGGCAATACAAAATTCTCGTCTCTTTGGTAAACAAATCTTAATGTCCATATCACAAAGTCTTTCTGAATTGATTCTATTCTATCTGAGTGTATACGGTGGTATGGCTGCCATACAATACTCGCGTATTCTAATTTTGATCTGACAAGTGCACAATATAATATTTTCGCCGTTTCGATCGTGAACTTATTTTTTAGTGTCCGTTTTATGAATCCCATAGCCGCATGTGCACTAGCTGTAATCGCATCGATGTGATTGACAAACGTTAGTTTTTTGTCGAAAATAACGCCGAGATCCTTGTGTAAATTGATTCGTTCAAACGTGTGTTGGCCGTTGTTGATCGTATATACGTAGTCGATTGTGTTTCCACCTTTTGAATACGTCATTACAAAGCATTTCTTCAGATTCAGATATAGGCTGTTTTCAGTGCACCAATCATTCAACTGATCAATGGAATTTTGGAAAGTAATGGCATCACTGGGCGATTGTATTTTTCGAATCAATTTCAAGTCATCTGCAAAAAGTAAGACAAGTGCATTTGACACGGTTTCGACAATGTCGTTAATAAAAATAATGAATAGACATGGTCCCAAAATACTTCCCGCAGGTACTCCTGATGAGACAGTGAAAGTACGTGACTTTCTTTCGCCGATTCCAACAAACTGTGTACGGGCTGTCAAATATCCATGGAACCATTTGACTAGTCGTCGGCCGAATCCAAATTTCACCAGTTTCTGTAGCATTCTTTTGTGGTTGACCCGATCGAAGGCCTTGACCCTTGATATACTTCTGTTTACCTTAAATTTAAGGCTGTTAAGGCTTTCTTGATCAAGGTGTAATACTGTTTCGTTATTGTGGTTTGTCACAGTAATTGTGCCTAAGCCCCATGTTGACTCAGATTTCAAGCGCGCTATTATTTGCCCAGAAGCTGTTTTCACTTCGACAGAACAAGTCATACATTCGGGAAAACGTGTGAATTGTAACACTTCGTTTCCGCGAAGATCCGAAATTTTCGATGCATGTGGGGAAAAATTAGATCAGCAATTATCATCGTCAATGCCCACATATATAATGAAATGTTACATAATAAATGCAACAAACTTTAATCAATTAAAACATACTCACATCTTCCTTTGATCCATTTTTTATAAAAAACTCTCGAGCTGAAAAATGGGTGAATTCACGTTTAACAAACAATCGATCGAGATTCGTTAAGTAATCCAAGCCTGGCGTGACATTCAGGTCATCTGTTTGTGGATTATACACATTTGATTAATTATGTTTTTACAATGTTTTTGAGTTGACCAACTCAAAATCCGCAATAAAGCAAATATACAACAATGAGATGTCCCTTGTGAGACTTGCTTGACGCATTATTAACGTTGCGACTGTCGTATTGGCCGGTAGCATGTGAATAGCTAAAGCTATGGATATAGTGGCTGCTATTTCATATACGCCTTTTAACTCGTGTGCTGTGTGTACCATAGAGCATGAATAATATAGCCTACTAATTCTACTGTACTTTTGAATGTGAGTGTATACAAACGAGAGAGACGAAGAAAATAACGCACGATATGCAAAAACAAAAGATAACACACAGCATATGAGTTATATAGCGCCTATGAAATAGCAAAAACTTACTCGCAAAATCGCCGCGCTTTGGTTGGAATGTGACAGGCCTCTTTGAAGTTTCGTTGTCTTGATGTTACATCATCGATTCCTTATGTATTCTGCTAATTATAATTTGTGCTGATTTATTACTAATTTATTGTTGATTATGAATAAAAAACTGTAATGTATCGATGTGTAGTTAAAAACCAAGTATTATTCATTGTAATTTTGGTATTAATACACAGTTCCACTTACATTTTTAGTTATTGCTTGAATTTTTTCCAAACTGAATGAATTTCCAGAGTAAATTTTTTAAATTGATTTGAATTTATTACTTCACTTTCATTCACAATAAAAAAAATGATTAAAAATCTGAAACTGGTGGTTATTATATTATTTATTTAATTGAATATAAAAATATTTAATTGAAATAAGGAATATTTCAACGAAACGTCTACTGGATAGTTCAAGATGCGACTACTCGTTGGAAATACGCATATATAAGCTACGCGTACTATCAGTGCGTAGGAACGATGCGGAACTGACGATACGAAACACACAGTGGCGATACGAAATATATGTTTACGATACAAATTAGTGCGAAAAGTTCATTTATTAGTAGATTTTTATTAACAAATATTAGTAATTGTAAGTCAAAATTCGCAGTATTTAAAATACAAAAATAAATATAATTGTCAATGACAATTTGTCATTCAAAGTTTTCATATCTAATATTCTTAATTTTCTGGTTAACTTTAAAAAAATGCGAAAGTCTAAAACATTTTCAAAAAATTTGGCACATAATAATATCAATTTGAAGCTAAATCAAAGTATCCGAACATTTTGTAGCCGTGATGGTACATAGATAACATGAAAAAAGTCGAAAAAAGTTGTATACACTATGATGCACTATAGTGCACTATATTGCAGTGTAAGACGTCTATAGACGATGCATATAACTGCTCCAAAGATTGTAAAAAGGGAGTTTTTTGTAATGGTTATTGTGCTAATATTGAAACCACTATCGATTTTCTTTCAAATGCTGCTACTGCGGCTCTCCCGATGATTTCCTAAGCAACATTTCCTAGAAAAAAAACAAACTATTTATCGAATACACTTGATCCGAAATGTAAAGGAAGACAATAATTTACAATTGAAAGACTTGCTGCGATCAAAGCTGCCTTTACATGAACATTTAATTTGATATCAAAGCTGACTTCTATAGAATAGGTGTCAATGAATCCTTTATTATCTCGTCTCTTTGTAATTTCACCGACTTGAGTGCCGCTCAATGTCAGGACCTAGAATGTTAAACGGAAGAAATCGTATTCACCCAAATTGAAAAAAAAATTGAATAAAAAAAAAAACAAAATGAGCAAAAAATCGCACCTTAAATTTAGAACTGTAAAAACCGCTTCGTTCAATGCGTAATAGAATGTCCTCATTGTTGTTTGCCACAATGTATTTAGTCGTAAAAAGCGAGAAATCAGGTCTTACTCGAGCTATTATTTGACCAAAAGGTGATAACACTTCGACGATAAAACCGCTACATTGCAAAAAACGTCTAAATTGTAGCACCTCATTTCCACGAACATCGAACAGTTTTATTCTATGTGGTCCACAGATCAAACCAATGCAGCATTCACAATCATCGTCTTCAACACCAACATACACCTAAATGTGTCAAATGTAACAGAGAATAACAAATTTGAACATTTTTGTTTGAAAACATTTGGAAAATACTCACATTTTCCTTCAGCTCATTTTTTATGAAAAATACACGATTTTGTGAACAACATTGAATGTTTCTTTTGATAAACAATCGATGGACGGTTTTCAAGTAGTCCAGACCAGATGAGCCATTTAGATCATCTCCACCTGTTTGGGAATTAAAACTAATTTAATTCAAACGTCACAGAATCAGTAAAGCGAATAAAGTAGCGAATTTATGACACTCGAAGTGCGTTGTTCGCTTTGGTCTATGCTTTGGTTGGTGTCTTGTACAGTACATGCATGTGTATAAACTTACTGGAAAATCCGCTTTGTGGTTGAGATGTGACAGGAGCTTTTAAACTTCCATAATCAATATTGGATGTACGTATGGGATTGCTTTCGGATGGGATGGGATCTGAAATCACTGATTCCAAATGCGTTGTTCTTGAATTTCCTTGAGACATATTTGAACCTTCTTCCATCTGATTTGAAATGTTGAAGAATTATTTAAAACTTTTCATATCGCTATTGAATACAGTCCTCGAAACTGTTCATAGTAAATACAAAATCATAACGACATGTTTCTTAACTTACATTTTCACTTTTTAAAAAATGTGTTTTCCGATGACGAATAAAAAGATGATTAAAAATTAGAAATTTGTGCGTTTTATTATTGTTTAGTTAAAAAAGTCGACTATCACAGCATAGTTCAAGAGGCGACTAGTCAAGCAGTTTCATCAAATAGTACTACAATTGGGGATACACACATTGGCGCCAAACAGACTCGTACTATAAAGCCGCATGAGAAACCAAAATTGATGCAAAAAAAAAAGTGGAAACGAGTCGCACTGTGCCGCTTGTGTTTACGATACGGATAACTATCCGAACTGAACTCAGTTTGTAGGGAAAAAAACCATTTTATTGGTACATTCTTTATTGACAAACAAGTAATAAAGCCCATACAGTATTCAATACATAAAACATAAATAAGTTTTCTTACACAGTGCTTTTTCTTATTGCTTCTTCAACTTAACGATTTTGAGTCGTCGTCCACTAAAACAGTGTAGTATGTGTAAGATGCTTTGAAAACCTAAACAAAAAATCAAGACTTTTATAAATAGACTTTTTTTGCATTCCACTGCAAAATGGTTCAAACTTTAAAAAAATTTACATGAGAATTTTCATAGACAAGATTATTTTATGTCCAAAAATCAATTGTTAATCGATCAAACGTTTCCTTTAAAAAAAAATCTTTATGCAAAAACCGAAAATACACAAACCGCTAAAAACGTCGGTAAATCAACGGCTGCAAATTTCCCAGCCGTTAATCGGCATGCTCGTCTTGATCGCATCATCACCATGGTCAATGCATTTCGAATTCGATGTGAACTTCTACCAGATACTTCCCAATTAGAGAAGTAGGCGTGCAAACGAATGTTTTCGCTCTGAAAGAAAATGACAATTTTCAACCCTGCACTTTTTTGACACTCGTTTCTTTTGTCGATTTTATACTGTACCGCAACAAACACTTGACTGCCATAAAAGCAATTGGTGTACAGCTGAATGATAAGTCCCGAATAGAAAAAGGCGACGTGAAAGAATTTCGGTGTCATTAGATTGTCAGCAACGGATGAAATTGAGAACAAAACACCACATATCATTGCACCACTTCCGAGATCTTATAATTTAAACGAATAAAGTTAAATTTTTGCTAAAATCGGGAGAAATATGTAGGGAAATTACATTGAGCCAATAGGGCCCAGGTGAATAAATCATTCGTGCGATTGAAGAAGCTGGAAAAGGCGAAAGATTGGTCCTAAAATTATCTATAAATCGTTTTTTTTCTAATAAAAAAACATAAAACTCTCTTACTCTGAGACGGCAATATGATGATTAACAATGTCTTTGAGTCGACCGTTGATGTGCAGAGCAATAACTCTCTCATCTAATTTATTTGAAAATAAAGTGTTTTAAAAATGAGTTTTATTAAAAATTGTAAAAAAATTAAACCTGGCAGTTCTTGGTGCATCATTTTGAGCTCTTCTTCCACATTCTCACGAAGGTTTAACTTTTTGATACAAAAAAATGGTTCGAAATTAGATACAAACACTGCGCATAGCTCTTGTTATTGATAGCTGCAGCGGATGCGGTAATGACAAATCGCTTCCTTAATTAGGAATCCTCATTAAGAAGAACAGAATTTGAAGATAAATGCAACGTTGATCCTTGTGAACCGCAGCCACCAGTAACACTCAATCTTCAAACTAAAAATATCCTCAACTAAAGTCTTCTCAAATATTACTCACCAAATCATCTTTGATGACATAAAACTGAAAGCGAATGTATCGCATAAAGCCCATGACTAAATTATCAATTGGTAAAATGATGCACACCAAACTCAGTCCACCCAGAAAATTTGAAGCGAATATTATCTAAAAATTGAAAGGAGCCATTTTTAGGTCAAATAAAATGATGTCTTTGGATCATGTGATTACCTCATAAAACCGCGTATACTTGCCATATGGCAACCAAACATGATAAGAAAACATTCGTTTTGGTCGTTTGCATTCAAATACATCTCCCATAGGTACTCTTAGATTAAGTTCACTGATTAAAAAATAGATTAGAAATATTTGAAATAAAAATTGCATTTAAAATTCATCTCGTTTTCTATTTTCATGTATTAAATCTTCAAGGCCGTAAACCCACCTGATTTTCTGATCAAAAAAATTGATTCGTCTGGCCAATTCGTTGATTTCATCGTGTCCACTCAATGTCTCGCGTGAAAATATCGTGCCATTTTCCTGAATCATCCACGGAACATCATTTATTTGAATTTCGTGTCTCAACAGAAAATTTTCATAAACTTCAAATTTTTCCTGACAACTCTGAACCATCTCACTTCGATTGGTAAGAGTTGCATAAATTCCAGTGAAAAGAGCAAAACTGGTTGTGGACAAAACAGCAAACCAATAAATATAACCCAGTTTGTCGCTCAAATTTACAGTTCTTTCCAAATTGTCGAGGAATCTATATTATCGAAGAAAAAGAGATAACTTGAACAATTACTTGACGCTCAAAACTTTGATAAGCATTTATGTAAAAGCTGAACCATTATCATACTTTCGGTTATCTTTGCGATATAACGGCATTTCTTTCGTACGTCGGTCCAGCTCCAAAAACTCATACTTTCGAGACATCCTGTAATTCAATTTATTCACATGAAATTTGTTTTTGTTTCTGTGTCAAATACATCGACAAAAGATTTAAAATGAATACATTTTCCCAATTGAAACTACTTTGCAAATGATAATTTGCCAACAAAATAAACTTCAACTACAAAGCTAGATACAAAGTTGAGTAACAAAGTAAATAAATCAATAACTTTTTTTATTGCTTACATAATGTACGCTTTTGCAATGCCCAGAAAATGTTGTATGCCATACGCAACCGATACGGTTAGTTCGTCAATTTCCAGTTCATTGAAGCCATAAGTTAGCATTACAATTTCAAAAAATGTATGAATCGATGCAAATGTTATCAAGGCCATTTTGTAAATGTCATAGATTTTTTTCGGAATGCCATGATCCACACTTGGGACACAATGTGAAAAACACATTTATTTATTTGAAATAAACTTAGTTTTTCAAGAACCTTCTTACCTTTTATCAAAAAAAGGTGTCCAAACGCCAATTTTCTCCAACACACCTGAAACATTTCAAATGTATTTCTTCATTTAATTCGCCCGATGTTATACTTTTTAAAGTAACTTCATTTTCGAATCAAGTCAACATAAATTTTGAATTAATGTAATAAAGCCATTCCATACCGAAATTAGACCAAAAGAAACTCGAATTATCCATATTTTCGCCTCGTTAAATAGTTACTGAATATTTTTCAAATGCACTTGTAATCGATTTATGAGCAATATGCAGGAAGACGCCTCAATTTATACCATCTTTCAACACAACTACGGTTCATGTAATGAAGTTATTCAATCAGTTGAGGTCTGTTATGACTTTTTTCGATATATAAAAATTTAATGAGACAGAAGTTTGAATTTTGTTTAAAACCGTTTAACTCGTTTTTTTGCTTCCGAACAAAACAGGGCCGGATTCAGTTCGACTTTTTGTTCTTTTGGTAAAATTGAAAGCTGTATGGACTTATTCAAAAGTTTTGAATCAAAACTGAATTTTAGCGAAAATCGAGACTGAAATATCGAAAAAGATTTAAGTCCGTCTTTTGAAGGTACTCGCATGGAACTGAATTACAAATTTAGTCGAAATGACCTTTTATTATTCTTCAGACAGCATTAAAAAAATACAGAATTATCTTTGATTTTTCGAAATTCCATGAGAAAATTAAAAGAATTGTTGTGGGGATAAAAAAAAAGATTTTTAGAGAAAAATAAAGAAATAGAAAACGTCTTGTGATTAATTTTCGAGGTATTCAATTTATTTTGTCTACCAAAATCAGGCTGAGCATAAAATATTCAATGCGTATATATATTTTCTTTCGATTTACATAATATTCTCGTTGGTCATTGCATTAAACGAAGAATAATAATAAATTACATAATTGCTTACAATTCTATGGACTTCACGTCAGAAAATAATTGTACCAAAATTTCCACTAAATCACGAATCGAAAATTGCCTGACTTTCTTACTAAATATTAATTTTTGTATTATTTTGTTTTTCGACCAAAAAACGTTAACAACATTAACTGTTCTGGGTCCCTTTTCAGAATCGACCCACAAATGATAATTATGAAAAATCAGTTCCAAATCCAATTCAGTGCGTTAAGTTCCATACCTCGTACTTGCTGAATATTTCATTATTGTTTTTGACATCAAACTACGAACCGAAAAAATGGCCATGATTATGTCCAAAATAAAAAAAAATTGTTGAAACAAAAATTATCTCAATGCTCATCAAATCGATTCACCGACAAATTCCTCAAAAACTGTCTAAAAATTCATGAGCCTAATTCAATCCGCTTCTCGATTCAATGCGAAAAAAAAAACTAAAAAAAGACAGTGAAAAAAAGTGGCAAAGAAATTGAATGTCACGCGCGTGTAAGCAAAATTCGATTAGGTTTTCAATAGTTCGGGGCGGGATCGATACAAAGCTTATAATCACGCGATTTAATTTGAAAAATTGATAATAACTAACTCATTTAGAAAAAACCCGAATTCTTGACATCGGGAAAGAACTTCAAAGTTTGAACGTGTCGAACGACTGTTCCGGTGGCCCGGCACCGAATTAATACATACATTGGTCAATGGTCACGTTTTACACATTAAAATCGAAAGAAAAAACCCATCAATGGATCGTTGGAGATGAATCCATGTGTTAAAGTTGAATGAACACCTTTTTTCACTACGGCAAAATTACAGAGGTAATCGCAAAGAATCAAAGTAATTGATATAGTCGGCAGATCGATTAGCAAGCCGTTTCATTTTGTAACGGAGTAAGCTTTTTTCGGATTGAGGTATTGAAATAACCTTACCTTGTAATTGTTGCACAGCCAACTACAGCACCAAATAAAGTCAACACATTTTTCGGTTGGTGAGCGTTTTCACGCCTATTGCTACACTTCTTAGCGCAGTAAGACCGTAAAATGGGCAAAATATTAATGGAAAAATATGACGGCGATTGGATCATCAGCATCAAAATCAAGGTTGACCAATTCTCAAAGTGAAAATCCATTACCTTTCTTCACCTTCAAATGGTTTTAAAATTACGAGGGAACTCCATATTACCGAGAAAGAATGCGTCACAATTTCAAAAAAACACAATTTATGGCTTCATTACAAATTAAAACCCAATTTCGATTCCGTTCGAAATCGAACCGATTTTGTTGTGTTCCGTTTCCCATCGCAATACTGCATCTGTCGCAATGGTTCCATATTCTACTTATTGAAGTTTTACAATGTCTTACACTATATGTGTATTCGGTGTATGCAATGACCAAAACAAAATCTCCATATTTCACTACCGAAAAAGGTTGTTGTTTTTTCCTATTTAAAAAAAAAATCCACAAAAAAATTGAAAACAAATTTCATAATCAATTTTATAAGCATATTTCTGCCACTTTATTTCGCTTATTGTGAATATATATTTTTTCGTATCAAAAATTGCAAAAAAAAACTGTTTTCTTTCAATCAAACTTCAACCGTTAAAAAAAACTTCTCAAGGCAAACGCATGTATGAAAAGAAAATGACAGAATTGAGCAAGACAATTCGATTTTATGTTTCAATTAAATGTCTATTTTGTTTCCTTTTTCCATTTTTTTATATAGTAATTCTTCTAAAACATTAACGCAAATAATAATAATAATTATTATTTTGAATGATGTTCGCATTACGCCGCCGTTGTGTTTTTTTTTCGCTTGAAAATAAATAGTTTTTCTCTCTCTCCCGTGTACAAATGTCATAATTTTTTTTCTCACAAAATTTGTTCTAATGTATTACAATCGATTTTATAAGATATTAAATTGCTAACTACGGCGAATAATTATATTAGAAAATTGTTAATAATATATGCATAATAAATTGTTGTTGAGTTGTATCAATATATGAATGTTTTTTTCATCTTCGGGGTCGAAGTTGTAATGATACCCATGTGTATGTTTCTATTTACAGGAATTTCGGGCAGAGAATAATAATAATAATATTACGTTTCAAACAGAGAAAATCTTAAATTAACACGCTGATAACGTTCACCGCGACGATAGAGAGAATGAAAGCCAGAATGGCGAAAGAAAAACCGACTGTGTGTTTATTAATCGAACAATTATCAATTTTGAGCAGAACGATCAAAATTACATCGGACTTTTTTTCTGCCGTCCGGAATCGTTAATTATATTGCGAACGCACAGCGTAAAATATATTCCTTACATATCTAATGATCTACAGTACGTATAAAAATGTGTGTATTGTTGTTGTTTTCATTCCGAATTTGTTCGATTTCATCGACTTTTATAGACAACATTTCCGTTTTTGTTCGTTTTATTCACACAGAAAGAGAGCGTCAACATCAAGCCCTCTCTCCAATTTTGTGTTTGTTTATCTTAAATATATCTCAGCTCATTTAATCATACCAATTACACACATACAAACACATATACACACACGCACCCAAACACACACGGAAATTAGAATAATAAATCACTAGCGCCTTCACTCCAGGCGACCGCATCTTCGTTGGCCGGCTTTAAATACTGCAAACTTTCCGGTTCGCCACCATTTGACGATGGTGTGGCTGATGTCGAACCATCAACACTAATTAATTGCTGATGTTGCGGTGATTGCGGTGACGACTGACGATCCGGAGAACTGATTGCCGTTGGCGATGACACTGATTTTGGTACTGAAAATGATGAAAGAAAAATATTTGAAATCAATTTTTTTTTCACTTTGATTCGAACACTTTCGAAATTATTATTATCAATTTATGGAAGTTTGAAAACGATTTTTTTAATGAGAACCGTGAGCGTCCAAAGTGATTTTATTCAATTAAGGAGGCCGACTTTAAACGATCGAACTTTTTTCGGAATCGACCCAAAACACGGTTTGAAGGGAACTTTTTTCCACTCTGGCAATTTGGTGCCCTTTGGAAAATGTCATTAAAAAAGCGTTTTTGTTTGAATTTGATGTACTCACCTTTACTGTGTGTGCGTGGTGGTGGTGGCGGTGGTGCTTGATATTTGTGTGATGTATTCTGATTTGGTGATGAATTGTGTGTACGTGTAACGCCTAATTCAAAATTCGTATTGAATATTTTGATGGGTTGATAGTTGCCCAACGGCACCGATGCTGCAATCAAACAAAACGAACATACAAAATTACATTTAAATACTTATTAATTGCTGCAATGAAATCGAAAATTTTCAGATAAATATACAATTTTTTTCAAGAATGAAAAAAAAGTGAAATTCGCTCCATTAGCCGATGAGATTCGAAAGTTTTAGTTTTCATCATCAGTTTTACGCAATCGAAAACATAAACTGCCTGATTTGAACAATGTTTGAATGGAAAAATGCGTGTCGGATTCTGTGTGCGCCGCATAAACACAATCGTTACCATTCCATTATTCGTCGATGGTTTGTATCATTTTGATGTGTACGCGCAACGATCGTTCGCTTTTAATTGAACATAAAAAATTGATGATGATTTTTTTGTTATTGAGTTAGTGGTATTGTTGACGTTGGTCATTGTTCTGATTAAAGCATCATAAAATTAGCGGTGGAATCGCGCTTGAAATTCATAAAACGTATAATTTTCCATTGTACAGAGTCATTTGCTATTCTAGTCGACGATCGGAAGAGTTAGAAAGTGGCCGTAATTTCGTGAAGAACCTTGGCTTCTTTTATTACTCGCTCTCTCTCTCTCATTCTCTTTCTTTCTTTGTATATTTCTTGCTCTGTCTCTAACCAGTGTGTTTCGTTTGCAGCTTACCCATAAATTTCGGGTCGTTCGCCGCATTTTTCTCAAGCATTCCGTGTGTGTATTTTTTTTCAATCAAAATTTTTGTTTCCATAAGCGATATTTTGGCATTATAAATGACTTGAAATTATAAATCGATCGCGAAAACAAACCCAAACCGTGCTCATTTTCACGCAATCTAAATGGAAATTAGTTTGCTGATTTGCCGACGAATAGATATAAATATATCAAAATATTTTCATTTTCATACCCGGAGATTTTGCGTTGTAATTCCGCCTTTCTCACACACGAACATGATTGATTCAAAAATGATCGAACGAAAATTTTGTTGAATGGAATGAGTTGATTCGGAAGAAAGATCGTTTAACGAAAAAAAAAACCATCACTTTTCGACAACATATATCGAAAACAATAATAAATTTACAATTCCGACGGGAAAAATCATGGCGGCTCCAGTGCAATAATAGAAAGAAATCACTGAATGCGATTAAAGACGTAACGAGAAGAAAATGAAGAAAAAAAGAAGTGAATAGTCACGAACTTAGTATTGAGCGTTGCACAGCCACTGTGTTGTTTTTGTATTACGAAAAATGACACAAACAAATTAGAAATTTTATGGTGTTGTTGCCGCTGTTCAATTCATATTTTAGCGAAATTGGAGCAAACATTTACACGAAATAACAAGAAAACACGATGGAAATTTAGATCGAAACGATAAAAATAGATAGCAAAAGAGACAAGTGCACGAGAAGAGGTTGAAATGTCAGCATATTGTACCGTAGTTGAAATTGACACGATAGAAACGTGCACAATTTACGGCCATATCAAAAGTTCAGTCGGCCGAAACAAAAAGATCAACGAGCCATGCGTAAATGAATGCGTGTTTTGAAAAAAGTGTGAAAAGAGCGGAAAAAGGTCAGGTTTTCTTGAAAAAAGACACAAAACTCATATTTTCACCGAAAATTTGTTGGATTTAGTAAATAGTGTGGGGGGAAGGTAAAAAGGTTCCATACGTACCAATTGGTGAACTACCGAGGAAATGGCCATTGCTGTAGAGTAAATCGGTGTCATCATCATCGAAATTATCGCCATTCAGTCCAATATCATCGCACAATGAACTCTCCGATGGATATTCAAATGTTGACGTCAACTTCTCATTGAATCGAATGCTCTGCAAAAATAAAAAACAAACACATAATTTAAAAAATACACAAAAAACATGATTTTGTATAAAAAATCCATTATAATTGATGGTTGATCGTCATAAAACCGACAGAAAGACGCAAAATGCGATTTTAATCGGACACAAATGAAATCAGTCCATCGGAACAATATGACAAAATCTAAGTTATTGTTATCATCAAACTGATGTGTTTTTTGATTTAATTGGGATGCGAAAAAAAATATGTGTACCACAAAAGTGGTAAATGAAAAAAAAGGTGATGGAGTTAGATAGAAAGAGAACGAAATGTGCGCGCATGCCAAAAACTAAGAGAAAGGCGCATTTGAAAAATCATTGATTCAGATAATATGCATGCGTTTTTACTTCTCTTTATTCATTGTATGAATGAAAAAAAATTAAAGTCGGCGGTTTCATTGAATCAACCCATTGGAATCAGTGGAATTTATATGAATCGGATAAAAATTCAGATTCAATCTGAATAGAGTTGTCTGATTTAAGTTTTTTTTATTTCAACTTTATTTTCAATTGCGTATTGTCCGAGTCTCGAACACACGCACTTCTCTGTTTCTGTCTTTCCTCCGATAAATCTCCATACATAAAATATTCACTACCAAATTTGAAATGAAACAGAAATTCGAAATCTGATCATCGGAACCCGACTGGTTCGATGCGAACGAGAGTGTGCGTGTGAAAAAAATGTAATACACGTTGTAAAAAAAACGGGGCTTCAATGAGTTTTTTTTTCTTGTTCAGTTTCATGCTCACAACTCACGTACACCGATTGTACGTGTGTAAATTAGCTTGCGTTGCTGCTGTATTTTACATTTTTTTTTTCACCACACAAAACGAACGAAAGAAAGAAAGTGTTTGGCGTTTGGCTCAAAGACATGCACTCAAGACGGGCGTGCATCTTGCAGTCGGTTGAGCAAACGGTTTGAATTTCTTTTATTCTTCTGCTTAAAATATGATTATAAATGCATTCGCTTTGCTTTGAAGCGCAGAGACACAACGTTGTGTGGTTGCATGCAATGAAAATTGATTCACTTTTGTTCGAAGCGGCTTCTTCATTTTCTCTGTCTGTTTTGCCCATTTTCATCGAAAAGAAATCTGATTGGCGTATGCGTTGCGTTTATATGCGCACTGCAGCCGCCACAATTTACATACATAATCATCATCTCGCTAAACAACAACAGCAATCAAATGTATATTTTTATTATTAATTATAAATTTCTTTTCCCTCTTTCACACACACACACACACGCACGCATGAACTACCGACACAGCCGATCGGTTTCTATTGAATATACACTTCGAAGCCATTTCAATTCTCTTCAACATTTCTGAAGTGATGTCTTTTGCTGCTTGATGCCGATGCCGATGCCAATTGTTGTTATTACACGTACATTTTGTAATTAGCACTGGAACAACACACGTCCAATTCCATTCAACCCGGTTCGACTTGTTTTATTTTAATTGCCTGCGATCATAATATTACAACATAATATCAGAATCAATTTCACAAGAAACATATAGATTTTGCGATTTCGATTATTGTTATTATATTACCACTGATGGCGTTTTATGTTATATCAATGTACCTTTTTTCAATCTCGTCTTCTTGCCGTGATTTTTATGCCACTTTTTGATCGATCTCTCTCTCTCTCTTATGAATCTTTTGTTTTTTAAATTACTTCGACGAAATTTTACAATCTTATCAATTTTCTTTCATTTGTTTACAAGTCAACGACTTTCGACACTTTTTAAGCGGAATTCACAACAATCGATTCGAATGTAACGAAATAATAATGGAAATATGAAACCTGTCAATATATGTGCATGTTTTGATGAAATTACGTATTCTTTTGACATTTTAAATTGAAATTCATGATTTTTGAATATTTTTTTCTTCGATTTTTGCATCTTTATCGAAGAAGAGGACTTCAATTGTGAGCTCTAAAAATACAATTTTAATATTTTGAATTTTTCAACCGGGATCCATACTTTCTGAAGTACTTCTTGATGTTCAGGCTTCAAGAAGGGGGGATAATTCACGAAAACTGCGAAGGGGGATGTTCAAAAGGGTAAATAATTTGGAAGCTTGAATTGAAGTGCAAAAAAGTCCAAAATCCGGATTTGAAAATTAATGACGAACTGATTACAACGGGAGAGTAATTGGAACCTACTGATCACAAAGTATGGATTACACTCTTCATTCGAGTCTTCAAAACGAGTGTAGATCTCCCGATTGGATTTAGAAGCCGACAGTTGATCGGGTTTTCAATGAATTTTCTAATACCGAAAAGTTTTTCCTGCAAAAAATTGTATTCACTGCCACAGAATTGTAAGTATTTCTGCTGTTGTCAATTTTTATTAAAAACTGTAAATAAATTCCACAAATTTCCATTTCAATTTAAAAAGAGAGACTTTATAAAAAAGAGTGATAAAAATGCAAAACCACAATAATTGTCATCATCAATCTTTTTCATTCAAAAAACTCTCACTCTTGTAGTGTCTGGCGAAAAATTCCCAAACAAATAAATAATCCATTGACTTTCATTAATGAATGACACCAAAAAATACCTCATAACAATAAATCAATTTCTCTGCGTGTGTGTTTTTGTTTCATTCAAAAATCTTTCTGATTCAATTCCACCGTGAACCCGCTAAGTGTTGTTCGACACGGTCAATCTCTCCATAAGATTACATAAAGATATCAGGTTTTGAAAAAAATGTGGCTGTCGTCGTACCAAGTTCGCGTGGTCAATGTGCATCGATCGAAAATAGAAAATCAATTTGAAATTACGGCATATTTTTGTCGGCATAAAGCAATTACGTGTATGGTTCTCGGTAATAACAAGTTTTGCGCAAGACCGAAAATAAAAAGTTCAAGGCGCCGATTTGCAATGACATCGATCAAGAAAAGAAGTCACAGCGGTCATATTTTAACAACATTCTCGGTATTTGTTACAGATTGGAAAGAGAAAAATTTAACGAGAAACAAGCAGTGAGAGAGCAAGAGAGAATTAGAAGCAAATAAGAGAGTAAGAAACAACGATAGAAAGAAAGAGAAAGAAAAAAACAAAAGAAAAGACAGTAAAAAGAAGCAAGCAGCAAAAAAAGTGGTTTGTGTAAATTTATCAACTGGTTGCGGTAAAAAAAATGTTTTCTTCTTCTTTATCGTTGTTTCGTTCATAACGATTTATTTATGTCTAATGATTAGCGCTTGTGAGCGCGCTCGCGTTCAAGCCTCGGTGCTATGGTGTTCATTGAAATGTGCTCTGGTTTATGTGCGCACCAATCGAGTCATAAGCAATTGTTTCCGCCAAAGTAGACCAATCCGAGCATGGCTCTGCTCATAACAGTTATCTAACTTTGTTTGTGTGTATACAAAAGAGCGAAGCCCATGTGCAGCTGTTTTATTGACCAAACGGTATATTTTCGACGGCGCATTTCTCGATCGATCGTGTTCATAATGGAAGATTCAAATGAGGGGCTTCATTCATTTGGGCTGCTGTTTTGGCCTCAGTTGCATCATTTTTGCATCAGAAACGAGTTTTTCCAGCCAAACGATTGTCGGAATGCAGAAACTCTCTTTCACGACCCGGACCTCAATATTTTCTAGCACATGCCATGTCTTCAACGATACGCGAAGAAGAAAATACTGTTCACTGTTTTCATTTGCAAACAAAAAAAAAAATGAGACGTGAACAGAAGATGATGTAGAAATGTGTCGTTGGTTAATTAAATGCCATCAAAATGCATATATATTCTTATTGAATGGGTACCGTTTGCGGGCGAGGTGCCTTGACAAGTGAAGAGATTTTTCTATTTGATTAGACATTAATAGGCGAAAATCAGTGTCACTAACAACGTTTCGTTGATTTTTGTCTTTAACTAGGTGCGCATTTTCTGCTTCTTCTTCTGCTTTGTCTTTCAGCGGAACATTTATTTTTTTCTCTTCTGAATCATTGTTATTATTGTCTTTGTTGCTCATACTGAATTTGTTTTTTTTTTCTTCGCTCATTTCATTTCTCGTCATAATTCCGAGTTTGAAAACACAACGCTTCATGTTCAGTTGAACGTAGCACGCAATCGCTTTGCTCGTGCTTCTCAGCGCACGAACGACAGAGTATTTGCTTTTTATTTATTTAATTTGTCTGTTGCATTTTTTTTGTTGTTTTACTTCATATCTGTTCATTCAAACAACATTTTTTTCGATGGAAATACGGCGAACGAGATCGAAATATGACACATACACACACAGAGAGAGAGAGAACTCCGTGTGTGCACATGTGAAAAAGAGTTTAAATACAAAAAGAAATAATTTACATAAGAGTAAAGCGTAAAACACCATTTTTTCGATTGCGCGCACTCATGAGCACGGTACTTCATCCGCGTACCTTTTGTCGTTCGAACAAATTCCAGATACATGAAGACCGGCGAAATAAAACAAACGCGAGAGAATTCCACATATTTATACGAAGAAATGAAGAAACAAACACGCAGTTATGAGTGTGAGAAAAAAAAAAGTATATATGTATGCATTCGTCGTCGAAAAGCAATGAATTCTGGCCAAACCATCTTATTCGCTTTGTTGTTTGTGCTGCAATCTAACCAATTAATTTTTCAGACTCTTGAAAAAACGCGCTCGCACACCAAGAAAGAAAGAGAAAAACACAACGCAACTGTTTCTGTTTATGGCTGAAGATTTCTTTTGTGTAACTTTTTTTTTTCTTTCTATCTCTCTGTCTATTTATGGGCCTGTTTTGGACCGTAAGCCGTCTAATTTACCCAGTGATTTTTCTCAAATTACAATATACATCGGTGGTTTTTTTCTATCCAGATTCTACGCAGCGGTTTACGTAAAAATATTCCGCATTTTTTGTTTGCTTGCGCTTGGGAAACGCCAAAGAAATGCATTTAATTGTGTGTCGCCCATTTCATTTAGCCACTTTCTTTACAATTACCCCATACACATTTCACTTGGGAAATGGGCTTTTTTCTTCTCGCAATCAAATTTGTCACCGACCACACGAGCTTTAATCACATTTACGACCAACAAATTACTACTTGTTACCACGACTAAATGACGACATTTCTTAGACGATGGGAACGGCCAAATTGACCAGATTTATGAGCTAGATTTTACACATTAACGAGACAATCTTTTCGCTTCTTTTTTTGTATATTTTTTTGCTTCATGGAAAAGAAATTGAAAATATTACATTTTCATTTTTTTTGCTCAAAATTTTTTTCAACTTTTTTTTCTCGACAAAATCTCTCTCTAATAGAAGAAGAGTAGCACCTATAGAAAAGATCACCAGAAAAAGTAGCACTTGAAGAAGAGAAACGAACGTCATTAGAAGAAAAATGATAGAGAAAAATCTCCGTCGTAAAAAAAGTGTGGTCCAACCCAAATTGATGGTTTCCAATGACTTTTCAGCATTATGTCAATCAATTTTTGATGATTTGATCTGTCAAATACAGTATCTTAACGACTCGACGTCGAAAAAAAGATCTTTTTTAAAAGAAAGTCATTATCTTTTGTTATTATGTTACACAACACTGCATTTATTTCGTTCTTGGAATTTGGTTTTCTCTTCAAAGCGGTGACCAGATTTCACATCGGCCACGATTCCCAACAGAATCGACCGCATTCCACCTGGCATTTATCAAATCGGATCATGGTTACTTTGTTTCGTGCATTTCGGTCGAATTAAGACAGTTTTTAAAACAAAAAACAATGATGAAATCGAAATAAAAGCAAATACAGAGCGAGAATCCGATTTATAGTCAGTCCGAAAAAAATGTAAATAAATAAAAGGTTATGAAATTGCGACTGTTTCGAATGTGATCACTTGAATGTATATTTGGCAATGTAAATCAAAATCGGATTGTAAAAAATGTATGTTTTGATTTTGTTGGCTCTTAAAATGGAATTGAAGCCATCTAATCCGATGTACATTTCTCCATTCATTTTTAAGTATCTTCTTCTTCTCTTTTTCTCTACATCTCTCTGCTTCTCTCTCTCTCTCGGTCTCGATTTAAAAGTGAATGGTTTTCTTTTGATTTAGAATCGCCATTGTTGAAATGACACTTCATGGCTTCATGATTACACAATCGCACTCGCTCCAAAAAAAAAAACTCAATCGAATTATTCCAAATGAAGGTCACATTAACGCAATTTCAGAACGTTCCGTGACATCAAGATAAACCAGCATCGACTCTTTCAACACTTGTTCCACTTGTAAGCTTTGAATATGTGTATGTGGTGGTAATGGTGTTCCAGTGTATGGAGTTTTCGTTATGGATAGGCAACCACATTGGATTCACCCAATTTGCAAGAACATTTTCGCTGTGTGGTTCGCGTGCGGCTGCATGTTTCCGTTTTTTATATTTCACTGCGCTAACAATAAAACAACTGCATGTATGTTAAATTGGTTGGGTATTATGTGCAAAAGTGGCAAAAACACATAAAAATTGATCGCAAGGTAAACAGAACTGCAATAAAGAAAAAGAAACGTTTTCATATAACGGTGATGATTTATGGATCGATGATAGAGTTTGCAGTTACGTAAATCACATACATAACGTTCGGCTGTTAACATATCCAAATGTCGCCCGGAGATTACACATTCTTTCATTGCATTGAACTAATTTTATACATTTTGTGATGGATCTTTTGTTGTTGTGCCTGTCATTCTCGATCTCTTCTTGTCTTTCTTTATTGCCACCTCTCTTTCTCTTTCTCTCTCGCTTTTCTCTTTATGTCATTCTATGTATCTCCTTCCTTCTCTTCTCCCTTTGCATTAAACGCGAGAATGTTGTAATTCTTCTATTTTCTAAAGCATTTTGTTCAAACCGTCATGAATAGAAACTTTTTGTGCTGTGCCATTGGCAAAAATTTGTCATTGCGATAACCTAAATCGGATTTGTCTGTCAATGTATGGTGGTGAACCTGTTCGCGTAACATTCAACACCTAAACTAATTGCCTTTTTTTTCTCACTGTATGATTTCTGCTGCCACGGCTTGTTATTTCTTTTCTAGCAAATTGTTAGCAACAATGATCTAAGTAATAAACAAAATTTTAACATGACTAATAATACAAATCGTATACAAAGTGTAAGCCAATTTACGTGACCACCGCAACAAGTAAACAACATTGCATTACGCAAAACAACGATACTGCCATAAAGTTGCAAATATTTTCACAAAAAACGGAAGTTAACAACACTGAAATGTGTCCGCATCGAATATTTTTTACGCAACCACATCATAGTTTTTTTTGTAGACAGTCGAATGATTTTTGTTTTTGTTGCAAACACAGAAAGGGGGCCACTTGGTTTTCGATAGATTTCAAGGCAATGTGCAATTGATTGGTACTACTTTTGACAATATGGGCACATCGAACGATGCAAAACAATAAGCACATTCAATTGGTTTTTGAGAGATGAAGATAGATATATAGAAATAGAGATGAAAATATAAGGTAGAATGATGGCGAATGAAATAGAAAATAGAAACAAAAGCTAAAAACAGCTAATAATTCGATTTTTGGGGGAAAAAAGTGAGAAGTAAAGATGTAAAATATTGAATAAAATTGCGTAAAATTGAACAAAAATTTGTGAAAAAGTATTTTTGGTCTAAAGACCCTGACACATCGAAAAAATTTCGTCAAAATTCCATAAATAGAGGGTGTAACCCTCGGAAGTTCGATTAACTTAAACTGTGTTTTCAAAGTGATAAAGTTGAAAAATGGAATAAATTGAATAAATTCCGAAAAAAAACGTGTTAAAATCCCAAAAAAACTATAGAAAAAAGTCAATTTTTCAATTAAAAAAAGAATAAAATCAAATACCAACCTTTGGATCCGTTTTCGTTTTATCTCGCAAGCTGGATTTGCCGTTGATGACAACATTAGCGTTTTTGAATTGAACATCACACGGTGATGGTGGGTCACATATCCATGAATCGTCTGGTTCTGGATCGGTAGATGTTTCAACCGTTAGATCACCAAGTACCACAAAACCAGATTCGCCCGGCTGCAAATAAAACAGATTATTATTTTATTTTATTTTATCATTTAGATCAAAAAATTAGATAATAATGTGTTTTTCTCTCTTGCAATATGATCATCATTTTGTGCGTATAAAAAAAGCAACAATGTGCGCATCTCTCGGTGCAAAACTTTTACTTTGCATGTTTTCACGCACAAAATCACATACACACACACGCATTAGGCCGAGCACTTTTTATATGCACTGCTGCTCAAGACGCACATACATTATATTGATTTCAACGGAATCACACACACACACACACAACCATCGCGGGACTCGATCGAAACATTGTTGAAACAATAATCAGTGCTCACACAAAGTGTAACGGTTATTTTGCCAACTGACGCGATAACAGCCAACTAATAAAATAATAATAGAGTAACATAATAGCCCGATCGCAGATAGATCGTCGAACTTTGTATTTTGTTTGCTTTTTTTTCTTCTTGTATGCAAATTCGGTGCTTTTGTTTCGCAAAACATTAGCAATATAATTATAATTGAATCGTTAAAATTCTATGTGGTTTGAAAGCAAAACGCCAGAGCCGATTCGTAAAAACAGATACTTATACAGCACTTAGGCAAACAGAGATACGGATGAGATGAGTAAACATGGCGACAAAGAAGTGAGATTCAAGAATGAATAAAAAGAGAAAACAAGAATCAAGTCTCGTCCCATTGAAATGAAAAACCGGCCGATTTATTTTTGATTTTGTTCGTTTTGTACAAATAACGGAACACAATTTGCACTTCTTTCTGTCTTTCTTTTGCCCAGTCTCTCTCTCTCTCTCTATCTCTCTTCTTCTGCTTCTTCGCTCTTTCTTGTCGATTATTGCAATTTTGGTAAGTGTGTATGTGTTTTGGTCTTAGTTATCGCTTCATCATCAACTCGTTCGTTCACAGAATGCCGTTTGTTGTGATACTTTTGCACCGAAGGCAAAACAAAAGACCAATCTATATATTTGCTCACTGAAATGAGTTCTGGATCATGTTGCACATTGCATTCCGGATGCGATACCGATGAAAATTAACCGTTCCATCTAATTGTGTCAATTAATTGACTTATATTCATGCCCAGCGATTGAGATAGGAAGAAAGAGAAGACAGAAGAATACCATTAAGATGATTTTTGACGATTTCTTTACATTTTCGGTTCAAAAATGTGGATCACAAGCGCATATGGTGCGTGTTTTCCGTCATTCTTTCTCTTTTCTCAGTCGATTTGTGTTTTATTGCCATTCAAATTCAAATTTCCACTTTTACACTGTTTGTTCCGGGGCAGCTCTTGTTTTCGACCGAAAAAAAGCAACAACATTAAAAAAAAGTAATCATAAACTCAACTCGTTTTCGAATGTGCGGCCAATGATCTGGGTCAATTGTGAGCGCAAGCGCAAAAAATTATACAAATCAAGAGCGCACTTCTTTTGCCCCGAAAAAAAAAATGCGCGGCCGTTAATTCTGAACATTTTGCTACTCGACTGTTTTATATTTCACTTCTGACCAACACTTTTTCGCATCGGCTTTGTTGATGCCATCGTTTTGTTGCCGCGGCATTAGTAGTCGGTGCGCAATCAACATTTTACGCTCGAATTCGGAACACTTTACTGTTTATTATAATTGCTCCAACTTTTAACCTTATCGCAGTGCGCACTCGTAATTTTCTCTCGTTTTTCTGCGCCAAATGAATAATAAAAAAAAATTGAATCGATTTCTTTTTTTTTCTCTCAAACTGCTTAGCCAAGCGATTATCATAGTAATTGTTCCAAATTTTTTGTGTGTTTTTCTGCACTGGGGCTTCGGCTAACAAAAGCAGAAATCTCTGTTTTATAACAAAAATGAGATGTTTTCCTTATCATTGTGTATGTATTATTGTGTAAATGGATCAGTTTTGATCGGTCGCTCATCAAATCGAGACATATAGGAGTAATGAAATCGAAACATTTGGAGTGGCCATTCACTCTGGATTTCGCAAAAAGCCATTTTTCTTACATAAAGTTTCGTATTTGCTAAATGGTTGTGCGCGATTTAGATAAATTCACACCTCATTTAAAGCGGATCGAATGAACAATTGCACGTTTTAATATTCCGAAATATGCGAGAGTTTCACTCTCTAACCATTTTGAATGATCTGACTTTTCATCTATTTTTGATCGCAAAATACCATTTTATACTTTTTTTTTCTTATATTTCTTTTGGTGTGTGTGTGTGTGTATGCTTTTTGGCCTTTTTAACTTGTCAGCTGCCGAAAAATAGTTGCTAATGGCCAATTTGTTTTAAACGGTTTTTGAAATGAAAGCAATAGTGAAATTGGTAATTCCAAATATACAACACCGAAAACATGCCTTTCAAATCATGACACTTGACGTGGTCAACAGCGCACAGGTGTTTAGTAAGTACATTGTCACTAAAAGTGATTTGCTATGCAAACAACTCAATCATCGTTTTGTTTAAAATCACGAGTGAAACATGTTAATTGTCAATAGAAAGAGGCGAATCAACAACCAAAATACCGTTGAATTGGACAATACCGAAGAAAGAAGAAAGAAAAACTCTTTTTAAGAAGAGAAGACAGTTGAAAAGAGCCGCAAACAAAAAAAAAAACACGGTCGAATTCCAAAAAGTTGAAGCATCACCATTCAACCTCTTGACCAGGACCCGGTTTACATGACCATTGTTTCACTTTTCTTGTGTCGGCCCACAAAACCACAAACATTAAAACAAAAGAATCCAAAAGATGGTGCAATTCAAATGGATTACAGATATGGTATGAACAAGCGAAGAAACACAGAGTACGATGAAATCGATTGTTTCAAATCAAAATGTTCGTCGACTCAACAGCAATGGCTCTCACTTTACTACTTTATCTACTGTCTATATCAGCAAAAGAAAGTTTTTTTTTCTTTTAAAATAAAATATATTACACGAAAAAATGGCGGTGATTTCAATTTAACACAATAATTGAGACACGATTAACGTATAGAGAAAAAGTGTTGTGTACGCGATGATGCTATTGACCTGAATCAATGTTGGTTGCACGTTCAGGATTACCATCGAACTGTAACGAGGTGAAGAGCACCTTCGAACGATTCGACACCATCAATCTGCAAACACACACACAATCACCGAAGAGGAAAATGTGTGTACAATTTTTTTTTCTTCAACACAAGACAAACGAGCAAACCAAAACATGCATAAATTATGAGCGTGTGAATTTTGTTTCGACTTTGTGGCGCTTTACAAGAAAATAATAATAATTTGAAAAAATTACGATGATCAATTAAAATCAATTGCAAACACACAACAATTGATTGTTGTTAGTGCAAAAAACAATTGATTGCTTGGTGAGCTCGAAATGAGACAAGTTGAGGTAAGCAAAAGAAAAACATTTGTTTGAAAATGAAGCAAAAAAAAAAATCGGTTTACCTTAGGTAGTTCACGTTTTCTGCGAATAACCAGTCCATCATTTTCAATATAATCGGGCACATCTTTGCGATTGCTAAAATTGAAGACCATTGTGTTTGTGGTTTGAATATCACTTGGTCGTTGTTTGGTCGATTGATTCAATTGTGGTGATGGCGATTGATTAACGGCCGGACTCATTGGCGATGATGAAACAACGGTCGATTTTTTGATATTCCATTTAATCGGTGATTGAATAACAGTTGTTTGTGGACTGTTGCCATTCAATAGCTCTTCACTTTTTTCTTTATTCAATAAATTCTTCTGATGTACAATGCTTCGTGTATCGATGCTAATTGTGTTCGGTTCATTATTGGTGTTAATCAATTTGGTACGATTATTGGTTGTGGTGGTGGTTGGTGTTGTCAATGGTGACATCGTCGATGCCGTTGATTTTCCATCGATATTCGAATCGCCGGTGCATTCAATGACCACAACATCGCCTTGAACATCATTTGTTGTGGCAACACTCACCGAATTTGTCACCACCACCGACGATGTGCTCGACGGCAACACAACACTGTGTTGTGTGCTAACCACAATTGGAGCGGCTGCAACTGACACCTTAATTGCATCGTTTGCGTCTTTTTTCGGTGACGTTGGTGTTGATGGCGATGGAAGTTTTCGTGCAATTGGAATTGGTGGTTTTAAAGCGGCTGCCGTAACGGCTGCATCATGATTCAATGGTCGAATAATACCAATTTGTCGTACACTTGGTTCTGGTTGATGTAAATCCAACGATTTATTGCCATTCAGTGTTGGCTGCACACTAATCACTGTGCTACCATTTAATTTTGGGCCATGTTTCGGTATTGGCGGTGGTTTTTTCGACGATAAAAAATTCTCATCCACATCACTATCATCATTATTATCACTAATATTCACATCATAACTTTCACTCCATCCTGTTTCGCTGCTGTTGCTGGTTACATCATCCAATTCATCATTGTCCGATGAATTTTGACGGCTCGAATCGTCGGTGGTGTTGAATGCAATTTCCGATTTTCGTAATTTTGGTGTGGACAATACTAAATTTTCCGTTTGTCCGGCCAATTGTGAAACTAATGGCGAAATTGTATGATTCGCTTCACGTCGTCGAACCATATCAAATACATAACTTGGCAATGGGCTATTATCTTCATTTGGCGATGAATCGGGCGATGACATTTCATATTTACTACGATATGCGGTTGGATCGATGCGAATTTGTGGAATATTTTTTTGATTCATACGTTCAACGATCGGATCGTTGGTTGATTTTAAACCATTTCCATTGAAATTTTGTGCATGTTCAATGGTTGTGTCCAGTTCAATCGATTTGGTATAAATTGGTTTCTTTGACAATGGATTGTCTTTGATGCCATTTAAAAATGCCGGCTTTGGACTAGTTGTACGTGGTTTAATCAATGGTTTTTTCATCCCAAAACCGGACGGTGGCAATTTTACGATTGGCGGTGATACCGACACAGCAGCCACCGTTGGTGGTGATTTATCCTGCGACAGTTTTGATTTATAGGTCGCAACTTTTGCAGCCACATCACCGTTACCATACCGTTGAATGGTGCGTGTTCGTTTATTGGCCGATGCTTCAAATTTCAATAGGGTTTGTTTGACCAAATCGGGCGGTGGTCGTTCGGTTTCACTCATAAATGAGGTCAAACGTTTCGGTGGCTTGGGATCCATCATACGATCACGAGCCTGTTGAATTTTATCTTCAATTGTTATTGAATCGGCAGTTTTTGCTTTGATCACCGTCGATTGATAATCGCTCACAATAATTTCATCCAATATGATTGGATTGCTGCTTGGATAATCTTCAGAATCTTCGAGAACATCACGACGCCATGCCAATGTATCGTAACGCATGAGTGCCTCAACCGAACGGGCCCGTTTCAATGAATCATTGCCACGTTGAATTTGACGACGTGAAATATCGATTTTTGGCTCTTGTTCACATTTACCATTTGTATAGCTTGTGTCATAATCCATTTGTGATTTAACCGTACTAACAACAATCGCAGCCGTAGCCGAGTGCATGCCATTTGAATTAATTTTGTTGTTATCATTGTAATGATGAATGTATGAATTGTTTGGATTATCGGTGCTGTTATTGTGTGCGTCACCATTTCGATCATCAACTTCATCAATGTCAACATTTTCCTCTTCGAGTAAATTGCTCATCGAATTGGCACGCCGTAAATTATCCAAAGTTGGTCGTTGTTTAACCGTTTGCCGTAGTGCCAAACTCAAATATCGACATCGTAATTTCGACACAATGCCCGGACCATACTGTAATTCTTCTGAATTATCATCGAATGTTGGTGTACTGTTATTGGTGGCCGTGGCCAGCTCTTGCATCGCAACCATTTTACCACCGTTACGTTTATTCGCTGCACTCTCCAATTGTTGATCGGCCAATAAAGCTAAACTGTTTCGCTTCGATGGAAACCAATTCGGTACACTACTACGTTTTTCACTTGTTTTCAAAAATTTCTGTAGCACAGGACTTTGTTGTGGCGGTTGCAGTTGTTTTGTGGTGACTGAATCAAAACTTTGATTCAATTTAGCACATTTTCCAATTTGTTCTAATTGCTGTTTTCGATCACTCACTAAACTGAACGACGTACCACTTTGAACGTTATTGATATTTTCAATGCTGCTGCTGCTACTGATCTGTTCGCTGTCATGCCTGGAATGAAACTGATTCGTTGTGTGCAACATGAATTTGTCTTTCATTTCCAACGATTTTCGCGTCATCGGTTGCGGTGATGGTTGCGTCGATCCCACTTCAACCACGTCCAACCGTTGCGTCATCGCATCCGGCGATACACTGTTAAATTGCGGTGAGACTGGAAGCACCGTTGATGGAATGCTACCATCATCGCCGTTCATGATCAACGCCGTTTCGGCAGCAGCAGCTGTTGGTGTCGCTGTCGCTATTGGCTGGAAATGTGAATGACCTGCCACAGAATTACCTGTTTGGAAATTGAAGAGAAACAGAAACCGATGAGAAAAACAAGACATTTGGTGTGAGTGTAAGAGGGAGAGAGGGATATTGCTTTTTGTGCTTACCATTTTCAGCGATTCCATCCATTTGTCGTTGGCCGTTGGAAGAACTTATTTGCTGAATTACGCTGATCGATGATGATTGTTGTTTCACTTGATGCAGGGTCTGCTGCTGCTGCTGTTGTTGTTGTTGGACTGACGTTTTTAACAGACTCGTTGAATACAGAGAATAATCGTACACTTTTGCCGCTACTAAACCATTGGTATCGCAATGGGTTTTATCTAAACAACAAAGAGAAAATCAAAACATCAACATTCAGAATACTATCAATTCTTGGAAAAAAAAAAACATATCAGCGGATAGTTTCTATCGAAAAACAATTGCGTTGTTTTAAAATGCACTTTTATCATGCATTAAGAAGAGAGAATGTGTATCAGGTTTTTTAAAAAAAATAAAGTCATTTAAAATGAAGCATAAGACGTCAGTAAAATAATAGTTTGCGATAGTACAATCAGCTATTGCCAAAGCAAACACGAGTGCCCTTTTAGTCAAAGAACAAAATTCAGAGGCAATCAGTGGTTTTTTCCTCGCTGTCTACCTTTATCCCTCTCTCATTCTCTATTTATTCCTTTTTCTCTATCTCTGTCTCAATTTCGCTTTCTTTCCCTCTTCATATCTCCATCTCCCTCTCTCTCCATTTATCCAATTTAGCATGAATTATGATACAAACAACACGATACATATGTCACTTGTATTGTTGCCTATCTAAAACGAGTTTGTTTTATTTCCTATCTCATTCCTTCTTTCTTTCATTCGTCATATCGTTGCGTTTGCCATTTAAAATTCTCACGTAGAACATCGATTTTTTCGTTTCGCCTATGCGCCGCTCTATCGCACCCGTGCACCGAAACACAATGACAACAAAAAAAAACAAGTTATTTCGCCGTCAGACGGCACCGTAAAAAAAAGGGTCGTTCAGACAGAGCGTGATTATTTAACCGAAAAATGCCTTCCAATTCAAATATATTTGACATTGTATGTGTGTGTTGATGCGCGAACAACACCGAAAATCTGTTTATAAATGCAATTTTTGCGCTAGTTGCATGTATTGTTATTGTTGTTGGCACGAATAACTGCTTCGTCTGGTGGTTTGTTGCATCAGTGTATGTGTGCACATCAGTCTGTGAGTCATCGGTGTGTGTATTGCACAAACACTTTGATACATAAAAATGCGTATATACACAAATCGATACAGAACACAAAATTTCGCAGAAATTATATTCCTTTTTGTTTCGTACTTTCGAAAAAAAACAAATGTAACACGATGGAAAGGTCGTGGTTAAAATTTAATATTTACAAAAATATGCGTATGTGTGCACTGGACTCTGAACTTAAACTCATTGTTCGGTTTAAAGTCGACACTCTTGCCACTTTTAATTGAGTTAACATTGGACAGTTGCACCGAACAACCAAAGTGAATGTGTTTGGTCGCAACACACCGAATATATTTTCACTGAGGTCAGCACATTTTTATGCATCAAAAAATGCAGACGGTCGATGAGAACCGCTATGGCAAAAACGAAAATAGCGATTATTAGCAACACATGCCGAATTTTTTGGCATTGATTTTGATGAATTTTATGCGATTTTTTTCACAATTTTTTGCCTTTGGTGACTTTTTGATTTAGTTGATGTGATAATCGGATTTACGGCTCAGAAGACACCCGATGAAACCATGTTGATATCTTTTTTATTTCATGTTTTTCGGCTTTTTTCTCTCTCAAACGGTCTTGTTTCGTCTTTGGCAAAGAATTTGTATCAAATAAATTCAAGCAGAAATGAATAAAATAAGTCGACAACCACTTCACCATGTACACAAAATCCGAATCTGTTTTTTTCCTCTATGTCTCTCTTTCTTTGCTTCACTAACTCCAAACTAGTTTAATTTTTTAAAAAAATGTGTACCAAAATCAAAATTACCACATAATTTCAGTCTTTTTGTGTATTTGGAAGTCTTATTTTCTGCTTAAACCCCGAGAATGAAAATTTATTTACTTAACTAAACTGAGAACACTGAAACGAAACTAACTAATGAAATGAACAAAGAATCGATTGAAATGAGTTGGGTTTCATTTGCGAAACGCGTTGATGGTCTGAGTGTGTGTGTGTTTCTTCTTCTTGTATGTTGTGTATAGTCTCTCTTTTTTTTTGCACAAAAACGCACGACTTTAAGGTGTACGACACAATATCACCAAAGAGAGCGAGAATAACACATGTAATTCGATGGTGCTAAAGCCGGCAACTAAACGAACACAGTGAAAATGGACGAAAAGAGACGAGAAAAAAAGATAGAGGAGAGAAAAGAACCATCATATTAACGCAATAAACGTCGTTTGTGTCGTACACACATACACAGGCACACGAACGCGGTTTGATTGCGGTGAATTGAATGCAGCGATGAGAGTGTATTGCATCACTGTGTCGGTGAGAGTGATTGGTATTGAGTCGCGCGCGCGCGCTCTTACATATACAAAGATATTCGGGTTTCTGTGTTGATCACAGTCGTCGGCCGTCGCACGATGTCAATTTCTGACACAGAAAGAGAGAGTTCTTTACTCGTTGTTGTCGTTTTTTTTTTGGAAATGTATATCAACTTGCGTAGGTTGTCGTGCCGTGCTGACTGACCGAGTAGCTGAATGCGGACAACCCACGAAAACTACAATCCAAATTTCGAAGCGAAAAAATGAATGTTTCACACTTGAACAGCCGGCGATTAAGATGAATCATTGCATCATTGAAAACTTTTTTAATGAATTGTTTCTTTTTTTAACGCTAAATTACCATAATTTTTGACCAATTATGTCTTATGGGCTATAATTACATGGCGCAAATCTGTTTCTTTTCAGATTTATTCAATTATTACATCTCTCGTTCTCTCTCTCTCTCTCTCTCTCTCTCTCTCTCTTTTGTGCCTCTTTGGTACTTCTTGCACAATAGATGGCGAAAATTAGCGGTGGATGAGTGATTAAAAATGACTTACCGGAATTTGCATCGTTGTTTATGTCATATTGCATAATAGCTCTTTGCGTTGGACTCAGTGCACTAAGTTTCTTCTTGCGTTGAATCAACTCAATTTTCCATGGTGGAATCTCGCTGTGACTACCATTACTGGCCGTAACGGCAACAGCGGCGGCACCCGTGCTCGTTGTCGAAGTTGACGCCATTCCTCACGCCCAAAATTTAATTCTCACCAAATTTTAATAACAACCAACGTTGTTTACATCTATTCTTGCGGTGTGTCTTTCTAGATAATATCACTTTTATATATTCGGAAATATTTATCGAAACAAAATTGCACTTTTGTTATCTTTGTTTATGGTCGGTCTGTTTCAAAACAATTTTTCATTAATTTTCGTTATCAAAAAAAAAAATGTGGTTCATGCCGCGCGAAATATTCTTGAACCGCGGATTAATTTCGTATTTATCGGTTTGGGTCGACGATATTGCGATGCGATCGATTCAAGAACAAAACACTCACTATATTCGTTCATTCGTTCGATCGGTAATAATATTACCGAGTTATGGAATATAAAAGATGAAAAAATCCCGTTTCTCGCGCTATACCACTTAGCTAATAAATGGATTTGTTGCACTTCAAATCGAATGAAAAGATGATGCGATGATTGTTGAGTGTATAATTTACGGTTTCTTCCGTCTCTTTCGCTCTTGGTTTTGGGTGGTTAAGTTATTCTTATTCTGGAAAGCAACGGCAACAGCAGCCAATCGGGAATCTATTAAAAAAAGCACACACAGATTGTTGAATATACGAGTGAAACCAAGGAGGCCGTTAAATGTATGTATACAATTTTGCAGCAAGCGCTAAATTCCATTGGTACAAAATGGAAACTACACCGTATACACAAACAACTTACGGTAATCAAAACAAGAAAAAAAAACGATCTTACTGTATCAAGTTCTTTTTTCTTTTCTTCTGGCAAGATGCAGTTCTAGTTCATTTCATAAGAAGAGCACGCAATGGATCTGCTATTAACTTGTTGTTTTTTTTTGTCGTTCGCGGAAGATTCAGTTTTCTTCTTGTTCTAAGTCGCGTGTGCCTAAGATTGGCCTGTTGTGAAATTCTTTGGAAAAACAATTTTTTTTCTCCTACTTTAGAGCAACTTTTTCACGATCAATCGACTGTTTAACGCCAACTAACAAAAAAACGGCGATGAATCGTGGTGATAACGACGTCAATTTGATAATAAAACACAAATACAATTTATCGTTTCGGTGTTTAGTGTGTCTAATCAAAAGTCAATTGCGATAAGACCAGTCAAATTGCCAATTTATCGATTGTTGCTTTATACCGATTGGCTTCGACTCACTGTGACTTTTGTTGTCTTAGAATGAATCACGAGTTTGTTTTTTTTTTATGTAATATAACTGTATGAAGTGAGAGGAATTGACCGAGTGGACTTTTCCACCGGATGGATCGATTTATGGTGTGACAAACGATGATCTGGAAATAAAATTGTAGAAAGAAAAAGAGATTAGCTACTGCAGTAAAATACAATGAGAGAATAATGTATTTTGTTGAGGAAAAAAATGCATTTTTTCAAACTAATTAAATAGATTAATAAAAATGTTGATAATGGTTGGAGCACCAAATGTCCGCCCCGCGCGACTTTGGTATTCTATTCTCTCTATCTCTGTCTGTCTGTACTTTTCTACGTCTCTTTGTCTATCTCTCTCCCTTTATCTATATCTCTGTGTGTCTGTTTCTCTATCTCTCCGTCTGTCCATGGTCATTTCAATTGAACGAATACAAAACAAATCAACTGGCTTTGTTCTGCGCGAGAAAAAAAAAATTACTATTCAAACTTTTGTCACTACACACAATGAATTGCGTGTACTTTAACATGAATGCCGTACACACACACACGCCGCCCCAACCAAAACACTTTATTTAGTTCGTTCCGGTGTTGTGATTTGATATGCTCTCATTTTGTTTATAGTTTGCCATATCCGTTTGTTGTATATATTCTTCACAAAATGTTCTTTACCACACAGTGTCCAATTGTGAATATTTGGCGTCCGAATGCTAGAATGGTTCGCCCACGAATGCGAGATATTTCGGTGTATTTTGAAATCTATCAATCGAAATCGAGCCCAATTCCATCACTTGGACTGCTTCATGTGTGCCGACGCCACCGCCGCCGCCACACATCAAATACGCGATGCAGAGGTAAATTGATATACTAATGCACGAATTTGCATTGTTTTTATGCCGCTAGTGCACTAAATGTGAGTGCCTATTCGGGGCTTCTTTAGCGCTTCGCATCGAAATCCATACCGTGTGAGTATTTGCATTTCTCACTTACATAATAATTGCACTTTAGCGTTTCTTACTCTGCTGTATTTGTTGGTGTTTTTTTTTCGGTTCGCCGACGTGAGGAAAAAAAATTGCATGAGTCGACGACTTTTCTACATTATTTGTGAATGAACTCATCTGCAATTCGAATTTGTGCATGTATGCGAAAAAAAGAGAATCTCTCTGCATATCATTTTTGTTCAGCTTCCGTTTGCAGTTTTTGTTTTTTGCTTACCGAAGAGACTAAAGGCCTGGTGATGGCTTTATCTTGAAATAATCTCTGTCTGACGATGCATGCCATTGTATTGGGAAAGTGGTTAATTTTCCACCCACCACCAGGACATGTTATCTGGCAATTTTTATCTCGCACAGACATAACGCCATTGTTTTATCACACAGACATTGATGCTCAAATCTGATTAATTGTCTCGTTGATTTTCCTGATTTCACTCTTTTGATCGTCATGCATGTTCCGCACCATTACACTTCGGTGCTAACGATGACTCGTGCATCGTCGGTCATGTTTTCATACAAACATCAACGATTTACGATCCAAAAGTATCGATTTCTGGTTTTCATCAAATTTAGACGGCACAATGTCTCTTTCCTTCTTTTTTCTCCGTCTCTTTCTCGCTTTCTCTCTTTCTATCGACGTAACTGTCTCTATCCTTCTCTTTCTCTTTCCCTCTGTTTCTTTCTCTCCTTTTTGTCTTGTATTATTTCACTCCGTCTGTTGTTACTCTATTGTTTTTGTAATTCTCTCAATCCACCTCGCGATTACATTTCCGAAATGCATCGTGCAAAAAAGCACACACTTCTGCTACATTTTGATTGAATGTGGCATTAATAGCTTCATTTGCATGAGACTGATGTCAATTTTAATCACTTCGAGCGCAAAGCTTCCAAACAAGTTTTTTTGTTTTTAGTTTTCATCGTAGTCGTTCGATCGATAAATTTAGTCGTTTCGGTTGAGGTTTTTATGTAGTTGTTTTGATATAAAGTTAATTTTTAATTGTTTACTTGAAGCGCTTTTTTTTTCTTTGCTCATGGAAAACTCGTGGTTACGCATCGTTGGCGCTTGAAACATTTGCCATCAAGGCAAATAGAGAGGTGTTGTAAGTTCAGCAAAGTCATGTTTTTTGGAAATAGATTTGAGTCGTCTCAATCAAAGCTAGACAATGTGTAAACTTGATTCTTGGCACCAGTTTGCCTGGCACCGTCACGATATCAAAAATGCAAAACAACAACTTTCTCGATAAAAAAACACAAAAAGACCTTAATGGTGCTCTCAATTTGTGCTTTGTGTTTTCAAATGGCATCGATAAAACTCGCTGCAATCTGCATATGAACGGTAGTAATTTGTGCCCAATTCCCAAAAAAAGAAGAAGAACAAAGCCATGACGGAATAATACTGTTGCATTGAAAAGACAAATATCAATCGATTTTATTGACGTGAGACAATGTATATATGTGTCGAAATCAACGGTCCTAAACTAAAAAATGCCGAAAATCGAATTTGAAAATGGCACACACCGGAACCGTTATCGTTGTATTTGGTGTATGCAAACGCAGATTTCTTTGTGTTTTAATTGATTCTTCGCCCGTTTGTTGTTTTGATCAACAAAATACACCGCACACTATAAATCAGTTGAATGAATGTGAATCGCGCTCTGTCTGTTTTCAAGATTTTGTTGAATAGATAAACGACACGCATTCATAAACTCTGGGAATGTTTGCGCGCAAGCGGTCTTTATGCGTGCATAATGTTTAAAAATTGGATTATTTTTGGATGGATTTTCAAACAACCAGCACCCATCAAAAAGTCAGTGAATTCCATTGTATGATTTTGTAGTCGCATTTCTTTCTCTATGCTTTTCGATTTGTGTCGTTTTCTTTTCGACATCTCCTTTGTTACATTGGATGCGTCGTTTTCTCAATTCTTTTCTTCTTTTTCTCTCTCTCTCTCTCATTCTCTTCTATCTCTCCCTGTGAATCGAAATGGCCGCGAATTTATGTATAATATTATAATCAAGTCATTTGTTACTCTGATTCTCATGCAGATTTTGTATTTTTATTATGTATTTCGAACGTTGTTGTGTTTTTTGTACGGAATTTGAGCGAAATCTTATTTGATTCGGTCCATTTGAAGCGATGGAGTGTTTGAACTCTTTTTTTTCTCAAATATTTCAGTTGCTTCGTTTCACAGAAACTCTGACAATTGAGTGTCGCGCACATCGTCAACGGAAACGAATCATTTTCTTCGTTAAGTAGGAAATGCCAGAGAGTTCATATATATATAAATTGATGAAGACTTTGAAAATAGTGAAACTCTTGGGCACAATTTTGTTTTTTAGCACGCGCAAATGTTTGATTCATTCACTACTCGAACGCAATCCATACAAGACAAATCCACTTAATGTGCACCGACTCACGTCTCTCTATCTGCTGAAGCACTTAAGCCGATTACATGAAAGACACAGAGACACATACTCGGCATACTCGACTTTATGTAATCATCGTGTGTGTATTACAGCTATTCTTTTGTGCAAAACTATTGAATGACGGCAACGAAATATTCTTATGGAATGTACAGGGCATGTTTAGTCATATAAGAATGTCATCAGAAATTATGATAAAATTCCATAAATAACCTTTAAATGTCGTATATCGACACTTTGCACTTACGATTTTATGCTAACGCTGGCAGAGAACAATAGAAACAATCGCATACGTCAAACAAAAAGCTACTGAATGTGAACAACTAATCACTTAATACCGCCTCTGGATGATCCACATGAGTTAATAGCTACTTTTTTGGCGTCAATTATGAAACAAATAAGACTTTTCCACTGGATTTTTTTGGTTGGCAGCACCAATTGCTTGAAGCTTGCTATTTTCTGCTTGAGGCACTTTTTTTCGTTTACCGAGCACAAACTTGGTTCAGAGATTTTTTTTTCGATTTCCACTTGAAATTCGAACCTTTTTTACTATTTCAATTCAATTCAATGCAATGTTCCCATTAAAAACTGCTTTTTTGCTGATTTCGCTTTTTTTCTTGGTAAAAAAACACAATTCCTATTGAAAATACCTTAAATTGAATCGATTTTTGATGCACTTCACATTCCAAATGATTTTATATCCCGATAAATCCCGATATTTTATTCTAAATCTGACCAAAATCACAAAAATACTCTTCAAACAACAAAAAAAATGGTACCTTTCTTCGCAAAGCAACACCAAACAATTCACCAAATCGAAAAACAAAACAAAATCTCATTTGGTCTCTTACTCTCTTTGATTGACACGGTACGTTTTACGATGCGCATCCAACAAAGTCGACGAGTGTTACGGTTCTGATTTTTATGTATGTTTACGACAATCGAATCAGCAATGATGATGATGGCAAACGATGATGAACAGTGTGTGTGTTGAACTCACTCATATTCTGTGCGGCAAACCTTTGCCATGGAAGTAAAGCAACGAGAGCATCGAATATGTAATCCGCACAAACGTCGACAAATGTGCACAATGTAAACGAGCGGACGGACGAGAGTGTGCGTTGCCATAGAGATCTTGTATACGCGATGAATTTGTTTATTTACATGCAATCACCATGCTTCTCTCATACATGCACGTAAACGACACAAAAATAAAAGACCGAACATTATACATTAAAATGATTAAGACAAATCCATAAAAAAATGATTTATTTTTAGTTATCTGAGTGGCGATAACAATAAATGGATTTTAAAATGCATTTCCAATCAACATTTTACTTCCGACCACGAATGGTTTCTATTTATAAAGCGCGTATGCGTATGTGTTGTTGTTTACACATTGTTCATATATGAAGAATGCGTCCGCATGGCAACCAGCGCCATCTGGTGGTAAAAGAGAGAAACGTACACACAGTGGAATGTGTATAATTATTTGTTGGCAATTTTACTATTCGTAATACTGGAATTGCGTATTGTTCAATGAAATTGTGGGAATTTGTACTGGTAATATTTGTTCAAAAACTACAATTTAACAGGTGAAAATTCCCATTCGATAGAAATTTTTCGAAAATAAAATCGTCAAACATGGATATCGTCAATTTATATTGTGTATAAAAGTCAATGGAATCAAGATTTAATGAATGGTATTTTACAAACGATTAAAATTTCCATAATAACACCTTTGAGCAACAATTTACTTATTTTGATTGTTGCCAATCAAATTGGTGGAATTTTCTGAATACCAACGGTGAGCAAAGATGAAAGAGAAAAAAAATTCAAAATCCAGCGCCTTTTGACCTCTCTGAGCGCAGCACAAACACACACACACACACACACACATTTTCTCACTCACACAAGCACTCTTCGATCATCTGATTGCTGCGAATGACAGAACACCGACCAAAAGCATATATATTGTTGTTTTTATCAGTCGACACAACGCTATTGTTCTCACGCGACTTTCTCGGCACAGAAAAATCGCATTATCTCAATAAATTTCAATGAAATAATAAAAAAAGAAATTCATAACGTGTTATTTTCGTTGAATTTGTTTTGATAAACAACGTTAGTTTACATTTTAATGGCACCGACGTGTGTGCGTCACTTTAGTTTGTGATGGAAACCTATTTTTGAAACAAGTGTGATATAGATAAGTTTGTGATAATTGATGTGGCTATCATTTATGGGTTTTTAGCCATTTAATGTTCAGTTGGAGTAAATAATTCGACGAGAATAGCTGGAATAACATTTCGGATTGAATTTAATTCACAGCAGAACCATTGGTGACCAGTTGGTATTTGGATTTTCCATATAGAAACTTTTGGTTTCTAATCGATAGCGATTGACGGTAACTATCATTGAATAATAATCTTTGACCTTGTACACACATAGACATTGAATAAACACTATTACAACCGGCCCGTTGCAATCGATTTATCTAGCTATGTCGTACGATACGTACGGCGGATTGGAGTTTTTTCGCGTGATTTTTTGCTGTCTATTTTTTTCATTTTTGTGTTTATATTGCACAATTTCGATTTACGATGCAGTTTTTAACCAATAATTATCGACTATTGTCTTCGATTCATTTTTAACCAGCAAACAAATATCGAAAGTCATTCAATATTGACCTAAATTTAGTTCAGTGTACGTTCATAGTGAAAGATTGACGTTGTTTCCATCAAATTTTGTACTTTATTATGTATATTTGGTCATTTCGAAGAGAGAGAGAGAGAGAGAGAGAGAGAGAGAGAGAGAGAGAGAGCGAGAGAGAGATAGATGTAGAGAGAGCATTATTTTGAATGCCAAGTTCGCACTAAATTGACAATTTGATCTAGGTTTGGAGGCTTGGTTTGAGTACATGAAATTGATACTATGTCGCAGCAAAAAAACCGCAGATGAGATGAATTCAACGTAATTAAGAGCTCTCGCACCATACACTTGCTTTGAGAATATTCTATTCTTAATTAATGTTTTCCTTTTTGTTGCTGTTATTTAAGACTCTATTTCTTTTATTAAAGATTCTATTTTTCTGCGAAGATGAATATATTTTCAAAACGTTTAGATTTTGTTTTGTCTCTCATTTTTCATCTTTAGTTGCATCTGTTTTGTGGAAAATTGCTTCCGCGTGAAATCACATACTCTTATATAGTTATGTGATTCAATTTATACTTATGTTCTGACCCGCATACTCCCATAACAGATATAGAAGTTCTATAATAGAATAATCGCGTAGCGTGTGTTCAATGATAGCGTAAAATGTGTTTTGTAAACAATTACAAGCTTGGCCTTTTATTGCATTATATTGCATGTCATATGTTCATGAATCAGTCACAGTATTATTTACAGAATTAATAAAAGCGACAAAAATTGAATTGAATCGCAATTTGCCATTGGAATTACGGTTCGCCGCAAATGTGATTAATTTCACATTTTACTCGGAGTAGAATTCTGTTTAAAGAAATTGCTATGATTAATGAGAGCATGAAAGGATGAAATATGGAACCAAATTGAATAAAAGTTCGAAAATATAGCGAAAAAAGATAAATAAAGAAAAAAAAATTGAGAAAAAAATAATAAAATAAAAATGAAACAAAAAAAATCGAAAAGAAGAAAAAAGATAAAAAATAGATAGGATTTGACGAAATAAAAATTCATAGGATCGATATGACCCACCTCCAAAGTGAGACTTGAAATATTCCCCACTGCACTTGAACAAGCATTCACAAAGAGATACATCAATACAAAACATCAAAACATCCAACGACAGCACTAGCGATGCGCATCAAATACCATCTTTGTGAATGCTTGCTTGAAAAAATGACAATTGAACCCCCTTAACTTTCTGTGGTGAAGAACTGGTTAAAGAACTGGTGATTCGCGGAAACGAAAAAATATATAGATTCTTTTTAAAATGTGAGAAAAACGCTAAAATTAAAATTATGTTTGAATTTCCCACGTCTCTTCAAATTTCAAAAGAAAATCAAAAAAAGAGTCGATCTCAACCATTCAAACAAAATCACTTTATATCAAGTGTTGCGTTTATCTGTTCTAATCTAATCAAATGAACATTTGTGCGAAACAACAACAGGTATAGTGTCAATTTACAACACAATAACCACACAGTCTGAATTGAGTACAATTGAGATGATTGTTACATTTAATTCGAGTTTTATTGTTATTTTTTATTTTATTCTTCTATATTCCAGAAAAACACACAGTGCAAAAAAAGTGCTACACATTGAACGAACGTAAACAAAAACTTATATTAAGTCAATACGCCCACTGGCTAAAAATGCATTTTCAATGGATCGTGATTCATTTAATATGCATTGCAAGCATGGCAAGTGCATTGAACGGCCCACAAATAACCGATGTATTTGATTATCAACCACAACAAATACACATTGCATTCGGTGGTATGGACATCATCGCAGCAAAAACTAGAATTTGACCTAATTTCAACCCAATGCTTTTTGTTTTATAGAAAATGTGAACGAAATCGTTGTCACGTGGTCAACAATGAGCGATGTTGGAGAGAATGGTGCGATTGTTGAGTATGGAATCAATGGATTTGCACTAAAGGCATACGGTAGCACAGAAAAATTTGTTGATGGCGGACCGGCACAGCACACGCAATTTATACATCGGGTTAGTGAATTTTTGTGCCATTGAAAAATCAAACTCGTTTTAATTTCTGCTTTGAATTAGGTCTCGTTAAAAGATTTAACGCCGGAAATGCGTTATGTTTATCACTGTGGCAGCGACCTGGGCTGGTCGGCGGAATTCTCATTCCGAGTTCCTAGAACAGATAGCGATTGGTCACCACATATTGCCCTCTTTGGTGACATGGGCAATGAGAATGCACAAAGTTTGCCACGACTTCAAGATGAAGCAGTAAGTGAGATGTACGATGCCGTCATTCATGTTGGCGACTTTGCATATGATATGCACTCGGACAATTCACTGGTTGGCGATCAGTTTATGCGACAAATAGAGCCCATTGCCGCTTATTTACCGTATATGGTTGTACCGGGAAACCACGAAGAACGATAGTATGTTGATTTTATTTCTCGTGATGAATATTTAGACGTGAAATAATAATAATCCGATTTTTTTTTCTTTTATAGTAATTTTTCAAATTATAGAGCACGATTCTCAATGCCACATAGCACGGAGAATATAATGTACAGCTTCAATCTTGGACCCGTACATTTTATCGGATTCTCGACGGAAGTTTATTATTTCATGAACTACGGCATTAAGACGTTAATCAATCAGTATGAATGGCTTGAGCAGGATCTCATCGAAGCCAATAAACCAGAAAATCGGTTAGTTATACTTGGAATTTATGCTATTCTCAGTAGTACACCTTTAAAAATTCAAAGAGACCGAAGAAAAAAATTCAAACAATTTTTTTTAATATTTCCAGAAAGCTGAGGCCATGGATCATCACCTACGGTCATCGCCCGATGTACTGTAGCAACGACAACGGAGACGATTGCACACATTTGGAAACATTGGTACGAGTTGGCATACCGTTTACACACTTTTTCGGATTGGAGTCATTATTTTATAAGTATGGTGTTGATGTTGAGATTTGGGCTCATGAACATTCATATGAACGTCTTTGGCCAATTTATAATTATCAAGTTTTGAATGGATCATATGAAGAACCATATACAAATCCAAAGGCACCAGTACATTTGGTGACAGGTAATTTTTTTCTCTAATTTGAATAAATTTTTCTTTTTCAAATTTTTTTTTTGTTCAGGTTCGGCAGGTTGCAAGGAAGGCCGCGAACCATTTGATAAAGTAATTCCAAATTGGAGCGCCTTTCATAGCCAAGTGAGTAAAAATTTATTTTTAAACTGTTCTGACCATGTAATTTGCATGAAAAAATTGAAGAAATATTTTTCTGAAAAAAATACCTTGTGAAATTTAATGCTCAATGTTTTTCCAATATTTTTATAAATTTTTCTAATTTTCTAAAAAAAAATTTTTATTCTAAAAAAATTATTTTTTTTAAATCTTCTAAATTTACTTTTTTTAATATTTTTTTTTCCTCCATTTTTTACCTTCTTTTTCCAATTTCCAGGATTACGGCTACACACGAATGAAGGCATACAATCGGACGCATTTGTATTTTGAGCAAGTATCAGATGATAAAGAGGGTGCCATAATCGATAGTTTCTACATAATAAAAGATAGTCACGGTCCCTATCAGAGCATGAACGAAGTCTAAATCGAATTTTAATTTAACACACCATTACCAAAGAGAGGCAAATTGTATTAGGCATACCTTAACTTTGATAGTTTTATTAACCAGTACATGTGCATCACTAAAAACAAAAGCTATTTAGTTTAAAAGAAAACACGACCATTTTGTATTAAATGTAAATGTCTAAGATTTTTTTTTGTTAAAATTTATTTGTAATTCAATAACGAGAATAATTTACAATAATTTTTTTCTTCTTTTTATATAATAAACTGAATTTTAGAATGAGCTGTGGGTAAAAAGTGATGTGCGACACGGAAGCAAGCCATACGATTAAATTTTGTATTTTTTTATAAGCTCAAAGAAGTCCTGCTTTATCATTCCAATTTTTTATTTTTTATTTCATATTTTTGTTCATTGGCTCCTTGGTCCCGGTCGCTCATCACTTCTCCACCCCTGACTTGCTCTGAAGTATTAAAAACGTAAAAAGACAGAAAGAATAAAAAAAAACTTTTCTAAATATAATAAATCTGTAAAAATTTGTTCAGATCTCTTTCTCTATTTCATAATAACAAACTGTAAACTTTCTTTTTCATATTTCCTGGTTCTGTAAACAATTCCTGTCGTTTGGTCCAGCGAGTGTTGCGGCTCGCCAAATAATATCTTAATTTTGCGCGTCTATATTCAGAGAAATAATAAAACGGAGATTCAATTGATGCGCTTTTTTATACTTTAAAATAATGAAAGAGCACAGTGTTTAAAAAACCGGAATTTAAAATGTCTCTTTTGGAACTTGGTTCGTGTGCAGTGTAACGCTAGTGATATCTTTAACAATCATCTCGGCCATTTGCCAGGCGAGCTCTTCTTGCATGCATTGTTCGGGAAGATGTACCAATTTTCGAACGGCCCGTTTGATTTTGTTGCCGGTATTTTGAATGATTTGATTAGCATCGATGTTACCACTGGCATTGGAAACATTTACATGATTTTTATCACATGGAGTCATATCATAGTCTCGCTCATACCGTCCCATTTCGTTGACATGGCCAAATTTCAGGCCACTCGCTGAATGTCGGCGCCACAACAGATCTGGATCGTGCAATTGCCGTGCATCGATGCACATGTCTGAAGACTTGATGCGCTGGTGTGTTCGTTTCTTAACACTTTCCATTGCAAGGAGGGTGTTTTTTGCTGAAATGACTTGTGCATAGTCCTTTTGTGCTGGTGACTTTTTATTGTGCTCCACATCACTTGTCGTGCGGATGACTTTTGAAGTTGTTACCGAGACTGTCGATGGTTTTACGGTCATTGCTTCCATTTTTTGTGTGAGTTCTGTGAGATATTTGAAAAATAGTGGCGAACATTCAAATGGTGCCAGAAATTGTTCGCTTAAAAATCGCTCAATAATGGATAGCGGAAGATCAAAACAATGTGCAATCGCTTCGTTGCCGTCAATCGAACAGATTTTCTCCTCCACATGGAATCGCACACGATCCGACAAATGCAACGGACACGTGGCCTGCAATGAGAAATACTTTTCATACAAAATCAAGGCATCGTTTTGGCTTTGTTCAATTGCATTGCAATCATTTGCTAGAGCCACCGCGGCAGCGGCGGCGGCTGCAGTTTGTTCATCGCTCATTTCCTTATCATTCTCATCAAATACAATAGCAGCATTACAACTATTGTCCAATTGCCGTTTAAAATTCATAGCAGCCAACCAAAAGTCCAAATAATGTCGTTTCGATTCAACTTCTAAAAATTCCATAAAATAAAATAGCGCCAATTCATTATAGAGGATGTCGGTGATCTTGAGATTTGTGCCGGTATTTTCGATGCAAAAACGATAATAAAATGCACTCTCCAAAAAATCACCCGTATACATGCGATCTAAGTAGTCCAAAATAAATGATTGCGCCTCATCAAAGACGGTGATCAAGTTTTTTCCCTCCAATTGTGACGTCGATAATGGAATCGATTCGCTGGATATGCTCAATCTTGAATGTTTATCACTGTCAGCCGGGCACTTGTCGTCATTTTGAACGCACAACACCAGAGAGATTTGCGATAAAATGCTCGTTGGTATACGCACCAAATTGGTCAATTCGCCAGCGAGCAAGTATTTTTTGAATATTCGAATCGCATCGATTGTTAACGATGCCGGCATCTTTGATGACATACCGTCCGTGTCATCGCCATGCGATGATGCACCCGTTGCACTTTTGCGACCGTTTTCGAGGATTTTTTGTGAACTCTCTTCATCCACTGAGGCGGACAGTATTTCGTCCAATTGTTCGTGGTCATCGTTACGCTCATAAATATCACTTAAATTTGTCATGGAGTTTGCATCACTGCTTCCATCGCCATTATCCCGTTCCGAAGGCAATTCATTGAGATTCATCGACTCATTTCGGTCGTCCAATGATTCAACATCATTGTAAGCACTGTAAAAATCATCACGGTTTAATGTCATACCATCTAGAGATACACTACGACCTATTGATGACTTTGGTGTCATACGCTTATTTACACATTTTCGCGACGATATTCGACCACATTGCTCAGATGACGATTTAAAACTCTCGACATCCAACCAAAATCGAATCAAAGGCAACGCCGACTTTTGCTCCATGTACTGCACAAAATAACACAAACAATTTCGATCGTCAAGGATTCGGGTGATGTTTTTCGTCGAATGCGATGACGACGCAATCTCCATATCGGTCTCATCTGGAAATTAAAGGAGGACAGATTAATAGAAGTAAACTTTGGTTTTCTTTGGGAATGATTTTCTAAATACGGCATAAAAATAAGCCTAATTCAACATGGAAAAAATTTATCTAGAATTTTCACAAACTTAAGAATTAGAAAAACTTTCTCCTAAATTTTAATTTTATTTTCATTTTCAATTTTTCGTAGAAAATATTCTTCAAAAATTCCTCATTTTGGCATCGATTTGATTTAGAAATAATTGTGATCAAAGCTTCGAGTTTTTGATTAAAAATGCATTTTTAAGAAAAAAGTTTCAATTCTCTCAAATAAATTACAAATTTTTAGGCTAAAAATTCAATTTTTGGTTAAAAAAATTGATTTTTCTGCAGGAATTTTATTGATTTCTTTGAAATTCCTGTTTATCGCTGAACAAAAAAAAATTGTAAAAAAAAATTGTTTTTGAAAAATTTAATTTTTTGTTGAAAAATCGATTCGCTCATAAACTGTGGCTTTAAAATTGAAATAGTTGCGAGCCTCAATAAAAATGGCCATAAAAACTGTTTTTTAATACTTCAGTTAGATTTTCCTCTATTTCTACGTGAAATTTCGCATCAATTAAAAAAAAACACTTTTATGCAAAAAAAGTTCTCAAAAAATGTAAAAAAAAAATCCTATTTAAAATGAAAGTCGTATCTTTTTTAATCTTCTACAACTTCCTCTGTGTTCCCACACAAAATAAATTCCAATAAGAATCTTACAATCATCGTTTAGTATTTGTTGTTCGATTTTGCCGAGAATTTGTTGATCGTTGCCGCCCTGCGACTGGTTACCACTGTCGGTGACATCACTACATTCTATGTTCAACGACGATGATTTGACGATGGGTCTGTTGCGACCTACAAAAAGTGAAAAAGAAAACAAACACAAAACGCATTAATTTGCGCATTGACTAAAAAAACCTTGTCGTTGGAAGAGTTTCTACAATGCAACAACAACAACAACAATTGCAACAATTCACACGCATCCATCGTTGTTGTCGTCGCACCAAAATAATAATAATAACAAACACCATGAGAAGCGAAAAAAAGACGCGCAAAAGCGCATTAAACGCAAAGACGTGTATTGCACATACGAAACTTTCTTCATGCCAACGACAAAACAAGCGAGAAAAACAAGAATGAGAACACCAATGTCACCAATGTCGGATGATTTGTTGTTTTCTTTGGTATATACCTGCTTTTTTGAAAAATGATATCATTTTGCATGTCTATTAGAGTGAACAGCAGCCAATTAACGGGCACCATGTAAATTGTTTCGTCAAATGAATCACACACACAATTGTCACAGAATCTCTTCTCTTCTCACTGTTGTCATCGGCTAATAACGTCGAAACATTTTTTCTGGAACACACAAAACTTCCACGCAATTCAATATGTTTCTGCCGCACAAATCATAAGCACACACTCTTCAAATTAATATATCCAAATTCCGTGCAATCAAAAGAAAAATTTACATAAAATGCTAATTTATCATTCATGAACGTGAGCCACGCAAATATTATACTTTTACTGGCCACAAAATCTCTGCAACGATTGTTTTTCACAAAATTACATTCAAAATATCACTTTATTCATTTGAACAAGTTCTGGCAAAATCAAAAATACCAAAGAATATTTTCTCCTCTCGTACTACTTTAGTCGTGTTTTCATCACTTGATTTTGTTTGTTTCTACTTCAGTGGCACGTATTTCTGTCTCTCAATGTGTTTTTTCATTTCTCTACTGTGAGTCGATCTTTTTTTTCAATGCCTTCTTCTTCTTCTTCTTTTTGTTCTGTGTGTATGGTGACGTTTTGTAGCACACAGTTCTTATTGCTGTATGTTTTCAAATATGCACACTTTCTATATGCTAACAACAGTATGGTGTTATACGGCACGCACACTTATGCATAACACTCACAAATACCAAAGCGTTCGCTCGTTGGTATCAACTGTCAAATTAATTTCTGGAATGATTTTCGGCATTGGAATCACTGCATTATCAACGTTTTTACATTTAAATTTGAATGAATTGTTTTTTTAGTACTAGTGTTTTTGCTTTTCCGCACACCCACTGTGTGTACTAAAGTATTTTATTAACTTTTATTTTTATATTTTGAACACAAATTCAGTATAAATGGCATCTCCTTCCAGAAAACAATGACTAATTACAAAAATGTTCAATCAAATTCCATTGTGCCCCTAAAAAATGTTTGGTCGCATCGGATGTTTCGAAAAGGGATACGATTCGGCTCTCTTGATCTCCATCAAACCATAACTGTTTGTCGACGAATTCGATTTCAGTTTCAAATAACACTGTTCATCCACATAAATGGTCAATTTACACGAATTCTTCATCTGCCGACGTTCTTTGTCCAACGACTGTAACGTAGTCTTTTCAATTCTATTTACAAAGCCAATCAAATAAATGGTTTTAAGTTTTCGTGAATGTCGCACAAATGGCATGAGTTCATAGATCGAACCTATAGAAATGGTTTGGAATTCTTCCAATTCTGTCAATTTCTGTGCCAAAACATCGAAATGATTATGGTGCTTATTAAAATAAAACAGATATGTAAGATTCGTCATACTGCCAAGGACATCGACTGACACCCGACTAAAGGTGTTTATATTGAAATGAACACTTTTCAAAAACTTAACCTCATTCAACTTTGGACGGAGCAAAAATGATCTTTCAATGACCAAATGTAATCTTTTCACTTGTTGATTTTTGTGAAGTGAATGGAAATTTTCGATTAATTTATCCATGTCCTCCTCATTATCCTTATTTGATAGTTTTAACAGTAAATCGTCGATGATGATGCGGTTTTCCAGCAGCCAGTTCGTTGACCGAATGGCGGGTTGATTATAGGCATAAAATGTTGTTATATTCGGATTTATCACCAAGAAATCCTTTAATTGCGGACAAAATTTCGACGAAGCCCAGTCTAATTGCTTCAACGTTGGATATGCATGTGAAAGTTCTTCGGGTTTTATGTTCTCAAGCATGAGGTACTGCAATTTTGGACAATGTTTCAATAAATTGTTAATTGACAAACAATCAGCCAATTCGACGACTTCAACATTTTGCAGGGCATCTTTGACGTAATCACAATGGAAAGCGTTCATTTCGATTAGTTTTTTATGCTTCCAAATACTTATGTATTTTATAGTATTTTCTTTCATTTTCCGTACAATCAGTTCAAAAGTCTCATTTCCAGCGTGTTCCAAGTCAACTCTTGGCATATGAAATTTAAATAATTGAAAATACTTTTCTTCGACGGTGATTTCAAGCTTTTCAAAGTCTTCACTGAAATGAACAAAATTATTTTTATAGGTTCGACGGAAATGTTCGTTGGCAAGCAAATAGAAACGTTTGCATGTTATTTTTATTGCAGCTAACTCGGCAATCGATAACCAATCGAGAATTTGAAGAATACAATCATCGTTCAATGCACAAAACTCGATTTTTGACTTTTTAGTTGCGGACTGATCTTCTTCAGTCATCTTTTGCCGCTTCGCTTCACTCATCTTGAATACACTTTTTGGTGATTAAAGACGTATAATGAACAAGAAATGTGTCACTCTAGATGAATTGTTGTGCAAAATAATAACGTTGGTAAAATAAAATGAACGTGTTTCTGTGTTGATGGGTTTGGAAGAACTAATTTGAGGCACATTTTTACAGGTAAAGTGGAAAAATATGGAAACTATATGGAAAGAAAATGACAAAGGTCATTCTGCATAAACCAAAAACAATGCATATTGTTAAAATATACATAATAGGTTTACTTGTTTGTTTTATTGTTTTAAGACGAATCTTTCCATTGAAACGTATTAGAACTGATCCGTTTGTACCTGCAGTCGAAAATTGTTCGAGTTTTTTTTTGTAATCATATGTTTAGACTCAATAAATAAGCGATCGCTCGAGCATTAGAGGCGATGATGCCAATAAACAAATACGTTTGCTTTTATTTTTTTCAACCGAAGAAATATTCAAACATGCCCAGCAGATATACATTTCATGAAATGCTTTAGGAGAGTGTGACTCTTCGGTGGATTGCTGCTATTCAATAAGCGAAAAGTTTAAAAATTGAAAACAAAATAAATCTTACCGAGTATAATTTTAAATATTCAATAATAAGAAAGAAAACACAATATTTAATATGGCTAAACGAGAGAAGCTTTTATTCTATACTTTTTATATTATTTAAAAGATAGTTTGTTTGTACTAATGGACTATCCAACGGTCTTTTATGAATGATATTTATTAATCTTTTTACTAAGCATCTTTGGTCGCATCGGATGCTTCGAAAGCGGAAAAGAATTGGTGCGCTTGATCTCCACCAAACCGTAACTGTTTGTCGATGATTTTAATTTCATTTCCACGTACCACTTTTCATGCAAGTAAATGGTCAATTTACATGCGTTCTTCAGCTTGCGACGTTCTTTATCCAAAAATTGTAGTGTATTCGTTTTATCATGCCACCAATAACACATATCGTTATAACAAGTTAAATAAATAATTTTAAGTTTTGAAGAGTGTCTCACAAATGGAATGACCGTATCGATCTTACAAATAGCAGATGTATGGAATTCTTCTAATTTTGTCAATTTCTGTGCTAAAAATTTATAGTTGGGCATATCCAATTCATTATGATAAATCAGAAATTTTAAATTCGGCATGCGGCTAATTACATCGCCACAATCGCTGTCGACTTCAGAATCGACTTCAACGCTTTCTATAAACTCAATCTCTGGCAACTTTGGATGGAACAAGTATTCACAATGTTCAGCGATTTCTTTGTTCAGCCAGATGAAAAACATACATTTTACATTTTGATTCATTTTTTCTCCAATCAGTTTAAAAGTCTCAATTCCTGCATTATAACTTATTATATTTGGCATATGAAATGCAAAAGATTTTAAATGATTTTGTCTAACAATGATATTCGGCTTTTTAAATTCTTCTTCACGAAAACGAACAGAATTATGTTTATATGTGTTACGAAAATGATCATTTGCAAGCAAATAAAGTCGTTTGCATGTCATTTTTATTGTTATGAGATCTTGAATTCTTAACCAGTCAAGAATATGTAGAATACAATCGTCGTTCAATGCACCGAACTCGGTTTTTGACTTCTGACTTTTCACTTGTGGCACTCGGTTTCCGTCTTCTTCACTCATCTTTCGCCGTTTTCCCTCACTCATCTTGAATACAATTCTTGATCACTTGAACTCAGTCGCTATGAATGTGCGCGGATCAATAGAAAATGACACCAAATCCGTCGTTGAAGTACCAAACTGACAACTATAATCAATGCTAATTTATTTAAATGTTTAAACGAAGAATGTCGCTGGTGTTTATTTGAAGGACGGAAAATGAAATAAACGTGTTTCTGTGGCGATATTTTCAGAAGAACTGAACTTTACTTAACTCTGAGAGACACCGATAACTTAAGTGCAACAAAATGGAAAATATGAAAAGAAAAGGACAAAGGTCATTCTATGAAAACGAAATAAAGAGGCTTACGTACGCAAGCTGACTTTTCCGCATGGAACCGAAATGTTGGGAATAAACTGAAATTATGGTCTATGTATGGTTGCAGTAACTTAAAGCACAGTGAAAACTTGTGAATATTATTTTCTTATCAAAATAAATAATCACACCAAGTTTAAAGAAATTTCAATCAAAAAAAATAGCCTGTTCAAAGTTTTACATCATTACGGTACCACAAAGGCATGTCTTTTATACAAAAATGAAATTTTTTGTGGACTTTTACATGGAAAGTCTGTGAAAAATTTATTGCATCTTAAAACTAACATCAGATTCGGGAAAGAATACCATTTTAAGGCATTTTTCTCATTATTGCCTCTTCAGAGTCTAAGTTTTACACCGATCGATCAATGTCGTTGAAATTTTGACCAGATCTATTCCTTGTAGTGCCCAATCATCCCGTAAAGTCAGATTTTGAATTTCATGTCTGAGCACGAAACCATCGTGTCACCAAAATGGTTGAAAAATTACCAAAAAATGTATGGATGTGGGTACTCCATTCGGACCAAAAAAAAATTACACCGGTCAACAGATATTGCTCAAAAACTAATCAGCACGTCTCCTAGTGGTCTCAAATCATCCTGCAAAGTCAGAATTTGAATTGAGTTTTTGGAAGAAGATTTATCGTGTTAACAAATTTTGACAACACGCCACAGGACACAGGGAACAGGACACAGGACACATCACACACAGCGACGCACATTAATATGCCCCAAAATCATCTCCAATCGTGTTTTCTACATTAAATATGAATAGAAAACATGTTTTGGGGTGACTTTAATTTGTTGGCCTAATACAATAACTTCCTTCACTAGGTGTGCGGAAAAGTAAAACTGTTAACAATACATTCTTCTTGGTCTTTTCACTTATTCTATTCGTTGCTTATGGACGAATTTTTCTATCTACAGATATTAGTACCTGAAATGTCGAAATCATTGCTGATTTGTACCTGCAGTCGATGATGCTAATAAACAAATACGTTTGCTTTTATTATTATTTTTTGTTTGCTTTTATTATTAGTGTGACTCTTAGGTGGATTGCTGCTATTCAATAAGCGAAAAGTTTAAAAATTGAAAACAAAATAAATCTTACTGATTATAATTTTAAATATTCAATAATAAGAAAGAAAACACAATATTTCATATGGCAAAACGAGAGTAACTTTTATGCGATTTTTTTTAATTGTACTAACATATTTGTAATCGATTTTATTCAAAATATTTTCAAATATATTTTACTTTTCCGCACACACCTAGTGTGTAAGGTAAAGTATTGGAATCGGTCGAAAAATTAACACCCATAAAAAATGTGTTTTCTGGGTGTTTTTGGGGCCAGGGAACACGAATCCAGCGTTTTTTCGATGTCCGAATGTATGTGCGTACCCTGTACCCTGTACCCTGTACCCTGTACCCTGTACCCTGTACGCTGTACCCTGTACCCTGTACGCTGTACCCTGTACGCAAAAATTTGTTAACACGATAACTTTCAAACAAGAAAAGTAATTCAAAATCTGACTTCACAGGATGATTGGGGGTGCCGAGGAATAGAAACCATTAGATTTTGAGCGACTTTGGTTGACAGGGTAAAGTGTCATGTCTGGTGTGATGCCCATGTCCATCCATGGGAAAAATTCAATTTTTCTTCCAAAAGTGATATTTAATGTATTCTTAAACACTCAAAAATGTGTATTGGGGGGTTTTTGGGTACGAGAAAACCGAATATGACGTTAGTTTTGCGATACAATCAACTTTCGAAACACTTTTCATACAAAAAATTCAAAAAATTTGGATTTTTGTATGGAAGCCATGCCTGTATGATATCGTAATGAGCTGAAACTTTGCACAGGTTATTTTTATCACACATAAATACTATTCCGAGAGTTTGAAGACATTTCAACGAATATTAGGGGCACCTCCCGAACAATATTTTGGATTTTTCGCTCTAAAACGAAATTTTGTATGGGAAGTACCCTTAATATGCATTGAAATTTCTTCAAACTTTCAGAATGTTAACTTTTTGTGAAAAAAATAACCTCTGCAAATTTTCACATGATTACGATATCATATAGGCATGGCTCCGATACAAAAATTCCCATCTTTAGTAGTTTTTGTAAGAAAAGTGCTTCGAAAATTATTTTTATCTAAAACTAATGTCAGATTTAGTTTTCTTTCATGTCGTGGATCACAGTGCGGAAAAGTTCATCTTACGGATGTAAGACATTTTATTATTCAAGAATTTAATCGAAATTCAAATCACAACGAGGCTTTCATTTACCAAACCGAATTTCATTTACCAAACTGGCATGTTTGGTCGCATCGGATGCCTCGAAAGCGGATATGAATCGGTGCGCTTGATCTCCACCAAACTTTAACTGTTTGTCGATGAATTGCATTTCACTTGAAAATAATATTCTTCATCCACGTAAATGGTTAATTTACATACATTCTTCAGCTTGCGACGTTCTTTATCCAACGATTGTAGTGAGGTCTTTATATCTTGCAGCAAATGAAGCCTATTTTCATAATAATTTAAATAAATAATTTTAAGTTTTGACGAGTGTCTCACAAATGGAATAATAATCGCATCAATCGAATCACCGGCAGTTGTATGGAACTCTTCCAATTCTGGCAAATTCTTCGCTAACAATTCAAAATGAGATGTGATAATCACATTGTTTGATGTTATTTAAGAATCGATGTCAACGCTTTCTATAAACTCAATCTCTGGCAACTTTGGATGGAACAAAAAGTCTCGATTCCAAATGTTCAAATGTAATCTTTTAATCTGTCGATTTTTATGAAGTGAGTGCAGATTTTCGATTATCTGATCAACGTCCTCTTCCTTCAATGTTATTATTATTCTCAACACCAAATCCTCTAACTTAATGCCGCTTTCAAGAAGCCAGTTCGTCGTTGTGATTGCACGATGAGAATTAGCAGAAAATGCTCGAATATTTGGATTTTTTTACCAAGAAATCCTTCATCTCAACGGGAAACTCCATCGAATTCCATTGTAATTGCTCCAGCGTTGGATATATATGTGAAAGCACTTCAGAACTTATTTCATTAAGGATCAAATACTCTAATTTTGTACAGTACCTCAAAAAACAATTGATTGAAGCGTCTTTCCTCACTGAAAACATACTACAAATAAAAAATACATTCAATTAAATTCTTTGTACGTTAAAGCGATCGTCAATTTTATTCGAAACATGTAATTTTGTTTTTGTATTTTGCACAAAAATATAAATTTTAAACCCTATTGTCTCAAAATGTTCATTTTGTTTCGTCTCAATCAATCATACATGTTTCCATTCTGGAACTAATCATCAAAGTTTGGTCGTATCGGATGCTTCGAAAGTGGATATGAATCGGTGCGCTTGACCTCCACCAAACCGTAACTGTTTGTCATTGAATTGGATTTAATTTGCAAATACCAATTTTCATTAACGTAAATGGTCAATTTACATGGATTTTTCAGCTTGCGACGATCTTTGTCCAACGATTGTAGCGTGATATTTATTTCGTTTGCGAAATTGATATAACCACTTCTAAAACACTTTACATAAATAATTTGTAGTTTTGGTAAATTTTGCACAAATGGAATGATCTTATCGATCGAAAAAATATCAACAATATGTAATTCTTCCAATTTTGTCAATTTCTGTGCCAACAATCCAATCTGTTGATTTATATTATCCCATCTGTTATAGTAAAACAAAAATTTCAGATTCACCATACGGCTAACCACATCGACTAATTTCCTATCACAATCCACCGTATCGATATGAATACTTTCCAAGAACTCCGGCTCCGTCCAATTTGGATGAAGCAAAAAGTCTGAGTCCATAATTTTCAAATGTAATGCTTTGATCTGTTGATTTTTATGGAGTAAATGCAAACTTTCGATTATTTGCTTCATATTTTTAAATCCTTTCTTCACTGTTATTGATATTTTCAATACCAAATCGTCTAATTTAATTTCGGTGTCAAGTAGCCAGTTCGTTATTTTAATTGTGTTGTCATTAGAAGTAGAAAGTGCTCGAATATTTCGATTTCTCATTAAGAATTCCTTCAGCTCAACGGGAAAATTTGCCGAACCCCATTGTAATTGCTTCAGCGTTGGATATGTATGTAGCAGTTCTTTCGACCCAACTCCACTAAGAACCAAGTACTCCAATTTTGTACAGTTTCTCAATAAACAATCAATTGAAGAGCAATCATGAATATTAACGATTTCAACATTTTTTAGAACATCTTTTACGTATTTTTGTTGTAAAACGTCATTGTTTTGGTTGAAATTCGCCCAGAAGAAACGTAAATATTTTATAGGTTGTATCGTTTTCTGTCCAATCACGTTAAATGTCTCAATTGCTGCATTTGCACTGTGTATTTTTGGCATATAATATTTAAAAGATGTTGAATACTTGTTTTCAACTGAGATATCAAGCTCTTTGAACATTTCTTCTAAATGAACACAACCATTTTTATATGTGCGACAAAAATGTTCATTTGCGAGCAAATAAAGGCGTTTGCATGTCATTTTTATTGTTGCCAGCTCTTTAATCGACAGCCAATCGAGAATGTGTAGAATACAATCGTTGTTCAGTGCATTAAACTCGGTTTGTGACATTTCACTTGTGTTCCTGTCTTCTTCACTCATATTTTGCGACTCGCTCATGTTGAATAAGGTTATGCTTTGAATTTGTCTGGTTTGTTCTGCAAATTATTAACTAAGATAAATAAATGTGGATAATTTGACGATATTTAAATGAATATAATTTCAATAAACCTACAACTTGAAAAATAAATAGCAGAATAATAAAATATTTGTGCCTGTGTCAATGTCTATGTCAACTCAGAGTGAATTATTCCTTTTTTCTTCGTATTTCGTCGACTTTTTCTCTTATTCTTATTTCGTCGGCTTCTTATTTATTTATTTTTTTCATTCTGTATGTATAGTGACGTTTCTTAGCACACTGTGTTTATTGTTGTATGCTTTTAAATGTATGCACACCTTCTGTATGCTAACAGCAGTAAGACATCATACACTATGGCACGCACACATACAAAACACTCACAAATATCAAAGCATTCGCCCGTTGATTCCAGCTGTCAAATTCATTTCTGGAATGAATTTCGGCATTGGAATCACTGCATTGTCATCATTTTCCAATTTAAATTTGAACGAATGTTTTTTTAGTACTTGTTAAAATAGCCGGAACAAATGAATTCTCTAGAATAAGTACAGCGTATGATACGGTCGCACACCAAAGGTTGTTTTTACATTCATTTTTTGCTGTATTTTGTATGACGGTGTTTCGCTTTGAAATGCAACCTTTTCATACGCTGTTTTTACTCTATAGCAATAAAATGATTTATTCGAAGTAATTTTATTTCGCTTTTATTTTTACATTTTGAACAATTCCTTATTGAATTACTTTTAATTTTTCAAAATATCAATTCTTTATGCAACATTTTTATTTGCAATATTTAGGCCAATGAATGGAAGTGATAAATCTATTTTATTTTATGAATGTCTCAGAATATTTCAGTCTGTTCTTTTCCACTTGTTTTTTTTACCTGTTAATCAGCATATTTTGTGTGTAAATGCATGAGGTGATAGGAATGAAAAATTTGAGCTGTGTCTTTTTCTACCTGAAGCTCAATAAATAGCAACCGTTGAGTTCGATTCTACAGGTAAAATATGTAAAAATTTCAATACTTCCGAGATGTTCAAAACCATGCACCGATGTCTGCCGACATTATGCGAATAATTTAAAGCGATTCCATTCAAAGTTATTCTGTAAAATTCAGTTCCGCCGTACAATTTTTGAGACAGACGAAGAGTTTTTGTCAAAGAGATTTTCTATTTAACTTTTACAAAACTTACACATTTTTCTTTAAAAAAATGAAAACAATTTGAATACATTACTTCGAAGTATCAATATTTAATAAATATATTTAAATACATTTTTGGTGTAATTTTCAATTATACTTCTGAAGATTTTATATCAATTTCCTGCTACCATTACACACCACCAGAAGCAGTCAATCTATCCAGTCGAGAGAACGTTAACGTTGGCACTGTCAAGATTACCAAGTAACTCGGGAGCAGGTTCAGCAACGGGAATAGCTTTGGCAATGGCGATAATAGCAGCCACTATTAGTGCAAAAGTAGCGAATTTCATTGGTGATTTTTTACGTAATTGCTTTAACTTTAAGAAGGTTCAACAAATCTGGTGATTTTACTTTAAAATCACCGGTCTTTTTATATAGAGTCTCAATGATGATTGATCACGTTTGGTGTGAATAGTTTAGTCATTAAAATGGTGGCAAGAATCGTGTTTACACGGTTTTCGTGTGTCGTGACTATTGCTGTGATATTGTGCTTAAATTTTATGATTGCTGAAGCGCAGCGTGTGTTTATGATTCAAAAAATGATGAGATTATCGCTGTCGTTTGAAAGACCCACAGTGAATTTATAACCGGTTTTTGTACCGTTTTTAAATGAACTGCTCCTTATTTTTGGTTGTGAATGTTAATTAAATGCGAGTTGAAAATGGTAGCCTTGAATCATTCTTTATTCAAACGATTCATTCATGTAATATTCTGTACATCGTTAGAGCGAACAAAATTCAAATCGATTAGGGTATACAGCTATTATGGTCTAGTTTAAAGGCGAACTGTTAGCGAAGTCGAAGATTTTAGGAAGCATGGATATAATGATAAAATTAGATCAATCTCGGGTGCCCACCTATAGTTGTATTGTTGTCTCTGCGTAAAGTACAATAGTTGACAAGATAGCTTGATCTGGAAGTAAAGACCAAATCATGTGAATCCATTTATTGCCAAATAGAAAAAACTACTGATCGATTTTTCTCGCTTTTCCGATGGGGAAAATAAACAAAAGGAGCCACAATTTCTAGCTAGTTCAATGAGCCAGAATTCAGTAAAAATGTTTCTTTTGCAGTATAAGTGAAAACCAATTTGAATAAATCATTTCAAAGTATCAATATTTATTTAAGACTCAAAATACATGTTTTCATGTGATTTTTTAGATATACTATTGAATATTAGCGTAACTAGCAGCCACTCTAACGGAGCGACAAAACATTTACGTTGAGACCACTTTTTTCTTTCTTTTCCTTCGGGCCAATAGAACCTGTTGCCGAACTCGAACCTGAACCCGAATTCGGATGCGAATTTGAAGCTGAAGCCGAACCAGTCAAATCGCTAAGTTCAGCATTTGCAACAGCGGCGACCAGAGCCAAGACAATCGCAAAAATTGCAAATTTCATTATTGAAATTTTTCGTATTTGTTTTAACTTTAGGAAGATTTAATTTAATCTGCTGAGTTTGCTTTCGACTATCCTTTTATATAAAATCCACAACGATGGTTGATCACGATCAACGTGCTTCGTTCAGCAATTAAAGCCAAATTTGCTTAGCAAATGCACGATGTTAAAAATCGTGTTTGCATACGAGCCGTGACTATTGCTGTGTCATGATCGCATGAGGTGATTTATAGCTGGAAATATGTACACATGTGTATTGCATATTGTAACAAAATTCAACTTTTCAGCACATCGACTGAATCACTGTTTGTATGAATTATGTATGTTTCATCGGGGTAATTTTTCTCGTTGACTCCAAAACTGATATCAGCGGCTAGAAAACAGTTGATATGCTAAAAATACATCTTTCTAAAGAATGGGTCGAAATCTGGAGGAATTTGGGACCTTTCATACTGAAACTCAAAAAGCTTTGAAAGACTAAACGGTGCTGGTTCTCGTCTTAAACGATTTGATTTATTATTCGAGCTGTAAATAAAACACAATCAACCAATCTGTAATGTCATAGAAGTGGTGTTTGAAGAGAACTTTGAGGCATCAAATCAATTCTTCAAAATAATTACATTATGTGGAATTAGGCGGAAAGGAAGTAAATAAGTGGTAGTATAGGGCAGTAGAAAGTAATTTGTAGCTAAAAATGATTAAAAACCAAAAATACCAAGCTCAAATTGTGTCGAATTATTTATTCAAATCAATTGTTATCATGAGACATAATAATTCAAATTTTTTATTTCATTCTATTCGTCAATGGCAAGCTACTTTTGCTGGATTTTATGCCGGTGATTATGCATCACTTGCGGCAGTTTCTGTCGTTGTGGTTGACGGAGTTGATGTTTCTGCTGATGCCGATGCGCTTGATATACTTGTTGCTGCTGACGGCTGCGGACTTGAAGTTGTTATATTGAAATAAGTAAATGGGTTGAATGGCGGCCATCGCCACATGTTGCCTGAGTGGTGTTGTCGTTCAGATGGCGGACCGCCGCCGCCTGGTCCGCGTGGAGCACCATAAATAACAGCAGCGAAGACGGAAAGCAACAAAAATGCTAAGATCACCTTCATTTTGATTTGGACAGTTTTTTTTGGTTTGACTGGTTTCGACTTCGTTTCAAGATTAAACAAACTGATAAATTCGCTCAAAGTCGAATGGATTTTTATACAGAACTGAGATGGGGTGGTAATTGTGATTCGTGCCTAGTTTTATTACAAAAAATGAGCAATGTCACGATTCAAATGCGCATGATTTTCGTGGATGGTTTATAACATAAACCTGATATTATAGTTTGGCTTGTGCGCAAAATTTCATTTTATCGTTAAAATATCATATGTTAACAGCTTTGAAAATGATCAAAAATGTACTCGTGTCACTTGAATAGCTATAGCACACAAAAATCGTGCTTGCACAAATTTGCCACTTTTAATCACGACTATTTTCAATAACTTTCCCGATGAACTTTTCCGCACTGTGATCCACAACATGCATTTATTACAAATCTTTTACTCAAAGAATTCACGAGAAAACTGAAACTGACATTAGTTTTACGATAAAAATAATTTTTGAAGCACTTTTCATACAAAAACTAATAAAAATGGGAATTTTTGTATCATAATCATGCCTATATGATATCGTAATCATGTGAAAATTTACAGAGGTTATTTTTTTCAAAAAAAGTTAACATTCTGAAAGTTTGAAGAAATTTCAGTGCATATTAAGGGTACTTCCCATGGGAATGTATGCATACAAAATTCCGTTTTTGAGCGAAAAATCCAAAATTTTGTTCGGAAGGTACCCCTAATATGCATTGAAATGTCTTCAAACTTTTGGAATGGCATTTTTGTGTGATAAAAATAACCTGTGCAAAGTTTCAGCTTCATACATAATTTCAATTTTTTTGACATTTTTCTATGAAAAGTGTGTCGGAAGTTATTTGTATCGCAAAATTAACGTCATATTCGGTTTTCTCGTACCCAAAAACCCCCCAATGTATATTTTTGACTGTTTAAGTATACATAAAATATCACTTTTGGAAGAAAAATTGAATTTTTCCCATTGCATTTTTTCATGGGCACCACGCCAGACATGACACTTTACCCTGTCAACCAAAGTCGCTCAAAATCTAATAGTTTCTATTCCTCGGCACCCCCAATCATCCTGTGAAGTCAGATTTTAAATTACTTTTCTTGTTTGAAAGTTATCGTGTTAACAAATTTTTGCGTACAGGGTACAGCGTACAGCGTACAGCGTACCACGCACATACATTCGGACATCGAAAAACCGCTAGATTCGTGTTCCCTGGCCTCAAAAACACCCAGAAAACACATTTTTGATGGGTGTTAATTTTTCGACCGATTCCAATACTTTACCTTATACACTAGGTGTGTGCGGAAAAGTAATATGAAATCGTGTGTCAGGAGTATTTTCAGAAGCACAATTTTATTTGATCGAAACTGTTTCAGTTCAGCTATGATTTATAGGCCAAAATTGGAATCAATCGGCTAAGCCTATGAAGAGACAGAATGCGTAATCCCCTCATTTATGCCATCTTGTTTTCCATAGTTGAACTCAATTTTGTTGCACTGCATTGAATCGAAAAAGAGAAAAAACAACAACAACAATAACATGACTACATAGATCTGTTGTTC